AGTAATAAATTATCAAAGGATTTTACGAAAGAGGTATCATGAGCAGATTCTTGCCAGGTATGAGTAATTGAGATTTGACTGGCAGTAACAGGCAGGATTTAGTTGACATTGAATAATATGGTGGCTTGGAGAGTATATATGGTTTGACACGGGCGGGAAAACTTGATTACTAGTAAAAGTAATGGATGATTGGCAAAAAGTTTAAAAGATCCGAAGTTAGAAAGGAAGCTGGTGTAACATTGAGAGAAAGGTTAAGGATATCTTTTACGATGAGTTCGGTGGCCGGCAAAATTTACTGATACGATTATTTGTACATGGTCTAAGACGTACGTTGGTAGCAAACCAGGTATTATACTGCTACTTTTTTCTAGGACTTTGTTTTGCAAGAGTTTTAATGTCATGGTTAGTTTATGCAGATATTAAACAAGGCGAGTAAGATCATGATATTGTCCTATTTAAGTTGACATAATTTTGAATCATGACCCGAAAAATTCTGGCGATAAAAAGTAATAAATACTCCATAGTTGTAACCAAGAATATCCGCCATTAGGATTTGCAAGTAAATATCTGTGCCACTATAACGTTCATGCATCCCATGATTTTAAGCACGCATCGATTGGAATTTAGCATCCATCCGTTTACTTTCTCATTTATGCCTAGGTACGAATCGACGTAATTTAATCACAAATATATTACGTGCATACATTATCCTATCGTACATTGTCGATGTAAGTCAGGTTTTGCCAAGCCTATCGATTCAAAAATTCATATTACGCTGTAAAAAAAAACGGGAAAAATGGCTAACGCATTTATGAAGAACTATATTAAGGAGATTCCGATATATAAAAAACTCATACATCTATTAGGTTGAGCTGCCTGGGCAAAGATAACTGTTATTGTGGCGGCTGAAAATGAAAGAAAAAATTCAAAAAAGATGTCCAGTTCTAGTGAAGATTGAGTTCTTCATCCATACAAAAAGCGACTGCTTTATGGGATAAAAAGAGTATTTCGTTTATATTTAAAAATGACTGTGCTACGGCCATTGTTCGGGTTACAATTTTAAAAATGTTACAATTTGCATGAGCCTTTATGCTAATGTACGAATGTAAAAATCCATGGCACGTTTGCATACCTGAGGTGGTAATATATACCAAAAATAAAATACTGTGAAGGCCCAAATCTTCGAATGGGCTAACAAAAGAAAAAGATTTTGATCAGTCCAAAAATTCCGACGGTGGAAGTAATACAGTTTTCCCGTGTATTTTCTCCTATTCTTATACGAAATGAGTATGATAATGATAAACCTTGGTCCTTTGACCCATCCAAGGTTATAGATCGGGTCTGAATGGGATCAAATTACTCAACTGAATGATTCTAATTTCTTTGGAGAATGTGATTTAATACCATCATTGAATCTGATTTCATACAAGGGAAGACATGACACAGATGCTCTCAAACGTATACTGATTGGTTTTTATACCTGTTATTAGAAAAGAAAGAGAGTAATCATATTATTTTATAGTTTGAATAATATGGCATTTATTTACAATTTCATTAATTTCATTTGACGTCCCTATTAAAACCACTGCAGTACTTGAACAAGCCAGACACGCTGCAAATGATGCTCACTATAAAAGAGAATATGAAATCCTAGTTCCAGAGATTATTTAGAATGATAAAGATGGTGATGATGATGATGAAACGCATGAAGAACGCAACTTCAGCACTGGGTTCAATACTTCAAAAGCTGACATTTCATAATACGAGCCAATGATATTACCAAGATCATGCAAGCTATAACTTATCGATTTCTGGGGAGTTAGGTACAAGTAAATGTAATCATCATGTACCAACGCATGTGCATCTTCCATCCGTCACATTTTCCGTTTGACTGACAATGTCGAATTTTACGTGAAGAGATAATCAGTGGTGAGCGTACTGCAACTGACTATAAATCCATGACCTGCTGAGACTGGCTGTGGTAGTCGTGCTCGTTTGACATTCAGTAGACGTGAAGGAAGACGATAGCATAAGATCAAGCGACAATGTCATGAACCCATTTTAGTATGTCTCAGGTTATGCCTTGATTTTAATTCTTGTGAAACCTCCCCAAAACATATACTCAGACTATCCTGCTTTCCAACGAAATCCCTGTATAATCTTACCCAGTATAATATCTGCGTGTCTCCACCATCATCCAAGGTCCTTGTAAGCACTATCCTGAATTTTTCGTTAGAATTACATTATGTCTAGTGTTCGGAATGAAGATCGAAACTCTCGAGTGGGCTTCGATCGTGTTCCAGTCGAAGCTCGCTCGAATGCGTTTTTTTGCAGCTCGAGCTCGCTCGAGGTTTCTTAATCTCGGCTCGGTTGCAAATACGATAGCTCGAGCTCGCTCGCCCTTTTTATTACACAAAGTGCACGTCAAAGTGATGTTAATTACAAAACGTTATGATAATAAAATTGTTATTTATTGAAATCGAAGTTGGAAAAAGAAAAAAAAACCTTTTGTTTTCAACAGCGTTAACACCAAATTCGGATACTTAAATCAAACTATTACTGCATCTATAAATATAATACAGTTGGATTTGTGAACATGAAAGTTTAAATTAATTTTGCTAGAGTGCATCTGCTTTTAGGTGGTACCTAAAAAAAATTTAAGCAGAGACAAATTTTTAGATGGGTAAAACACATTTTCTTTATAATTAATATCCCATCTGAAAGGTTAGGATTGTTTTTTATGTTGATTAGAATGAGAATCTACATATATTAAATTAAAAAACATAACAGATTCTGGATTCAACATTTTTTTTTTAGGTGGGGGCGGGGAAAAAATGTCACAACCTGTACAAAAAGGTTTTAGAGCCAATAATAACCTGCCGCTAATATCATTAGCCGTGGTCGGATTTTGAAATAACCCACTGTTTGTGCTCACGATTTAAAAAACCGCGCACAGACTATATAATTGTTAGCAATGGCTTGAAATAACTTCAACCTTTTTTGTGTACTTAGTAGAACTACTTGAATTTTAAAATATACATTAAAACAAATATTCTTAAGATGCGTGACCCTTTTTAAAAATAATTTATCTATTGAAAGGTTGGAAATATTGATTTGAAGTTGTTTAGAGACAGCCTATGAAGTCGCAGCCGGAGGTTTAATATCACAAACCCTGAAAAAGGATAAAAAAGTTTAAACCTTTTTTATGTACTAAGTAGAACCACTTGTAATTTTGAATATATATTATAAAGTATATTCTTAAGATGCGTGACCCTTTTTAAAATTAATTTATCAATTGAAAGGCTTGAAATATTGATCTGAAGTTGTTTTAGAGACGGCCTATGAAATCACAGCCGGAGGCTCAATATCACCAACCCTGAAAAAGGGTAAAAAAGTTTAAACATTTTTTATGTACTAAGTAGAACCACTTGTAATTTAGAATACATATTATGAACTTTATTCTTAAGATACGTGACCCTTTTTAAAATTAATATATGTATTGAAAGGCTTGAAATATTGATCTGAAGTTGCTCAAAGCCGGCCTATGAAATCGCAGCCGGAGGCTCAATATTACTTACACTGAAAAGAAGATAAAAAGTTTAAACCTTTTTTATGTACTAAGTAGAATTATTTGTAATTTAGAATATATATTATGAACTTTATTCTTAAGATGCGTGACCCTTTTTAAAATTAATATATCTAGTGAAAGGTTCGAAATATTGATCTGAAGTTGCTAAGAGACGGCCTATGAAATCATAGCCGGAGGCTCAATGTCATCAACCCTGAAAAAGGGTAAAAAAGTTTAAACATTTTTTATGTACTAAGTAGAACCACTTGTAATTTAGAATATATATTATGAAGTATATTCTTAAGATGCGTGACCCTTTTTAAAATTAGTATATCTATTGAAAGGCTTGAAATATTGATTTGAAGTTGTTTAGAGACAGCCTATGAAATCGCAGCCGGAGGCTCAATATCATCAACCTTGAAAAAGGGTAAAAAAGTTTAAACCTTTTTTATGTAATAAGTGGAATTACTTGTAATTTAGAATATATATATTAAAGTATACTCTTAAGATGCGTGACCCTTTTTAAAAATAATTTATGTATTGAAAGGCTTGAAATATTGATCTGAAGCTGTTTAGAGCCGGCCTATGAAATCGCAGCCGGAGGCCCAATATTACTTCCACTGAAAAATTTTCTTCAAAAAAAAAAAAAAAATCCCCCCCCACATAAAAAAAATCTGGCTATGAATAAATTTCCTTTTATATTACTTGTACCAGTCGGAGATGAATGCTCAAAAATGTCACAAAACACGTTAGGAACTACTGAAAAGCAGATGCACTCTACATCATGTTACTATGGTTGCTGTAAAAATTTGGCTTAGTTGGGTTTAGCGTGCAACACTATATCATTTTTTATGCTAAATGTGTTTGTTGGTTGTACAATTAAATAAAATTCTAAAGTATTTTAGTTGGAGTTATTAGAGCATAAATAAAAAAAAAATGTTTAAGGGAAGAAAAGATTAAAATCAAGGGGAAATGCCATCACTAGTCTTTCAAGGACCTTAACTTCGAAGCTCGCTCGAACCCGAAAAAAAGTGGCGCAAGCTCGAGTACAAAAACTCGGTTCGAGCTTCGTTCGAACTGGCGCAAGATCGGTGCAAGCTCGAAAAGTTCGAACACTAATTGCTGCATGTAAAAACTGGTTGTATACAATTACAACTTTCTTCACAATATAACACCACTCCTTTTTAGACTTTTTTATTTGCGCTGACTAAAATGCATCTTTCGTACGACAATCTATCAGGTTTTTTACAGTCAAGGAAACAACGGGTTTTTTTTCTACAGAAGTTGGTATTTAGTTGTAAAAAACCGGCTGATTAATATATTCATGATATATATAATTGTTTATATATCTTAAATTATCGCATTCAAAAAGTTAAACTGGAATTCTATGTTTCTTATTGCCCTTTCTTTCATTTTCACAAAATAAAATAGAATGGAAAAAGACAATGTTGATGTAATAATCAAATTAAACGTCGGTGGTACTAAACATCGGACTACATTTCAAACATTAATGCGTTTACCTTATTTTAAAAAATGTCTTGGTATGGGTTCTTGGAATGATGCTCTGCAACAGGATGTAGTTTTTATTGATAGAGATGGAGGTCTTTTCAATGATATTTTGTACTTTTTGCGGTACAATGAAGTATTTACTGACGATTTGGAGGAGCTTTGCAATGAAGCATTATTTTATCAGTCAAAAGAATTGGTAGATGTTATTGAAATTATGCTGGCTGAAAAGGAAGATGCCAACAAGAAGGAATATATGCTTATGGACTTTGATGAAATTAGTGCTTTATCAAACTTGTCAGAATATCAAGAAGATGTAGCAATTCGGCCTTTATATCAAAATTACGACCTCATCGCAGCTGTGAGTTACAGAGAATTACAATGGGGTTGCGTTCTCCACAATAAGCTTTTATCTGAATGCCAGCGAGAAAATCATCACGACTGTGATCTTCGAACCCAGCCTGCTGAAATCAGACAAGTGAAAAAAATGCTTGTATCAAGAAAAGAAACCAGGGACTGAACAATAAACTGCGATTGTTAGATATAAATTTGATCGTATTAAAATGTTAAAATCATCCAATAAAATATTAAAGCTTGTCTTACTGTTTATCAATCACTCTGTTAATGACGCACCAACATATATAACAAGAGTGGATATACTGCATTAAGACCACATATACTAAATTACCACATTTGAGTAAGCTTTCATATTCCGAATCTTTGTGTTGATATTTGGCTATAATACGAACACATTATATAGATGTATACTTTTACAGATGATATAGAAGGGCATATTCTAAATGCATACTTGATAAATATGTGGTGCGGCTGTAAGATGTATTTTTAACCGCATAATATTAAAAATAAAATTTGGCAGTAACCGCCAAGTTGAAATAAAAGTAAGAAGCGCTTTAGTAAAATGAAAGCGGTTGAAGTTGTACTCTGAAATTGTGTCTTGATGCAACAATAACGCTGTTCTAAAATCTTACCTAATAAACAAACACAAACTATAGTGGCACGCCAACTCTTGCTAAGTTCCAATTATATATATACCCAGACATATTACTTATTGAATATTGAGTTTTGACGTTACGGTTGTCATCAGATATATACAAAATAAAGCGGATGAGAGAACAGCTTCACTCAACTTAACTTAGCTTTAGATCATAGTGCACGTAGTAGTTCAGGGTTTAGGCTAATATAGCACCGCCATGTCATTCGGCACCTAAGCAATGTCTACATCTACGTCTTTCTTTCTTTTTTTTTTGGTGGGTGAAATACTGTAATCATTTTTTACGTGCTTTTTTTTTTTTTTTCTTTTTTTTTGTGTAATCTACACGTGGGTTAAAAAAAAACGTTTACGTCCATTGACGTGCCATATCATCTCAACGTTTTCTAAAATTTATAGGATAATCGATTTTTGTTTTTCATAAAAGATGCTTCACTATCGGTACATGCCACTACTGAAACACTGATAGATCACGAACAAGTCTAAAAATACTTGTATAAGCCTGCTAAATGTCACTCTTGACTTTATTTCAAACGTCAAATTATTATCTGCTTTAGTAAGCTCCATTCTTGACCAGAATAAAAAAACGTTTTGAAGACAAAAACATATAGCAGGACTTAATTTTTTTCTCACATCCATCTAGTATATCAAAAGACACTGTTTAAATGATAGGGTGCGTAACTGCAGTTTCATATTAACTTTTTGAGTGATAAAACAGGTATTTTTCTGGTTCTATTAATCAAACAAGATCTTTTATATCCTGTTATATTTTTGGTGATGATTTACAACACATTTTAACCCATCCTTTTCCTTTTCCTTTTCCTTTTCCTTTTCCTTTTCCCAGTCTTTTATCTTTGACACATATTTCTTAACAGAATGGGAGAAGAAGAAAATAGCAATTCTATAATCAAGTTAAATATTGGAGGAAAAAAGTATTCCACGAAACATAAGACTTTAGCATCATCAATATTTTTTGAAACTTTACTTAATGGGCAGATGCAAAAATATGTCTTATCCGGAAAAAATGGTGACGAAATTTTTGTCGACCGTGATGGTGACATGTTTAGACATGTGCTACAATACTTAAGAACTGGGATCCTTTTTAGCAAAAAAGAAAATGTATTGAAAAAGATTAAATTGGAAGCCAAATACTATGGACTAAAAAATTTGGTAAATGATGTTAATACACGCTTGCATGATTTGTCACAGAATAAAGATACGTATATATTTACCGATTCGGAAAGGTTGATAGAACAGCATTTGGGAAACGCCAAACTATCAGGAGCCAAACATGATCAAAATTCAACAAAATTACAGGTTGTCCGGTCGTTCGATACAGTCGAAAGACGAACAAGATGCTACTTGGATCATTCCGGAGATGGTGGAGGAAACGATAGTACTTGTCTACATGAAAACAAAAAGACAAATGATTTGCATATGAAAAGAGTAATTGTACGGAGATATATTTAGTGATAAAATGTTCAATGTAACTTCTTTCTTCTTTGAAAAAATAAAGAACTTCATTTATCAACTCATATTAAATATGTATTAGATAAACACCGAAAATATACCTGTTTATATAAACAAGATATTTACTTGAAACAGTAGTTAATCATATTAATTCATCTCAGATTTGTAATGATGACTTGATACTGTTTATTCTTTTATGTAAATTAACTATCATCACAAAATAGCTTTTATGAGCAAATTTACGTTCACTACTTCTTTTACCCTTCCGCGATTTATGTATATTTAATTGAAAAAGATATGAGTCGCGATATTTTACCAGAAGATAGTACTTTAATCAAGCTAAACGTTGGTGGTATAACGTATCACACTACTTATGGAACTTTAAAAATGTCGCCTTATTTTAGACAGCTGTTAGATAACGGTACTGCTGGCCTCGATAAATTGGAAAATGGCGAAATTCTAATCGACAGAGATGGATATTTGTTTAATCATATTCTGGAGTACTTACGTTGCTTTGAAGTATCTGATAATGACTTGGAGGAGCTTAGAAATGAAGCAGAATTCTATATGTTAAAAGAAATGATCGAATGTATCGATAACATGCTGGTCCAACGGTCATACTCTGTCAAAAAAGAATACATGCTTATAACGTTAGAGGAGTTGAAACAGCTTTCCTCCTTGTCATCTAAAAACGAGAACGTTGGTATAGACCCGCTTTATAAAGATTACGAGCTTATCTCTGTTGTAGATTATGCAGAGCTAAAATTAAAGTGTACCCGACATAATGAGTTTATAAGCGAATGCCAGAAGAAGGACCGCCGAGACTGTCACCAGCATGTACAGTTAGATGGCACATATCAAGTCAGCAAACTACTCGTTGCCAAAAAATTGGATACAAACCCAGAGAGAGCTCAATAATTAGTATTTCCATTCATTGATATCGTCCTATGCTTTAAAATAAATAACAACCTTTTTAAAAAATCAACTTGTGCATTGGTTCGTAATTTATCGTACACGGCTCATAACCGATCACATAAAAATAATGATGGATAATGCACAAGTATTATGCAGACCCAAGACACCAGATATCATACGAAAGTAACCTTACAGATAGAGAAAACGAAAGAGGTGAAAGTGAAAACATTCAATTATGTAGTCCACTCATTCGAGTTGGTTAATGGCTTTCTGCTTCAATTTTCTCGTATCTAAATTCTATCAATACACTGAATTTTTAAACGCTGCAATAATGTTTATTTATCTTTTAGCTATTTAACATCAACATTGGTTTTTATATGTGGCTATATATGATGCTAACAGATAAGCATGATAATGCAACTCACGGGCCGGGATGTGGTTTTTTTGATATCAACAACATAGTAACTTCTTTACTCCCATCAACCTGATTGAGGCCACAGCCTCTGTTATGATAAGATCTACTGCTTTGACATGTTGAGTAAGGAGTTCCGTGTTGACCACATATCCATTGCAGATCTTTGCACTTCAACGTCGAAATCAGTTCATAGCTGTCACTAAATGAATGAACGGTAACCTCTAAATCATCTGGTGGCAAAGAAGATAATTTTTGTAACTCTTCAACCGTGATCAGTTCATATTGTTTCTGTTTGGAGTGCTTCTTCTCATGTAAAATTTGCTTAATGTTTTCGATCATAATTTTCAGTTTATAAAACTCGGCTTCATTCTGCAGCTCCTCCAAATTATCCGAACAAATGTCATAGCTTCTTAAATATTCCAAGATATCATTAAACAAATCCCCGTCTCTGTCAATAAAAAGTTCGCCGTTCTCCATCACATCGATTTTTTTAGTGCCATCATCAAGTAGTTCTTTAAAATAAGGAGATAATTTTAAGGTTCCATAAGTTGTGCAGAAAGACATTCCGCCAACGTTTAGTCGGATGATTCGTTCATTGGTGTTTAAAGTCTTATTTATCTGTTCGTTTGTTTTTCCCATTCGGAAGAAGAGTAAATAAATAAAAAAGTATTGCATAAAGCCTCCATTTTAAGTCTTTTTGCTTTTAAATCCAGCAAGGTACACAGACTAAGGATATGTTACACATCTGTCAAATAAGTTGCCTAAATTCTCTTTTATCCTTCTAATCCTCCAAATTTAATTTGTTCTAGCAGACCTCTTATAAAATTATGGCTAACGGACTGAAGGGGATGTTGTTTATTCATCAAGCTATTAAGAAATCAATACTGTATCAGCCACGCTGGTGTTACCGTTACATGCTTTCAACCAGTAGTATTTTAAGGCTTAATAACTAAGTTAAAAAGAAAGTATAAAGGAAAGCTTATGTAGTATACCGTTACATTTATTATGAATACTCTTTGATCATAAATGCTAGGAGTTGATGGGTTTTATTTACTATAGGTATAGTATGTCTAGCTTATTCTGGCAAAAATGGACCTTTCTAGGCCCCGCAATAACAACATGTAGCCAGAATTATATCAGCTAACCAAAAATATATCAGCTAATTATGTAACCAATTGAGTATAATTAGCGGATAAAAGAGTCAATACAAGGTTTTTTTATTTTATTTTTTATTTTGGTCTTCTCCTTGTTATTCAAAACTTCGCTTAAGCCGTAATGGGTGGAACTCCAACGGAAAATCCAATCGTCAAGATAAATGTAGGGGGAAAACCATTCTACACTAAACAGAAAACGTTGGTGCAGTCAAGATACTTTGAGGCGTTATTAGCTGATACTATGCATAAAAGAACATATGTTGGAAAAAACAGCGATGAAATCTTTATCGATCGTAACGGAGACATATTTCGACATGTTTTGCAATACCTTAGACTTGGTAAAATCTTCGTTAAAGAGGAGAACACCTTAAAAAAAATAAAGATTGAAGCCAACTATTATGGGTTAAGTGACTTGGTGAATCAAGTAGATGCAAGGGTTAAGTATTTATCAGAGAGAAAGGATCAATATATGTTTATGGATTCCGATAAGCTACTGGAAGAGTACATGGGGAAATTCAACCCTTCCTCTGAAAAAAGCACAACTGAAAAGGCCCCCAATTCTTTTCAAGTCATTAAATACTTTGATACAGTCGAAAAACAAACAAAGTGCTTTTTGCCGCATACAGCAAGCGAAAGCTGCACTCATACAAATCACAAAACCATTGAAGTTCCTGCAAAAAAAGCAATAGTCAGACGTTATGCATAATAAAAGTAAGAATGATTGTGGGAATCAGTTATAAGACTTGTAATAAATACGTGTGTTTTTGTTTTCAATGTTTCATATCTTTATGTCTAAATATCACCATATAATTTAGGTGTTATAAACCCTACAAATCCCTTGTCTTTTCTTCAATTCAATTTTGACATGTACTTCAGTTTTATCATTCCACGCTTTTACAAGTCTTTTGCCTTATATTTGACTAACTTTTTTCTTCTTTTTGTCATTCATCAATGATAAATAACTCATTAATTGACTAAATGTTATGAGAAAGAAAACTTATCACTTTGACAAACTATTTAACTATACTTGAATATGGTACTTTATTTATCATTAATTTAGCAGTTTAAAAGATGCAAATAAACAATGCATACACCAGTTTTTAGTATATACATGGACGCATTCTTTTAAAGCAAAATTTATAAACAAGTAATAGCTAATTATTAAGTCAAAACTTTAATTAATTCACACATTCAGATAAAATAATTGAAGGTGTATAAAAAATATGGTACGCACTGTGTCTGGTTGATTTATTTCCAATGTTTACCTCACTTGAACTACATAAAATTATTTTTACATCAATGACCACAGTTTGATTTGTTTTATGGGAGCGTTTTTTTTAGCCGTCAGTTAACATGAGTTCGCTTTCTGGCACACAAATAGCTCTCTTATTTTTATCTTAACATCTAGTACTTAAACAATTTGTAATTAACGCCTCTGTGTTTCCTCAGCTTTTATACTTCTTGTTTATCTTAAGTTTATAATTTCTTATACAACAACTACTTAAAGTTCTTCATATTTTCACATTCGACTTGAATCTCATTATTATCGATCTATCATATGCATGTCAAAGATATGATTTGAATATTTATAAGGCTTTAAAGAATATATATTACATTTTATTATAAAATTAAAGAAAAATTAAAGTATCACTAAATCACGGCACTGTGTTGCGATCGTATCAATTTTATAGCCTCGACATGGCCATAATGTGCGGCTTTTTTGTACCATTTGACTGCAGTGTCGATTGATTTGGGCACACCAATTCCATTTTCATGGTACAATCCCAAAGTATAGTATGCCTTTGCACTCAAAGACTTGAACCTATAGACTTGTTTGGCTAATGAAGCGGCCTTTCTTGCCCAAAGATACGCCTGGTTATCCGATTGTTTCAATGTATTTGTCTTGAGTGATCCTGTGAGATACCAACCTGAAAGAGCTAAGCATGCCTCTGGATAGTCCTGCTCGGCAGCTAGAGTATACCAATAAATAGACTGAGGTTCATCTTCAGCACAAAAATGCCCACATTCATAGCATTCACCTAGCTTAGATTGACTGGGAGCATAACCTAGCCTTGAAGCATTGTGCAATAGCTTAATTGCATACATGGGATCAGGAATCATGCTTGTCTCGTCACACTCTTTTGTAAGTTGAACCATAGCTAAAGCATGCAAAGCGTGAGGTAATGCAACTCCATCTGTACCTCCAATTGTTGTAACATCATCACCGGGTACAAAGGGAGCCATCGCAGTAGATGCAGCTCTTTGTAGCCAAACCACAGCTTCACGTTTTGATACCGGATTTCCGCAATATCCGCGCATCAAAATCACGCCCAACTTGTACATACTGGGCACATGGGATAAATGAGTAGCTTTTCTATAATAAGCAATAGCACGACCACCATCTTTTTCTGTTCCAATACCTAGTTCGTAACAAACAGCTGTTCTATAAGTGGCTTCTGGATGGTTTTGTTTAGATGCTTGGTTATACCACTGGAATGCACGGTAGTGATTGACGGGCCATCCTAATGCACCCATACCATAGCAGCATGCCAAAAGAAATTGTGCTTCTGCTTCTCCGCCTTGACCAAGATTTTGACTAGAATTTGCCAATTGTTTCAACATTTGTCTTGCTTCCATAACCATGGCTTCGCCTAAGGTACCTGGTTGTTGAGTGTGATGGGGTAATAAAGTAGAAAATAAATTTTGATTCTTGGCAGGTTCAGGAGATATTATTGTGTTGTTTTCGGGGTCAGCTTGCCATGCACTTTCCATAAGGTGTAAGCAAAGAGCCAATTGAGATTGAGGAGTACCTTCTAAACGCTCCGTCTCACACAAAGTTTTGACTTGTTCAATGGAGTCCGGAATACTCCATTTATCATGAAACTCACTTCCACAAGTGACTGTGGATCCAGCAATGGATGGGCCACCCCCAATGAAAGAGCGATGTAATGCCAATATTGAAGGTAACAAAAGATTAGTAGGTAATTTTTCGAGAGATGGTGCCGCTTTTTCTTCCATTTCGTTAAGGGAATCGGTTGACTGTATAAATTCTTGTACCATATTAAGGAGAGAGCTACTGCTACTACCTCGTGCCTCTTCCTGCAGAAATATATCCATGGGTACAGTATCAATATTTTTTAAGTCTGCGGTATGAGGCAAGTCTATTTTGACAGATTCCTCACTTTGTTGATCTGTCATCATATCAATTTTGGTAGAGGTTCGTGAGTTGGTTTTAATTACCGACTTCAATGGAGACGAATCAATGTCATTGGCGTTCTTGACTGCTGCTATGGGTGGATTATCTTGGCTACGATTAAACGGATGAAATTGTTTCCATCGACTTGATAATGATTGCATCGAAATAAGGTAATTTTTTTAGTAATAATAATAATAAAAAAAAAAAAAAATAGAGGAAAAGAATAGCAACAAGGAAAATAAAATAAAATCTCAACAAAAAATTAAAAAAGACCAGGCAGTAAATATATGATGTAATGCTACAAATAAAATAAAGTGTATTTTTATTCAGAGAGGTTATTTTTTATTCGTCCTCTTCTGGTACCCAAGATGTGGAAATAACTTCCTTCGCCACGGTGATCTTTTGGTCGTAATCTTCAATTAATTTTTGGATCTTGGCTACTTTGGTTAATAAATAACGAATTCGAGTCTCGATCTCTTTAGGAGGTCGATTGGTGGCATTGATATTTGTTAATTTCTCGATAGTATTTTCTAATTTTGCCATTTCTGTTTCGGATTGTTTCTTAAGTGTCATGTTGGATTCTACTTCCATTGATGCAGCAAAAACCGTATCTGAGACGAGTCGGTTGAAAACAGTATAAAAAACAGGTTTACCGGGTCTGATAGAATCAGCACGACCTATAATATCATGTTTAACCACTGCAGCAATTCATTAATTTTGATTGCCTTACCTTCTTTTTGAACAATGGTAATCAATTCTGCTCTCTCCATAGCCCTCAATGGTGCTTCTGCACCCAAAAATACCGGACTCCATCTTAATTCATCATAATTGATCTATGGAAAAAGGTATCACTATTTTGGGTCTCCAATAAACAAATAAAGAAATAAATACATACGCTTATTTTGTTTGTTAAAAGTTTAACAATCGTCCAGAATTGAATTGGTGTCCACTCCAACTTTTTATCTTCGTCCCATGATTCTCCGAATCCATATTTACGGATATCGATCAAATTTCGTGTAACAATATCCTCAAATGCAGCTAACAGAATAGAGTTAAGAAAATAAATAAATGATACATGACCCTGTTTCTCTTACTTTGCGCATCCATTTTCATCTTCATCTTTTGAACCAAGAGTTCTAATTCAGTCAAACGTCCACCCAAAGCAGCAACGACATCTGGGAGATAAGGATCTTGTACTTCATTGCCGAGTTGTTTGTTGATAAAAGTCATAGCCATTTCTGGAGGCGCATCTGAGAGAGCAATATTTGAGAAACTCTTACCGGGAAGAGCCTTTCCAAGCGTCTTCATCACACTAGCATTTGATGTAACGATTACCACATGAGCAATACCATTCTCAATCAACAAGGCAGCCCATTCGGCCAACTCTTCCCATAATAATGCATTTTTGGATGTTTCTCTGCACATGTAATTATCAATCACAACAATAGGAATACTTTTTTCGTCCAACTTAATTTCATCCTTTTCATCCGTCTTCTCTACCAAATGCTCCTTGTGACCAACGAATAAACTCTGTACGCGTTCCCAGAAACTTTCGTGATCAGCTTCTTCTTCAGCACGTTTACGTTCTTTTTCGGCAGGTTCGACATCTCTTAAAGCAATAGCGACAGTTTCTAAAATGTTTTTCATTTGTGAATCAGGGGAAGAGGAAAGTCCAGTCTTTTGGCCAGTTGTGGCAGCCACGACTGTATCAATCAATCCACTCATCGAAGCAGCCCACGTGAATACAGGGAAATAACCCACTTCTTTAGCTAAATTCTTGGTCATTTCCGATTTATTTCTTGAATTGGCCAGGTCCTCACAATCAATAAAGATTTTGTTCCTATTTTTAAACTTTAGGGTTCACTTCTTTTCTTACTCCTTCATTTCCTTACTTTCTATCCTCGATGGCAGATTTTACTAAAGCTGATTTACCACTACCTTTGTGACCAGTCACCAGAACAAAAGTTTCTGGAGTCTCAGCGAGCCAAGATTTCAATTTATCGGTCTTTTCAACATCATGAGCCCAAATAGACGAGCCTTCAATATGTGAACCAGAACCACCAGGAATCAAACGAGCCCAAGTCTCACTACGCAACCAGCGATACAATGCATATTCTTCAAGATTGAAACGTTTTGTGACCTTGGAGGTGATAAAAAAGACACGGATGGGATCAAATACGATGTAGGTTATACCTGCAAATATAGCAGCAAAGAGGGGTACGGTAATACGAGGATGGCTTACCAACCATTCTTTTACAACATTTGTACGTAACTGCCTTTCATACAAAACATTTAACCTTGTACCATCAATATAATGTCCGTGTAAACAATTGCGTGCACTCGTGGCATAACGGATACGTGTAAATTGAACAATGGCATATCTTGCTGGATCCTTGGCGATATGAGGATTAGGATAAATCGAAATATCAAATACTCGCCCATATGGTCTAAGTTGTTTATACAATCTCTCGATATTGACAGGCTCGCCTTGAAATTCGATACGTAATCTCTGTGTAGGGTATCGTGCAATCATATCCTCCATAAATGGCGCACCTCTTACCAAAAATGCTCGCACTGTTCTAAAATTGAATTTGGCAACGATATTTTGTTTGGCGATGTAATCGTTTACTCTTTCGACAAGATCTCTTGCTACTTTGTATTTAGAAGCATCTGTACTTTTAAATGAAAATGTGACAATTGCACCACCATCCTTTGTACTACACGAAAATAATAAAAGGATCAGCAACAGAGGAAGATCAATTGGTACAGGTCATAGCTTACCGAGCGAGAATCTCCTTGATTGCAAAGTTATAAGGCAAATCGTCAGAAGGTATTGCCTGATGTGCCTTTCTTTCCAAGAACTGTTTGGAGTTTCTGAAAAAGTATTGACGGATATCGAAGGATCCCATTTTTAATGGAAAGACGTTGTTAAGGTATAACTGAGCTGTTTGCTCACTTGCAGCTGGAGCTACAGGTTTTTCTACAATGGCGGGCTATAGGCATGTGTTATTCTCGGTAAAAAAAAGTATTCTTCGATTTTCCCTTCCTTACATACTTTTACAGCATTGCTTAATTCTTCTTCGTAAAGTTTTACTGTTGATTTAAAAGTTCTGATGTTGAAGACTCGTGTCGATTGTCGGGGTAGCAAGGTTACTGATGTTCGTTTCAGGAACTCTCTTTTTACGCAAGTGTTTGCTCCAAGTCTCGATAACAACATGACGAGAAAAGGTTTAAATGAAGGAAACGCAAAAAAGAAAAAGAAAAAAAGTGCGGGGATACCTTTTTATTTTCTGACCCACCAGCCTAATTCAATGACGATATCATGATTTGTTTTTGCTACCGGAAATACCATCCAACTGGAAGAAATCGTAACTGCATCAATCCATAAGTCTAGCTGGGCACTCTTTCTCCGTAATCATTCTTGAACATGGTGATTTTGAATTGAAGACGATTACGTAATTGCACAGGCACACATTGAATTATTTAGCGGTCAAAAATTTATTTCTTGTGTCTTTTGTGATTGTTAAAATACCAACCTTCTGTGTGCTTTGGATTGCTAAATCCAAAAGAAGTTTTTTTTTTTTTTATTTTAAACAAAGTATGCTTTTCATCACATATATTTGCTTCCGTATCTAACTCTTGTTTATTTAAGCTTGCACGTTGTTCCATATCTGTCTCAACAAGGTTCAACCGGAATGACGTAACACAAGCATATATGTTGATGGAAAAACCTAAGCCAATTTGCTCTAAAAGGAATGCGACACAAAAACTGCTCAGCAGGATCATTTAATCCAATTTTATTTTAAAACCTTTCTTCAACATTCTCTTTGTTCTTTAATTACCAAAATAATAATGGGATTTTTTACAGGCAACGAAAAAGATACGGAAGATCAATCAGACTGTAGTTTAAGTTTTTCTACTGAACGAGCGTTTACCAAAAATGATATTCTGATCTGCGCATCTTATGGCAATATTTATGCGATCCATAAAACAGATGGGAGTGGACTTTGGAAGTCACCCTTCAAAGCAGGTGGTGGGGTCATATCTCTATTCGTCACAGATAGTGACAAAATCATTGCGGGTGCCTTTGGTAAAACAGCTTGTTTTGACCTGATGAACGGTTCCATGATCTGGTCCAACAATATGCCTGTAAGTATTCTATGAGTCTGTTAGCAATGTAAATAACATTCATTCTAGGGATTTGGGTACGAAGAGGTGTCTGTTGTCTCAACACCTAGCCGGGTATTAAAACCCAGACGAAATCCAGAACTTTCTGCCACAAGTGAACATGGATCGCCACCACAATATGGCGAAAGTAGTGCGCCAGAAAAACCAGTCGTTTTAGCATGCTCACAGGGAAAAGCTATGGGTATTGATATTTCATCGGGCGAAACGTTATGGACATTCAACTGTCCGGGGGGAAGATATAAAATACCTGTAGTGGTTGTAGAGCCACCTAGTATGGAGGAAGGAAGGCCTCACCAGCTTGCGTATATCGGTGCTGCAAAATGGGTTTATTGTTTGATCGCTAAAACGGGCAAAGTGGTATGGTCTACAAAGGTTGCAACAGGTATCATCGGCGCTAACTTTATGTCACTGGCTACTCCCTGGAGCTCTCGTCTAGCGGCTGAAACACATTCCGCTTTTAGTCAAAATCCTTCTGCACAATATCTGGAAATACAACGTGACAAGCACAGAAGAAGTGCTTAGTTAAGCACGGAAGCAGTATATATATCTTTAAATATTCACATCAAGCTCTCGAGTTGAAAAATTCACAGGATCTCTATTCTGAATCGTTTCATTCATTTATTTGCTTTTAAATATTTCTAATTTTGTTTAAAGGATCAACTAAGAATAATAAACCCTTATTATAAAAGGCGCAAACTTTACCATCACTCATTATTTAAATAATACGTAGTTATTATAACTGATTCGTGTACAATCCAACTTTAAGTGATTGTTATTTTTGTATCATCGGGTTTATTAATTACTTCAACCTCTATTTTGATACAGTGTCACTGTCGCATTACTCATAAGATCCAAGTTTTAACAACGAGTCATTGCAGACATGGTATATTTCAATCCTTGTAACGTAGATGACGTGCGGTTTCTAGATACGCTACAAGAGGTATAGCATCTTTAGTGGAAGGGCATATTTTGTGAGACATGCTTAGCTAAAGTTATCCGTATTACATCACTCTGAAATCTGGTGGCCCAAAGTTTTCTTAAGAAATCATTTAAAGTGGTGAAAGAGGGCCTACTGTGAAGGTTCAAAAGAATAAAAAGACATGGCCTAAGTTTTTGGAGTCCGGGAATTTATTGATTTGCCGGACAAAATATCTGCTGGTGCAGCTTGTTAGAAAAAAAAAAGAAATGTATGAAGACTCTTCCCAAACAACCCTGCATTGATTCTTGGCGATCCGATAAATAAGGAGATCATGCACCCCCTTTCCTTATGTTTTTCGTATAAAACTTTTTCGTAAATCATATTTTCCTTTTCACCCATTCCTTTTCTTCTATATATCCATGTCTCGTAATAACAATAACAAAAAGACTCCTTTGCTCACTCACTTGGTAGCCGGTGGTGCTGCTGGTTTTATGGAAGCATGTACTTGTCATCCTTTAGACACAATTAAAGTCAGAATGCAACTGTCCAAGACTGGTTCTAGAAACGCCAATGTGAGTATATTACTTTTGTTGCATCACCAAAAGATATCCTCCTAATTTTAAGATAGGGCCAACGCCTCGGTTTTATTGGTGTGGGTGCAAAGATTGTAAAGAACGAGTCATTTTGGGCTTTATACAAAGGTTTGGGAGCCGTTGTTTCTGGTATTGTGCCCAAAATGGCTATCCGGTTCTCCTCATTTGAGCTTTACAAGTCTTGGATGGCTGATGAAACTGGGCATGTAAGTACTGGTTCAGTATTTCTTGCTGGTCTTGCTGCAGGTACCACAGAAGCCGTTTTGGTTGTAAGTCCCATGGACTTGATAAAAATTCGTTTGCAGGTATGTTTTTTGTTTTTTTTGTGCGTGTTTGTTCTAAATAGAAGGTCATGTAGGCACAAAGACATTCTATGGCCGATCCTTTGGATATCCCCAAGTATCGTAATGCACCTCATGCTGCTTATACCATTGTAAAAGAAGAAGGCGTTAGAGCCTTATATAAAGGCGTTAGTTTAACAGCTTTGAGACAAGGTAGATCACAGATCATCTGATTTTGTTGCAATACTAATTATATACCTCATAGCCACAAACCAAGCTGCCAATTTTACGGCTTATCAAGAGTTCAAGAAATACGCTCAAAAAGTCCAAAATGTGTCCGAGTTGCCTTCGTATCAACATCTCATTTTAGGTGGTGTCTCTGGCGCCATGGGTAAGCATCATGTTATTATCATTGATAAAAGTTAACATTAAATTATTATTTTTAGGACCTCTTTCCAATGCCCCTATTGATACCATTAAGACCCGTATCCAAAAATCTTCTGCTCCTGGTAGTGGTTTCGAACGTTTCAAGACAGTTACTACTGATATTATGAGAAAAGAAGGATTTTTGGCCTTCTACAAGGGTTTAACACCTCGTTTGCTGCGTGTTGCACCTGGACAAGCAGTAACTTTCATGGTTTACGAAAAAGTCAAAGCCATGTTGGATAAATTCACAGACAAAGTAAAGGAAGGCGAGATCACCACCAAATTAAACTAATGTAATTTCCTTCCAACTTCACTTCTTATCGCCCCCCTCAACTTATATAATAAATAAAAACTTCATGATTTTAAAGAAAAAGTCATGAAAGAGATAACGTTTACAGTGCACTGCATACAGATGCTATGAACAATAATTAATCAATGCCCCTTATTTTTTATTGCTATTGTCACACATTTAATTTCTTGGATTAAAAGTCAAAGGAGGGAGGCTCCATGCATGATGTATCAGCCCTTACTTCCCGTGTAATTTGAAAGATGCAGACGTTAGTTAGTGTTTCCAGGAGACATGATGTAATTGACATGTCTCGGTTACTGGCATTAAAATTATCAATCCATACTATCAAGTGAATGTAAGGTGTTTTATCCATTTAGAAAGAAACGGACGATTTATTAATATTATATAGTTCAAGATGTATCTAAGAAACCATACCACACATTTAAATAAGATCTTGATAAGCAATACATTTTCTTTTAGGTCCTAGAGATAGCTCATCTAGGGCCAACTACGATTCTCTGCGAGTTCCCTTTAGCAAAAGGTACGGTCAGTACCATAAAGAAAACAGCAAATATCGACGACTATAGTATCCGCTTGTACTGTTTATAATAAAGATCAACCTTCGCCTTTAAGGTATCAGAGATGCCCTGCACGAGCTTTATTCAAAAATCAAGTGATTTGGGAGGTTGTTTTTTAGTGCGGGGAAGCTGTGTTCCAAGAAAGTCACTGTTACACGGTTCCTGCACTATTTAGAGCCTTGATAATAAACACAATCGTCATTGAATAGTGTATACTAGGGTTGAAGTATGTAATTTAAATCAATAAACAGATCAGAGTTTATGATTGTGTCAATTATGATTCATATATGTATATTATATCATGTATAAAGGCCCAACATTTGAGAATATAGAGTAAGATGTTGACAATGGGACATGTTGAGTGTAAATCTGAGCCCGAACTTTCCACAAAGTAAAGATCTCCCATCATCCTCGCATCCCATCTAGCGTTCCTTTTAAATCATCATACACAATGGGTAAGCCAAATACAGAAATTGCATCCATCCATCCAACGAAAGAGCTAATCCGTATGGGTAATTAGGTATTAGTCGTGATTCCAGGCATAAGCGTTCGTAAGTTTATTTTGACATTTTACTCTGGGGCGAAATTTGGACATGGACTCAATGTTATTTTTTATATAGCGCTACCGGTGCCAGACGTGATCAATACAGAAAGAAGAGAAAGTAAGCCGCGATAAACTCTTTTAATGTTCAACTTTGTATAAATTTGGGGATAAATCGACATGGACACCGACGATGGACATCACAAACACCTCTTTTTACGCTTGGAGGATTCATTGCACGGAATTGACATTCTCTCCCAAATTTTACATTCTTGACATTATTTGAGAAAAAAATAATCTTTTGGTCGAATAAGAGAACTCAAAACGAAATTTTTAAAACAATATAGGTTCGAGTTAGGTCGTCAATCTGCCAATACCAAGCTCGGTGGTAAGCGTATTCATTTAGTCCGTGTTCGTGGTGGTAACTTCAAGCGTCGTGCCCTCCGTTTGGAAGGTGGTAACTTCTCTTGGGGTTCTGAGGGTATTTCCCGCAAGACCCGTCTTTTGACCGTCATCTACAACGCTTCTAACAATGAGTTGGTCCGTACCAACACTCTTGTTAAGGGTGCTGTTATCCAAATCGATGCTACTCCTTTCCGTCAATGGTATGAATCCCACTATGCTATTGCTCTTGGTAAGAAGAAGGCTGAGGATGCCGAAAAGACTGCTGAAAAGAAGTCAAGTGCTGTTCAAAAGAAGATTGATGCTCGTGCTGCCACTGCTGCTATCGATCCTCTCTTAGATTCTCAATTCAACGCTGGTCGTCTTTATGCCGTTATTGCTTCTCGTCCTGGTCAATCCGGTCGTTGTGATGGTTACATTCTCGAGGGTAAGGAACTTGAATTCTACCTTCGTAAGATGAAGTCTAGAAAGTAAATTCTTTCAAGCAAAAAAAACACAATCAACCAACCAACTCAATACATGATGACTACTACTTATTTTTATATTGTAATTGAATAAAAAAATAATAATAATGAAAATACGCATTTGAATGGGACCACTTATGATATTTGGAATGGTTTGAAATATTTTGTTTGCGGCTTTCTACATACAAAGCCTGTAAATATTTTGATCGGACATAAATAACAAAAAAGGAATAACAGGAACTCATAATGCACAAACCATGAAGATCGCTGACTAAAATATATAATTATTATGGCCTCTCGGAGAAAGAGTTTGCATTCTACTTAAATGATCAGACCCGAAGTTACACAGTTGTTTAAAATTGATGCTCTTCAATCTCTATAAAAATTAAACCCAAGTGAACGGAGTCATTGTATGTACGCATTCTCAGAAGGTGACATGATTATCGCTTTTGTTCCATAATATTTACTGATGAAACAAGCGTTGTATTCTGTTCCCGATATGCATCTTTACTCACTTTCATAAGGGGTATGATTTGACAGATCAAAAAACAATGATACACAAGATGTATCACCCTCTTTAACACTCAATGTTCCATCTTCAAACAGAAAAACTATGGTTGATTTGTATTATGTCATCCATTGCTCTGCTTTATTCGCGCCAAAGTCTATGGGGGTAGAATGTCGAGTGGTTGTTGGAGGCAGCTACGTCTATAAATAGATGTTGTCGCTCGTCAGTGCAGATAAAGAAAATACCTAAACTTTAATTTAGGCAGAAAGTAGAGTCAAATTTAACTTTTAATATGGTTCGTGACGCGATTGATAGTTGGATTTTGATTAATGATAGTAATGTGTAGCGAGAAAAATCTATCTTAGTACAAAAAGGACGGGCAGATTTGTAAAATGGGACCTCGAATTTGTGTGAGACTAAACAGCTGAGAAAGAATTTATTTGTTTATAACGAAAAAAAAAAAAAAAGATGTACTTTCTTTCTTTTCTCTTTTCCTTTCTACAAAAAAAAGCATATCCTTATAATCATGTCCGCCAATACTTTAGAGCCTAGTGTAGGTAAACGTATCGCACTCCCTGTTCGTGTTGAACCTAAAGTGTTCTTCGCCAACGAACGTACCTTTTTATCTTGGTTAAATTTCACGGTTGTTCTCGGTGGATTAGCAATGGGTCTTTTAAACTTTGGTGATCGTATTGGTCGTATGTCTGCCGTTTTATTCACAGTTATTGCTATGGGTGTTATGCTTTATGCTTTATATACATTCCACTGGAGAGCCACAAAGATCAGAAACAGAGAAGCCGCTGCGTATGATGATCGCGTTGGCCCTACCGTCCTGTGTATCTTTTTATTAGCTGCTGTGTGTGTCAACTTTTATTGTAAGTATTTTTTATTTATTTGATGGGGGGTTTGTTCTAACGGAAGCTGTCTTTCTTATTAGTACGAATGGGTAGTAAGCATTAGAAGAAAAAAAAAGAATCTATCACAGATTATTCAAACTTTCATACCGAAACACATCAATTCCATTTATACAACACTGTAAAGTTTCATCTTGCTTTCCCGCCCACCTTTTTTTTTTATTTGCTTGTGTTTGCTTTATCTTAATTATTCCAATTCTCCCTCCTTCTTAATAAAACTGTATATCAAGACATTAGTTTCATTTTTTCTTGGTTTCTCGAGAACCACAAAAAAAAAAAAGTAGATATGACGCTAATTAAAAAAGAGAGTCGTAGTTGTAATGAAGTATCCAATGACGAAAGACTGATTCTCCCCACGTGCATCAAACCAGTATACCTTTGTATTCAGCCTTGTCCAATATGTTACTCAATTCTGACCATTGGACAAGAAATCTGTCTGCAAAAGGATACAACAATTTTCCAGTTAATGACAGAGTCTCCACGCGAGCAAATGATTCGACATAAACTATTTCGATCTTTTTGATTCCCAGTATCTATTTAAATAAAGGTCAACATAAGGATGATTACTGCTTTTTTATTGTTCTTACCCTTGGAATATAGGCCAGCATGCAAATAGGAATGCAACTACCAGGACCGTTACATATAATCTAATAAAGTGCATATTGAACAACATTGTTTCATCTTTGTGTATTGGCTTGTTTTTGTATTTTTACCAAATCTGGCCAAATATTTAACAAGATCCGGCTGGATGTCAAAAGTGCCGACAGCAATGTCAATGGCACGCTTGACCAAGATTGACCGACTTCTCTGGCTCTTGGTATATTATAGATTTCAAATTTACCCTGTTTTTTCAATTCTTAGATGGAAATAAAAAAAAAGTAGTCTTTTTTTTTTCTTGTATTACCTTGTTTAATTCCTGTTCGTATGAAGTTGCTTTTTCTTTGCTTAAAATATCTGTATCTGCAACAATGTAACTTCGAGGTGTGTATTTCACTGAATCCAATGATTTTACGAGCTGTAACATTTCTGCAGTGTGTCCACCTAAGATAAATTCGATCAACAACGATTTTTTTTTTTTTCGTGTTCCTGTTTATAATACCTGAGCCTAAAACAATACAAGTCTTACAGGCTTTTGTTCTCTTATTTTTCGGTAAAGATATATTGCGCTTGGGTATGACATAATAAAAGCGTGTAAGAAATAGCAATAAAAGAGTAATTACGACCAGCAACATGGTGACATGTAACAAAAAGATGGAAGAGAAAGAGAGAGAGGCAAAAATATATTTTTTATTTATTTTTCGACCCCCAATTGATATGCCGCAAGTTTATATGAATATGTACAAAATCAAGTTGATTTGAATTTGATCAAGAGAAGATCGCCTACCTCACTAATATCTCGAATAGCCTTATCAAGATCCTCACGCGTATGTGCTGATGATAGACAGAATCGGGCTCTTGAACTGATAATGGGCGTAGCTGGGTATCCCACCACAACAACTGCAATACCTCGTTTTAACATTTCTCTTGAAAATGCGCTACAAATAACATCTTGTCAATTAAAATCATCATTTGTTCTTTTTTTTCTTATACTTACGAAACTTTGGCAGGGTTAAATAATAACAAGGGAATCACAGGACTTCCTTCATCACCGTATACGATAAATCCCAACTTTCTCAGTTCATTAGAAAAGTAACGAGCATTCTCTGCTAAATTATGAATACGATTCACGCCATCATTGGTGCCATCCTCACCCCTTTTTAAAACAATAAAATTTGACTTAGAATTCACAGACCGAAACCCAGAGGGAAATACTTACATGATGATGCCCATACTGGAACTGACTTGTTGAATGACGGGTGGAGACATGGTTTCTGCATAAGAGAATGCATGATTCTTGACTCGTAAATGATCAATGACGGCTTTATCGCCAGCAATATAACCACCAGCGGCACCAAATGACTTTGTAAAGGTACCCATCATGATATCCACATGCTTTGGACTGATACCATAGAAATCACACACACCACCGCCATTTTCACCGAGGGCACCAATGGAATGTGCCTCATCCACGTAGAGATAAAACTGCGAAATGGAGTTAAACCATAGATAATGGATAACAAAACCTTTTTCTTTTCTTTTCTTTTCTTACCTTGAATTCCTGCTTCAATTTAATCAACTCTGGTAAATTCACAATGGAGCCTTCCATAGAATATAATCCTTCCACAATAATCACGATTTTTTTCCAAGGACGATGTGTTCTAGGCTGACCTTGAGAAATAACTTCACGTAATAGATTTCGAAGATCAATCATATTGTTGTGCTTGAATACTCGAACAGATGCTCCTGATAAACGCACACCGAAAATAATAGAGCTGTGATTTAATTCATCACTAATTACCAAACAGCCCTAAAAATTAAGTTAAATCAATTTTTACCCGGATTTTTCAATTCGTTTTTCAAGTTACCTTGCCAACCAGTGATGGAATGGTGGTTGAATTTGTTGCGAAACCCATGGAGACAATGATTGCATCCTCTTTACCTACAAAATTCGCCACCTTTTTCTCGAGATGTTGATGGATATCAAGTGTACCTGCTTCTAAACGAGTACTACCGCTACTCATGCCATATTCTTTCACACAGTCCTCAACTTGATCGGCACAAAAACCTTCATTTTGAGCAAATCCCAAGTAATTATACGATGAAAAATTAGTGGCTTCCATTTTCTTTCCAGTCAATCTAAATACCCCATCTATGTCAAGTTCTGTACTTCTTTCGGATTCAAAATAATTTACCTGAATGACAAGTTGAAATCTTTGGACTCTCTTTCCAGAATAGTAATTTTTCTGCCCGGTACACCTGTTGTAGGTCTGTTCCAACAATCTCTATAATAGCGGTTATATACTTTTGCCGTTGTAGATTTTTGGTAATAAAGGGGGGAGGCTTACCTAATACGCAAGTACATTCGTCTGGTATAAAAGGAATCGAAATCGGATACAAGGGGAGCATAGCCTTCACTCATACGCAAATGAGCGTATTCTTTTCTTTTAAACAATTTTCCCATAATATCACGCACATGACCAAATAAAATCAAGATGAAATAATTGAGATAGGTTGACACTAGTACAAACAAAGGTGCAGCTTCAATTTTCTGTTCGAAATCCTCGTACTTTCTTTGAGCTGCCGCAATTGAATTTCTTCGCTGTGCAGGTGTCAAGGAAGGCACCTTCATCTTTTGGATTTCGAGTCCATCGGCGGATAAGCATAAGTCTGCTGATGATTTGGGTGTAGGTAGAGCTAAAGAAGGGTGAACTTTGACCGGATAAGCGGATGAAACTGAATAAGCTCTTCTTGTTCGTTTTACTAGGTTCGAAAATGAAAATGCTCGTTGTCTTGTGCTCGGCTGGATACCGTCTACGGCTATGGTCGGAATAGGCGGTGGTGGGCTTTGAGACGTTGTTTGCGAATGAGAACTAATAGGTTGTGCCATCTCTTGTAAAAAAAAATTTTAACCAAGAAGAAAAGGAAAGTCCCGGAGCCTTTTTATTTTATTTTTTTTAGTTTTGAGACAATTTTTCTTTTTTTTTATAAAACTGGTTAGTTCCCTTCTCTGAGATAAAATGAACGTTTGTGCTGTTTTGGGGAATCATGCACACACAAAGGGTAACGACTGTGAAACAGTCAGATTTTTTTTTGTTAATTGGTTGCTCATTAGGGATGAATGTTACAAAAGGCTCTGTAATATATACTTATTCTTCTTCAAACGTAAATTCATGTAAGTATCCAATGCATTCTCGATGTCCATAGACAATCATCATTGCACTTCCGACCAAACGTTGTTACACAGGACAATGTTAATCATTTCACGGAATACACCAAAGTAGGCACAATTACAGTACTACATTTTATATATACTATAGATGAGAGTTTAACACAATTGATTAAATAATTGTGCTCTGATGTGACCTTATTCACAAAAAAGCGTTGTTAAGTATTAAGTTCTCATGCATTGGGAATATGCACAAGACGCACATCCAAACTAAAAAAAAAAAAAAAAAGCAAATTCATTGTTTCTACATCACTGTATTTGATCAATCATTACAAAGAAAAAAATATCTCTTTGTGTATACTTGTTTTTCTATTGTTCTAGTCAACAAAACGGTTACATTTGTTTGTGGATACAGAATAAAGTTGTGGATAAAGTATTTTTTGTCAGACGCACGGATGAATTATCGCTAATTCAATTCTTCTTCTTTTGTATTGCCTTATCAAGACTTACAGGGTTTCCCTTTATTTTTGGGAATAAATGTGAAAATTAATGGAACGAAGTTTGATAGTTGATGGAACAAAGTTTGAAAGTTGATGGAACGAAGTATGAAGATTAATGGAAAAGTTAGTTAGGGATATGATTCATACACAGACAGTTTAAGGTTTTACCTGTATCTAGGTTTTGAAAAGCGATAACTTTGGAGGAAAGTTATTATTCAAGACGAGGAGTTTTTTTTCCAGACCGATGGGATCGGGGTTTTTTCTTTTCAAAGAGACTTTTTTGGTTCTAGAGAAACATGCTGGCTTTTGTGACGTTGCCCTTAAGCTAAATACAATATTTCTAAAATTTAGTACAGCAACTAGATCCCTATTCCATAATCGATATTTTGTCTCCTCAGTAAGTGCCAATTGATTTAGACATTGTTTGTTTGAGCATCTAAAAGACAAGTTATTTAAACTTTTCATTGATATGATAATATCTAAAAGTTACCTTAATAGTTCATGACATTTTACGGTAGGATTCTTGGAACGTCGATATGGTCTAGGATTTATACATTCTTTAAAGTTCTCTAGTTTACGATCACAAGAAGGACACACACTGGAAGTCTTGAATTAATCCAAAAGATACACATTGAACCCTTCAGTTCTTAACATTTGCCTCAGTACTTTTCCGCGAATTGGTTCTTGAAATGTTACATGAGCAGCAGACCAATATCCTAAAATGAGTATGCAGTCGTCTCCAAACTTTTTCCTAAGGTTCTTTGATAATCGTTTATTTGACTGAACTTGGTTGATATATGATGATAATTTTAACTTTCTAAACGGAATCATATTGGCAGCCTCTGGTCCTTCTCAACATCTTCATTGGAATAATATGCTTACATTTTAGAAGTAACTTGGGCTCTTATTTTTAAGTATTCAATAAAACCTTCCTTTTTTACTGTCAATGGAGAACATTCGATAAGTCTGTTTTCGCATTTTTGAATATCATTAGATTTGAGCTGTTGGCGCAGTTTTTTAAACTTTGTTGATTTAGTCTCTTTAGCCTTTTGATTTCTTGTAAAACGGTAGATTTGTTTGTTATTGATTAATGGCAGGACACTGACATGGATTATATGAGCAATTGTGTATTTGTGGATGAAGCAGAAATGAAGAGGAAGTCAAAGACAGGTGGCTCTGTCAAGGGACGTAGAGTCATTGATAGAGATAGTGAAGCAGGCTATCAGCTTCTTATGAACGATTACTTTGCCGAGAGACCAGTTTACGGTGAAAAGGAGTTTCGTCGTCGATTCCGAATGCGTAAAGGTCTTTTTATTAAAATTGTGGAAGCCGTCACCGAGCCTAGAACAAAACTTGTTTCAACAAACAGTCTTACCTGGTCACCACCAGTTCCAATTACTGATTCTTATCACATCCACGCAACACCGCTACCAAGCATTGGTCCCCACCAAGAATCACCACCTCTGAGCATTGGCTAACACAGTGGCGGACTGGGTGGTAAAAACCCGCAACATGTGGTAAAAACCCGCAACATTTGGTGGTAAAAACGTCCATTTTATACCACCGAATGTTGCGGAATTGTGGTTCATTTACCACCGGATGTGGTAAAACTCCAAAATTATACCACCTAATGTTGCGGGTTTTTGCTACATGTTGCGTGTTTTTACCACCTAGTGTTGCGGGTTTCTTCCGCATGTTGCGTATTTATACCACTTCTAGTAGCTACTAAATTCCACTTGATGCGTCTTTTTACCATAATATAGCGTCCTTTCACTCAAAACGTAGTACGTACGTTATTACATCACTTTAACTATATTATCATTGATGCTGATGAACCTTTATACTGTTTTGCAATCAAGAAATACATTATATAATAAAAAAGCAGGGTTTAAATGAAAACGTTTTATTTTATTCAATTTTTATTTTGTATTTTACTTTATTTATTATAATTTTTGTACATATCATCTCCAAATTGATAAGGTACACTTACCTCCATAATACTTCTTGCACTTACTATTAACGGGCCCAATTAACACCATACTAGCCAAACAGCCGCCTATAGATACAGGTAACATTCGAGAGTCCCGCGAGATGTAGCAGTATATAGACCAAATCATTTTATCAGCCTAAAAAAAAAAGCAGCCTAAAAGAAAAATTTACAGCCTAAAGAAAAAAATATAGCCTAATTGAAAAATTTTCACAGCCTAAACCTGCTTTTCAAGTCCAAAGACGGCTCGAAATCTATACAACTCTTTAGAAAAACCGTATTGGAAATTCAAATGATAATTACCTTCAGCATATGACAATGTATACACACAAATTCTTGGTACTTTAAAGTGTAATGACATAATAATAATTTGTATTTCATATGTCATATTTACCTAGTTTGTATATTCTACGGTATCTATTACTTAAATAACAGCACTTACAACACGAAGCAGAATTCCGGGCTGCCTTAAAAAAAGTTATAAGAGAAAGAAAGGGAGAAAACTAAATGAACAAATTTATTAATCTATAGCAAATTATTTAAAGTGCGAATCACGCTAAAACATCTTCTACAGTAGCTGATTGTAACACTTTTTTGTAGAAGCACATCATCCATTTTTCTACGGATTTGCTCCTTATTGGTTAAAGAAGAGTTATATTCTTCTTATAAAGCTTGTTTGCCTTAAATTAACTATACTCATAAGGTTAATCATTATCCTGCTGGTTCTTTAGCTAATTTGTAAGTTGGTCGTATCTTTCTCTGTAATGCGTAGACAAGTTTTATTGTAATTAAATTCTTTTCAACAATTGATCTAATGACAGTGCTTGTAAAAGAAAAAAATTTAAAAAGAGGAAAGGAAGGAAAAATAAAAATAAATATAAATAAAAAATTATATGCCGATGGTTGCGTGTTTTATCCACCATGTTGCGTCTTTCCGCAACATGTCGTGGAATTACGCAACATGTTGCGGGTTTCCGCTACCGAGTCCGCGGCTGTGTAACCACCACGAATCACCACCTCTGAGCATTGATTCACCACCAAAAATCACCACCTCCAGGCATGCATACAATATAAAAGATCACGACGACCAGGATCAATAAATACACATTTCTGCGTTGTTGCAAGTAATTCATCTTTTGGTATTTGTGCGATGTATTTAAACTCTTCATCTACTAAACGAGTCTTGATGTTACCCGTGCAAACTTTAGATGTGTCGAAATTTTTCTTTACTATGGAAACGCCTATGCCATCCGTCATTATAGTTCCTCTGAACTGTATGAAGTTGTTCGGGTCTTGACCTTTAAGAGGTTTTGAAGATAAATTTAAGACCTTTCCGCAGATGTAAGTTTTGTCCAATTAACTCCTTTTAGAATCCTGCAATATGTGATTATTCAATATCATAGTATCAATAGTCATATACGATGGAATAAATGTATTTCTTAAAGGAAAGCTTTGGAATGATTTGAATTCGTTGGACTCGCATATTTCTGCTAGCTTACAATAAGCAACCAAGTGTTTTTCGGGATTTACTACTGCATCATAATAAATCGAATCCTTTTTAAACTTGTATGTTTCCGGGTAAGCAGAAAAAATATCCATAACATGTTGCATAGTCTTTTGATCTAGAAATTCTTTTGGGACGGTGTTGATATTTCTTGATGATATAGCAAGTTTCAGCTGAGTGGCAGGCTCCACAATGTTACTTTTAACCTTTGCTTTAATTTCTTCTTCGGAATAGCCTTGCTTCTTCAAATCGCTAGTCAGTTGTGAGATACGGTGTTTTAGTCCAATCAGTCTATTGATAACCATCCTCAGCTTATTTACAAATTGTAGAGCTATTGCATTATTATAAGCAGTTTGTATTTTTGTAGCTTCGTACGATGCTATTTGCTGCGCATTGGCTAATTGGATTGGTGTAAATGACGCGTCTCTGAAATAGGATGTCTTGTACTTGTTGATCATATCTCTGTATTCTTTAGATACTTTAATTGACAATTTATCATTATTTCGAACTTTGGCGTCTAAAAGCGATATGAACACTTCCTTGTAAAAACCTTGAACGGCATACTCTTCTAAATTAAGATTAAGCTCTTGAATAAATATATATCTTGTAAAAGAATATGTATGGGTGACAATAATATGAACATTTTGTACAAGTTTCTTTAAAATAGAAACATAAAAAGGTCTCCATCCAACTCCATTGACGGAAGACTTTATAGTCATAATTTTTCAAAGCAATTATCACTGGGAACGGACACGACACTTTTCACTTTTTTTCAAATTCTACCGTTTTCAAAGCAGTTAGCACTGGGAACGGACACGACACTTTTTATAATTATTATCGCTTGTTGGCGCATTCACCTGTGAAAATAAATAAATAAAACGATACATTTAAACTTGTTAAAAAAAAAACTTACAGACGTAGAACTATCCATATGAACGCAATATAAAAAAAAAAAAGGGAAAGAGAGAAAGAAGGATTTTAAACTACTGGTCCCAAAAATAGCTCTACTTTTGTCCCAATAACTTTCAAAATCATATATCAGTACCAAAAAAAAAAAAAAAAAAAAAAAATCGGTCCCAAAAACACTGGGAAATCCAGTATGTGATACTAGCCAATTGTTACTACTAAATGAGACGAAGGACGCAAGTTTGATCTCTAATCAAGTATAAAACAATGCTGATATATTTTAAAAGCGCAAATGGGTAATATTTACACTAACATGAGAATATAAAAAAGTTGTCAAAAAATATTCCTAAAAAAAAATTAACCACAAGTTGTACTAGTTGTAATAATAAATTTATAAAAAAGAGCAAGATTCGCAGTCCCTTTGAAACTTTGCCTCAAATTAATGAGTAAGGATAATATAGGCAGTTGGGTAAAACCTTTTGCAAAATCATTTTATACTCAATTTTTGGAAACCTAAAGGCATGGCCTTGACTGATTTTCCTTGGCCGGAATCATAGGTGAAATGGTATGGCTATGTGACTTGTGAGGTTCGCTTTCTTGCTCTCTAGTGTACGTATAAGAAAGTTTGCTTGTTTATTCCGGTAGGTGAGGGGTGGATGATAAGTTAAGATGTGCCTACTTTGTATGTCTTGCTTGTTGTTTGCTTTTCTCTGAAAGTTTGGATGGGTAAGCCTATTATCCTCACGAAAAGGATAAGGGGGAGTTCTGAGCAGACTATGTAGTTGTATTGTTTCGTTGAAGCCCGTGGTTGTTGGTTGGAAGAAAGGTCTTGATTGCTAGCCTTCCTTCTATTTTTTAATATTAATGAAAACGAAAAAAAAAAAAAAAAGTCTTAAAAAGTACACACTATAATAAAATAGGGAGTCGATGTATCACATCTCAGCATTCAAATAATTAAAATAAAAATATATGCTGTTTTGTCTAAAAAAACATCTCTTTACTTCTTTTATAAAAAATGAGTTTACCCCAATTGAATAATCAGCCTTCAGACAGTGAGGTTGATTACGAGACTGAGGTTCGTGTTCGTGACGACGACGAGGACGAATGGCAAGACGCCGAGGAACAGCCTACAGCTGCTGCGGTGTCAACTGCGCCTGCTCAGTCAAGAGTAACTGAACAAAAGACAATTGATGAGACTGAACTTCGAAGAAAGATTAAATTCATTCAACAAAACGTTGACTTGACTCCAAGAGAAAAAGCAAAACAAATACAGGTTTGTGCGGAAAAAAGTATCAAGAAGAGCGATGACTAAACTCAAGAATAGTATCTTATGTCTCATGGTACTACACTGCCTCAACCAGCTAACATTACCAGTAAAGATCCTGTAGACAATGGCCATACTAAATCTTTTAACGTAAGGGTCAAATAAAAAAAAAAAAAACTTTTTTCTTTGCTATGCTAAATTCCCAGACATTGTAGAATGAGAAAGAAAATATTCTTGGCTGTAAACATTATCAACGTAAATGTAAATTGCAAGCCAACTGTTGTCAAAAGATCATTACTTGTCGTTTCTGTCATGATGACGCTGAAGATCATACCGTTGTCAGGTAAGCTGCAACTAACAACATACTCCGTTCGTATTTTTAATCTATTTTTCTCTGCAAGAAATGAAACGAAAAACATGCTGTGTATGCTTTGTTTAACTTTACAACCTGCTGGAAAATCATGTCAAGAATGCGGTGAAGAACTTGCTCGTTATTACTGTGACAAGTGTAAATTCTGGGACGACGACCCAAAGAAATCGATCTATCATTGTGATGATTGTGGGATTTGTAGACAAGGTAAAGGACTCGGTGGAGATTTCTTCCACTGTAAAAAATGTAATATCTGTTTGCATATTTCGATGAAGGAACATAAATGTATCGAGAGAAATTTGGAGAGTGATTGTCCTATTTGTGGAGAGTATATGTTTACCAGTACGGCCACTGTTATTTTTATGGTAAGTCTATTATTTGTTTATACGCGCTATAAAAGATTAAGTTTTTTTAACTCGTGTGTTAGCCATGTGGTCATTGTATCCATAAACATTGCTATACCGATTATATCCAAACGTCTTATCAGTGTCCCACTTGTCTCAAGTCATTAGGCGACATGTCTGAATATTTCAACCGTCTCGATAAGGATTTGGAGCGTCAACCCATGCCTGCAGAATATGAAAAATATATTTCTCATATTTTCTGCAACGATTGCGAGAAAAAGACACCAGCCAAATATCATTTCTTCTATCATAAATGTGGCCATTGTGGTAGTTTTAATACAACCGTTTTAAAAACAGAAAATACAGACGAAACATCACAAAATGGACATGAACAAAGAGAACCCACTGCCATCGCCTCTTCTTCTAGTGCACCGTCAAGTTCGGCCGTTGTAGCATCATTAGAGGGGTCTGCCAATGCTCTTGGTTTATCGTCCAACTCGGATCAAGAACATGTCATGCAACCTCAAGCGGGTAGTGCTGCTGGTAATTCGACCATGCCATCATCTTTTCTGGGTATCGGATACATTAGAAATCCCCCTCCATCATCTGCCTCTAGTACTTCCTCTAGAGGAAGAAACAATGGAACCGAATCGAACGAAGGGTAATTTAAGTTTTCATACCTAAAAATGCTTACACACAGAGGAATCGAAGTTTGCAATACCACAATGTAGTTTAATGTGTAATTTCTTATATATTATAATAAAACGCACTCAATACAAAAAGATAAACAGTTCCGTTTCAGTGAGTTTAACACAACAACTGACCAACCCTTGGAATGTTCATACTGTAGCATTCGAAGGTTTTACTTTAAAGAAGTATAATCTACGACTTTATCTGCGCGAGCCAAAAAAAGATGTATGTACACATGTATCTGGTTACCGTTCCATTCAATTTTTATAAAAATACATTAAGGGTTTATTAATTATGGTGGTTTCTTTCGAAAGCTTCAGCTAATGCTCGTTGGACTTCTAAATCTTCGTCACCAACAGCGTGCATAATCTCCATCATTTCTTCTGCAGTCATTCCGGAGTTTTGTAACCTATTTTCAAAAGTGAATAACATACTTCGAAAAAATAAAATTCCATGCTTACATTTCATTTTCAATATGATTGAGTTCGTGGTTGTCCTCTTCTTCCTCTTCCTCTTCCTCTTCATGTTGTAAGAGATCAGGGTAATCACCTTGCACATCATCATAATCCCCCGCATAATCATCTTCAGCACCGGGGAAAGCACCAGGAACTTGATCCCGTCTCTCTTCACGAGCTCTTTCCAGCTCGCTAATCATGCGTTGTATATCTTCCCGTGTCATATCAGGCAATGGTACATTACGTCCCAAGATACCTTGTAACATATTTCTTAACCCATCAGGAATACCAGCCCCTCCTGGACCACGGGTACGCATACGTTCATTGATATCATACATTGTCTCAGAATCAACGGGAGGTAAAGGATCATACATTTGATAACTCTGACTTGTCACACTGGATGGCAAGTAAGACATCAGCTTTTGAATATCAATCAAGACAATGTAACGACACACACTGAGAGGAATCTCGTTCTTTTGTTCACACAATAACTTTTGTTGAATTACGTTAGGATGTGATACCGTATAATCCAAGCAAAGATCACCGTTTATCTTGAGCCATTCGAGCACTTCAGGTTCCTTCCACATTTCGTGGGTGCGCTCAATATAAGATAATTGCATGATATCCATATATGCATTGGGAATAAATTGAGTCAAGGTATGACTTTGTGGTACTTCAGGTTCACCTAATTTTTCGAGTAAGCGACAGTAAACAAGAGGATATTTTTTGATGGCTTCTTGAATCATCTTTCCACTCTCTTCTTGTGTAGATTTGGCCTTTTCCGCAATTTTGAATTTAGCGTAAGCAGCAGAATAAGCAAAATTGGGCATATTGGCTAGATCCACAGGATACAGTTTACCGTCTGTCTTCCATTCCTTATGCATCTTAACAACATAATCATAATCCTTGGCAGAAAGGGCATGATAATCTAATGATAAAAGAGCACCCAATGGGTCAGAAACAGGATCCAGACTAAACAGTAATTTGTTGAATTCAGATGCAGTTTTCCAACATCCACGACGTGTCAAGAATTGAATTTGACGGAAGATTGCTAAAAAGAATGATCTGTTTTCGGATCTTTTATAAGATAATCTGGCAGTACCGGTACTGAGAGAGAATTGAGGATGAAGAGCTCTTTCACAGGCATACAATGCTCTTTCGATAAAATCACCTGCAGCTGTCCAATCTCCACTTTGCTTTGCGATTTCAGAAAGCTGAAGCAAACTGTCAACATGGTAAGGATGTTTTCTTGTCAAAAACAACAAGGCTTCGGGGTTGTGTGTAGCAATTGCATTCAAAAACTCTAGTTGTGTATCCTGATACTGTTCGGAATGACGAAATGCATAATACGTAATGCCATCTTTTGTCTCTACACTTTCCATAGATAATCCATCTCGTTTGTAAGGCGCCCAATCACTCTTAGGAGAGGCAAACTTTGATTTTTTCAATACACGACCTTGTGTGGCACGGTTTTCACTATTTACAACGTGAGATCCAAATAATCGTTTCATTTCTGCCTCTGCGTCCAAAAATCGGTAGTTGACAGATAATAATTGTCGACGCTCTTCGGTGTTGGCATCCTTGTTATCCTTATTGGCTTTAGGCGTCCTATAAAAAGTATCTACTCTTTAGTTGCCTCTTTTTTTTTGTGTGTGTCTGTGAAATGAAGCCCTACTTTTTGTTTATCTCTTTCAGGACTTTGTCTAATTCCCTCATGCTGATATCCTCGGTATCCTTCTTTTTGGAGGGAGAACTAGTCTTATTGTTGTTATTCTTCTTCTTATTTTCTTATTCTTCTTGGAAGATGTCTAAACAGGTAACCATGAGCATGCAGCCACTGTATTTTTTTTTAGTTTTGCACACCCACCTTTTCCACAACAGGTTTTACAACAACAGGTTCAGGAATAATTTCTTCTTCCTCATCCTCATCCTCTTCTTCCTCTTGATCATCGTCACCAATCAACTAAAAAGGAAATATGAGGACAGTGCTTTTAAAAAAAAGACAAGGGAATTTACCAAATCAAAAGGGTTAAAGGGCTTCTTTTGAACATACTCTTCTTCTTCTTCTTCTTCCTCTTCCTCCTGTTCGCTTTCAGCCTTGTTGACAATATCAGGAACTTGATCCTTTCGAAGTCTTCTCAGAGCTCTTGATGACATTTTTTTTTTACGTGTTTTAAAAAAAAGAGACGCAGTTCTCCTTCGCCTGCTGCTATAAATTGAAACCTCGACCCTTCCCTTAGTGCGGTGTAGTTAAATAAAGGTCACAAATTTTTGTCACTGAGTGCTCCATTTGAATGAATAAAAAATATTTGCCTAAGTTTAATTTGTTTACATAAACTCATAAGCTTGGTATTCCATGAATTTGTTTTAAGAAAATGGCTGGAGTATCAAGGCTGGACACGATAAAGACGTACATATGTTTATGCAAATTTTAATTGGATATCGGACAAAGAAAAAATAACTTGAACGATTGATTCAAATGCTGCTGATTATAAAGAGCTTTGGGGATTTTTATCTCAAATCAATGCTGCGTTTTGATTTTCTTATTGCGCATATTTAGAATCAATCTTAGATTAACTTAAAAATCAATCATTTAGTGTCAATAAGAAATTCGAAATTTTGCCTATAGGCCTGGGCTGTGGAAAATTTACCGGGAATAGTAATGCTTCCTTTTGTGGATAAAATGACATCTTAATAGAAATACCATTTTTACTTGATCTGGGACTAATACTTGTACTTTCTCGCCGAGGTTTTACTCGGGGCTAATCCAGGATTTATTTCGTCTCCCTGGCGAACACCTTAAAAGAAAAGAAAAGGTAAATACACATTTTAATTACCACCATGTAGACTCATATATGTTCAGACCCTGAATGCTCGCTTGTTTATAAGGGAAGCTATATTTTACAATTTACGAGATGTCAAAGCAATGCTAAGTTATTGAAGAACACTTTGGTATTAAAAATAAAGATAAATCCCTAGCTTTTGTAACGTCAGATGCATAAGTTTACAACGAGCGATTGATTGCTGTAGGTTCAAAATGTGCAACGATTCAAGTACTGAAGATAGTGTGAGCCTTCTAAATTCGTAAATATGGGTCTAAAAAAAAGGTTAAGGGTTTTTCCGTGCAAAACAAATGGCATCATTGAATGTTTTGTGATTACAGGATATAACAACCCACTTTTACAGGCCAAAAAAATGTTACATGTGAATAATTTGTCGTCATCAAACTACAATAGCTGCTACTTTTTAAACCAAATAAGCAATTCACGGTTTGCATTTGCCAATAATTTAGTTTTAAGCGACAGACGTATCACCAGTTTAACAATGTTAGTTTTTTTTTTATTCATTGAGGCGACTGAACCCGTTTATATAAAAAGATGGGATTTTTTGTAGATTTTTTTGTTTGTTAATGAATTTGTGGAAATGATCATTGCAAATGGTCATTTAGACCGTATTACAAACATATCAAGAACGAGAACAGTTGTTAAATTTGACAAGTTGATGAATTCAACGGAAAGAGTAATTCAAGTACAAGCAAAGAGTACAAGTATCAATCATTTATGGGGGTTTTGCAACTTTATTGTTCGTTAAATTGTTGAGCTGGTTCAAGATAATATGACACTACCAACTTCAATCCCTGAAACTGTCTTTTATCAAAAAAAAAAAAAAAAAAAAAAAAAAAAAAAAAACGAGGCCGACAACATAACTGGATACCTGAATAACGCCACAAATGATATAATATTTTATTGTGCTGAACTTATTGGATAATATCAGCGTCACTATAAAAAAAAAACAAAAAAAAAATAAGGACAACAACACTGTAGCTTTGAATCGAACTATCATATACCGGCTTGAGATGACTGTCAGCGTTTGTAGGTACCAGCACCTGAGCCCTAAATTCTTTGTACTCGTTGCACATAGTCTACAGTACACCAGACACAGTAATGCCATTCATTTTTCCCCATACATACGATCAATAATTTTGAATGAGTGGTCTGCTTTGAGAACCCCCTCCCCCAAAGATGAAATCATCTGATCCATAAAAGATCGAAGGTCGTTAATTATTAAACAGGCTGTGATAGATATAGTCAGCATACCTTTCCTTATGTCGCTGAAGCGAGAGAATTCTTGATTGACAGTGTTCTTATATCGCATTGCCATGGTGATGCTACTTTCATGGTGTTTTAACGCATCCAGATATCGAAGTTCCAACTCATTAGGGTTACTAGATATTCCAATAGAAGATCCCATTTCGAACACGCTTTTCTTAGGGACAGCCAAATTTTCCTTAGGGACAGCCAAAGTGCACGTAGTCACAACGTAAGATCTGTGATTTGGATGTTCTGTAGACCTGGGAACAAGGATATGCAATCAAAAACAATGTAACAATTACGAATAAATGTATATTAAACGATTTATACTTATTTTGACTATTCTATCATCACTCTTTCGCCTTTGAGCTCCTTTGATCATGATCTTACGCAGAAATATTAAGGTAAAGACCAAACCAGAAGCTGAAAGTAGGCTGTAAAACACATATACTGGTTTAAACTATGTTGGTTGTAATAAATGTTGTTACACGGCACTTTTTGTCGTTCTGACCTAAGTTTTTTTTTATTTTTTTGACTGCTTTTTGGTCCTTTTCTTATAAAAGGACCATAAAATTATTTAATAAAATCATTAGTTTGTTCTTTACCTTAATCTGAATAAGTCTTAATACTTTAAGTCTTTGTGATTTTGTATTTATTATAATTGCTTGTAATTTCCTTCTGTAAAATCAGCATTGTAGCTATTCCATTACGTATTTAACTATACTCCTTCGAATACCACTTTCATCTGATTTCGTCGTATAAATTACCCTATTATATAAATATATTTTATCTTTTTTTTTTCAGTTGACAACTATATAGTCTGGTGCTCACTTTTTAAGAACTTTTATCTTAAACCTCTATTTTTATTTTCTTCTATTACTTTTACTGAAACTTGCCAGTAACAATGTGTATATATTCCAAGTTGTTCAGTTATATTGACCTCTTGATGTCTATAAAAGTATCATAATCTCAACATTACGACTACGCGCACCCTGGCTGTCCTAAGAAAAATGGCTGTCCCTAAGAGACCCGTTTCGAATAATAGATCGGCTACACTGATAGTGAATACAGCCAATAATACCAAGTGAACACAAACTAGCCCATAATTTTACCCACGCTTTAAGTAACTATTAATACCCCCCTTTCTTTCAGAGATGGAAAAGGGATGCACTTTTAATAAGAATAAAAAAGCCTACAAGCAATATCAATCTTACTCTTCCTGTTTTTTTATCTTTTATTTTTCCGTGTCAAACAAACCGTTTTTTCACACGAAAAATTAAGTCGTCACAAACATATTTCTGTTGCTTCCCGGGCACACTTTGAGGTTTGAGCTCTTTCTCTCATTTTTTTTACAGTACACTTAAAATGGCACTTATTAAACGTAAAGCACCTACACGTACCAAACGTAAACCCTCTATAGTTAAAATACCCACAGGAAAGAAAAATAGATCAGAAGTGGGTTTGACCCATGAACACGTCGCAATGCTGAATAGTATGCGACAAGAGCTGGTGGACGCTGCAGACAAAGAAGAAGCTGCCGCTAAGCAGAACGAGTATCGGTTGAAAAAAGGAAAGCTTTTTGCTGCTTGGAAAGACTTGATGAAGTACTTGCCAAAAAATTACCTGGCTTTTTTGAGTAGTAATGGCGGCATGCCCAACAAGATGGGTGCTGGTCCCGGCTTTAGTAATTCTTGTGAGTGTTCTCATGACTTTATCAAAATGGTGAAGATCAATTTCTTTTTTGTTTCGGGTAAGTGAAGTCTTCATTCAATATTCGTCATACTTATGCAAAGTTGGTTAAAGGAATCAAAGAAAACGAAGTATTTGCGTACTGCTCCTTGTGCAAGACATTGCCTATTGCTTTGGTAGAGGTAGGAATGTTTCCTTTGTCGCCTATCAAACCATCAGGAGCAGTGCATTTCAGTCTCTGTGATCTTTTCATTAAGCTTAGAAACATCTTTGCTGGCTCTGCTGGGAAGATTGCAGAGTTCTATAAGGACTGGGCTGTAGGAACCGAGAAGGTACGATTATAAACAGTTGTGTGCTACATTTTCTAAACCCTCATATAGAGTAGTCTCTCGGCTGGAGGATGCTCCAACAGCATCCTTATGTACAACAAGATGATTGAGTTGTCTGAACAGCAGGTTATAGGGGAAGTTTCCACATCATGTCCTGGTTGTCCTGAGGTTTGCAAAAAAAAAAAAAAAAAAAAAAAAAAAGCATACAAAGAGTAAAATGTACTAAACTATGCTTCTTTTTAAGTGTGAGTCAGAGTTCTTATCATGAAAAGTGCTCAACCTCAAAGATAGTGATTATGATCTTCGCTCGATACCAGGGAAATATATTGATGCCCTAGGAACCTTAACCACTCACAACAACATGGAATTGATCATTGTAGAAGCGTCAAGGTAACACATTTATTGCATTATCTAAAATATACAAGTTCTTACCCATTTATTTAGTGGACAATTCAAGGAAAATGTCGCACATTCAATTGAAGACACACTCAAGATACTAGAATGTGGAATTGCATCGTTACGAAAAGAGGCCGCTCATTACAACGACGCCTCGTTGTCAACATTCAAGAGTCTTAAGGTTTATGGGGTACAAGTCATCAAATCCCAATTCACTCTATCAGCAATTTCCTTGGATGATGAGTCACATTGGAAATGCATTGAAATAAGGAGTGCCCAATTGCCAACAGGTTGGAGTGATCGAATCGGTCTAATTCAATATCTAGAACTTCTAGCGACCCTTTACGTATGTTTATAAGAAATGTGTGTTAAAAGTTTTTTTGTGGGACTCACTTATTTTATTGTTTTTTTTTCAGGATGCTTGTTTTGAAAATCAAATAATACAAAAGCAATTAATGAAGGAAAACATCGGTTTGATTTCTTTTGGCGGCCCTTCTGTAGGATCAGTCATTAAAGACAATTAACACCCCTCCTTCTCGTATTTTTTTTTATATATATTTTCTTCATTTTACATGTCACCAAGTGACACTAAATAAATACCCTGCATCTTTCATTTCTTTAAAAAATGTTTTTAAAGTAGATACACGACTGTTCTTGCTAGGTCGAAAAGAGTTTGAGCACTAGCTCTCAACAGCTTACCAAAATCTTTAGAAATTCCAAATGTATGGGTCAGGTGTGCGGGAAAATCAAGTTGAAGTCTATATGGTAGCTGTTCAATCACTTTTCTGTCATAGCTAACACGGTACCATGTTTCTGTTTCGGACACTCATAACGATATGTCATGATATAAAAGTTTCTGAAATTTTGCATGTTTATCATAGTAGATTAAATAATGATGTTTACATGAACACGATAGCTTACTCATGAAAATCTACAATTTTTCTAGCTTTTGGATTGTCTAAGAATCCCTTCTTATTTAATTTTTTGAAGAATTGAGGGACTAATCATTTTAGCATTTTATCCCTTGTATCTGTCAACACATGTGGTAACTTAAGGCAGATAGAGTGCCTCTGGCTTTAAATATTTTGACAATGCCATCGGTGGATTTATTTAATATGTGCTACTTTTGTATGGATTTTTTGTGTCACACTCAAATTAAATCTTTTAGAGATACCTGTTTAAAAGGGTGTTCTCAAGACCCCACCACTATGGAGAGGTAAATTTCTGATGTTGGTGAGACATAGTTAGAGAATTTGATAAATGCTCTCAGAGCTGTGCTTTATCTCCTTTTTTGTAATAAATAATAATTTCCCTTTTTTTCCCCTCTAAGTAACTACAACAAAATTGGAACTTAATTTGGAACACACTGTGAACCTCAATCAAAACACTTTTTTAACATGATACAGTGGACGTGTGTCCGTAAAGTTAAATTTGTTTAATCTTAATTTTTTATATAAATGCTAGATGCAGGGTATTTATTCAGTGCCACTTAGTGATATGTACAAGGAAGAAGAGAAAACAAATACGAGAAGGAGGGGTGTTAATTGTCTCTAATGACTGATCCAGCAGAGGGGCCGCCAAAAGAAATCAAACTGATGTTTTCCTTGATGAGTTGCTTTTGTATCATTTGATTTTCGAAACAGGAATCCTGAAAAAAACAATAAAATAGGTGAGTCCCACAAAAAACATTTTAACACACATTTCTTATAAACATACGTATAGGGTCGCTAGAAGTTCTAGATATTGAATCAGACCGATTCTATCACTCCAACCTGTTGGCAATTTGGCACTCCTTAATTCAATGCATTTCCAATGTGACTCATCATCCAAGGAAATTGCTGATAGAGTGACTTGGGATTTGATGACTTGTACCCCATAAACCTTAAGACTCTTGAATGTTGACAACGAGGCGTCGTTGTAATGAGCGGCCTCTTTTCGTAACGATGCAATTCCACATTCTAGTATCTTGAGTGTGTCTTCAATTGAATGTGCGACATTTTCCTTGAATTGTCCACTAAATAAATGGGTAAGAACTTGTTTATTTTAGATAATGCAATAAATGTATTACCTTGATGCCTCTACAATGATTAATTCCATGTTGTTATGAGTGGTCAAGGTTCCCGGGGCATCAATATATTTCCCTGGTATTGAGCGAAGATCATAGTCACTATCTTTGAGGTTGAGCACTTTTGATGATAAGAACTCTGACTCACGCCTAAAAAGAAGCATAGTTTAGTACATTTTTCTCTTTGTATGCTTTTTTTTTTTTTTTTTTTTTTTTTTTTTTACCATTTAAACTCAATAAAATCTAGTGCTTTTCCAAGTGCTAACAATGAAGGTATGATGTTCTCAACGAAGTGTGCCCTTTCGTGATGTGATATATTGACGTCTTTGATGAAAGGGCTCAATTTGCTGATTCTTCAGAAAATCCAGGAGATGTTTCGCAGAGAAGAACGGGACTCGTCCATCCCCTCTGCAGCCTTCGAAGGTAACTTGTAAACAAGATGGAAGGCTGTGAGGGTATACTGAACTATATTAAAGAAAGCCTCCTTGTGACCATCATGTGTCTTGTCAAGCTTAAAAGTCCACACTTCTTTAAGGAACAAATCATCGTAAGGTTAGAATGTCCGGTAAGTTTTTTTTTCTGTTCTTGCCGAAGTGGAAAAACTGGATTAAAGCTTCAGTTCAAACCCTACGCAACTTGGGTTTATGGGGGTGTTCAACTGTGACAGAGGGTGAACTCATTAAATAATAAGGTTATGATGTTTTCATTCGCCAGAAACTGGAAGTAGCGGTCGGTTTTTATGCAAAAATGGACCGCGACCTCTGGTCCAGGTACAAAATAATTACCGCGACCGCTGGTTCAGGTACAAAATTATGTACCTCGACCTCTGGTCTAATTTTTTCGCGGTCCAAATTATACTTCTACCGGAAAAAAATTTTGCGGTGTTACCCCATTTTTTTTACCCCATTCAACGATATTTTGTTTTTGATTTAAGGATCGATATTGTCAATCGCGATATTTTAGAAAATTTGGTCGATATTGCCAATCGCGATATTTTAGAAAATTTGATCGATATCGCCAATCGCGATATTTTTAAAAAAAAGATCGTTATTTCCGCTCTAATTTGTTTGCGATATTTTTCAATTTTTGATCACTGATTTATTTTAGGGTGCAAAGGTCAGCACGATCAGCTCAAAAGTAAACAACCACATTTTGACATGTATTTTGTCTACAAAATTAAATAAAATAGATTAAGTATCATTTATACTTGCTTATTTTTACGATACTTCCGTCCTCTTTATTCCTTTCTTTTGGTGAACAAAGAAATAAAGAAAGAAAAAGTCGAAAAAGCCCTTTTATAAGTTAAAAAATAATAATATATCAAATCAAATGTTGTTAGAGACGTCATTTTTGTATAATATGGGGTTTCGACGACAAGTTGATAATAATAATTTCTTTACCTTATGATGATGGGAACCAGGGTTATGAATTTAATTTGATGTGTATGTTTTACATGGCTCTAAAAGAGTTGTTTGTGGATGTATTACTATCGGGATCAATTTCAGGTTTTAGGTTTTAATTTATATTTAATTTTTGTTTGTAGAAGAAGAAAAAAACTCTCTGTCTTAAGCTTCCAGGTTCTTACCAATGGTATCATATAATTGTAGGTTAAAGTAAACATGAGACTGTAAATTTGACTGAAAATCGAAATATCTTACAGATTAAGTGGGTGATTTTCGGCTTGAAATAAAGAGAATCGAAAACTCTTACAAATTAAGTGAGAGGTTGACCGAGAGTAAGTGGCATATGTAAAGTTTTTATTGGACATTTAAGTTTATTTGGGGACCAAAGGCTCATCCAAAAGACCTAAAAATTAGATGGCGTTTGATCTAACGCGGGAATAAATGTAGTCATCAGCTTCAAAAACCGGTTTAGAAGCTCCATGGTTGCTTTACCCATCAAAAATCTATAGCCTGTTTCCCTCTTGTTTTTTTTTTGAAGTGTCATATTTTTATGGATATATAAAGAGATATTCTATAATAAAAAAAAAAGAATCTGATATCTTAAGCCAAATTAAATACTATTGGAATGCAGTAAAGAACACTGTATGGCATCGAAACTGCGAGAATTGATTCTGCTGGTAGAAGTGGTTATGTTGTTTCTTCTTTCTCGACTTCTGATGTAAATAAGATGTTGTGTTGGACAATCTACAAATAATTATTTGCAGCTGCCCTGACTTCCGCTTTAGCAATATCGCATGCAAACACATGTATTTGTTGAAGTGTAATATGTCTTGGTTGTCTGTATTTGAAGGTAAACATAAATACTATTTAATTCTTTACGGCTTCATTTTTTTTTTACTAACCTTAAATCGAATAGTTTCTTTCGACCCCACTTTCTCAACCATTCCCCAGAACTCGCCTGATAGCTCAGCTCTTCTTACTCCAACTGAACAAGCTCCTCTCACCGCTCCAAGCAATTCTTCAACAGATTTTGACACTCTGCTTTCTAACATTCATAAACTTAAACGCCAGCAATATACTTTGACCAAAACTGAGCTGGAAGAATTAAACAGCTTCAATCACTGGTTTCTCTCTCGTATAGAACATTCCTTCCAATTCTAATTTTACTATACAAAGATAACAAAAAAAAAGTTAATATTAAACGCGCCCCTTCCCTCTGCCTAAAAATCAAAAGCAAAGCAGCCCACTACTTTTAAAAACCGCTCAAAAATTCGGGTACATAAGTAAATCGCGCGTCAACTCGTCTTTCTTTCGCTTTAAAAACATGACGGTACCCTCAACATCTCTTGAGAACCATAATCATGGCCCTCTAAAGACACTAACACGCTCTTTTCGAGATGTGGCTGCACAAGCCTTACCACCTCGAGCATACCGAAACAATCCCAATTCGAAATATCGAATTACCGACTCTCTTGGAGACACCATCTTCAAACCCATTACTGACCTTAAAGATCAAAAACCAGCTATTCATCGTAACAGTAGTTATAAACATGCCGTGTTTTACTTTATTGACAAAGAATTTTTGAATCTCTTACCTGCATTTCAAAAAGCACGTAATGTGCGTTTCCCCTTTGGTACCTGTCTCGGTACCCATGCCACAGATGACAGTCAGTGCAAAATTATCGAAGTCATTTTGAATGACCAATCAGCTGTAGACGATGCCGTTACCACTCCTATTCTTGTAGGGCAAGATAGAAAATTTTATGCCACTCCTGCTGTCCCTCAGGATAACATCATTTTGAAGGTCCACCTTTCCAAATTACCTTTTCTGCCAGTAGCCGACCTTCACGCCACTTTGGTCGATAATTTCTCTCGATATGGTAATGTGAGAGACGTTACCATTTACCTAGACGACGAATCCAACACAGCTTTCTGTGGCAATGGTGCTATCTTTTTGGATAGATCAATCGACCCGACTAACCCTAGAGCCTGGGATAAACTGACGTATAAAATTGATTTGGGCAATCAGTCCTTTTGTCTTGGAAAATGGGCTAAAATGGAGTCACATTGCGTATATTGTAAACAAATGGGTCATACCCGTAAGGACTGTCAAGAAATCCCAACCATTAGCAAGACATGTTATCTATGCGATAGACGCGGACACCTTGCTCGCCACTGTCCCCGCTCTCATGGTAACTCAATTGCATCCTCAAAGAAACGAGTTCGTAACGAGGAACAACCTTTTGTACCCAGCATTGATAAAATTTTAACAAATCTCGTGCCAACCATTAATACTGACGACAACGTTACAGCAACTGGTAACGAACCCAGTAATACCGCTGTCAACTCAATTACCGAGGAGGCTCGGGTTCTTCGCCCATCCAACTCTATTACGGTATTATCGGATAATGGATCCATGATGGACGTTTCAGAGGACGATAACGATCGATTAACGGACGCAGAAGAGCTCCCATTTACTACGAACAATTCACCAACCATCAGTGAAGAACGATCAACAACTACCACTAGTGCCCCCAAAACTGTCGCAGTCTTGTCAAAATTGCGCGTCAACTGGGAGTGATGTCATCTCGGCTTATTTATGTGCGCCATCTCTCAAAAAATTTCAAATTATTTGCTTTTCTCTATTCCAAAAAGATGTCTATTAATTACTTTTCCCGAACTGCTGCCAAGGACTGGGACATCGCTGAGGCTATAATTTGTTATAATCAAGAGGAGAGTGCAGTTGAAACGAGCTTATATGAACTTTTACTGCGGATCAAAAATGATCTACAAATAACAGGAAAGACACAGACAAGCTTAAACAGATACGTTCTGAAAGCTTTAGTACAAGTGGACGTCAGTAAAAACTAAATACGATTCTTTCTCAAAAAGACAATTAACCTTTGTTTTACTTTTAGAAATTATTGCAGCTAAGGTGTTTAGGAGTCGGTAGAGGAACTCAAGAGATACAGGATGAGGGACCCGCAGCAATAACTGTCAACAACATAAGTCGGGACGAAGAAGTTAATATTGCTGGTGTCAACAATGTCACTCTAAATCCACCTGTAAGTACAATAAAAAACGAAACAAAACAAAAACTAGGTGTATTGATATTAACTACATTTTTTAGAATAACAAACGACGTGCTACTTATAAAATTGTTAATCAGGTATTTATACTTTACCACTGACACTCTTTTATTTTCAATTCATTAACTGAGTTTACTGATTTTCTTTTTATATTTTTTAAAGGTCGCGACAGATGTTGGTGAAGGCTCCTCAATGTACAGCATCAACCCACCCTCTATGCCAGTTCAACGTCCCCATAAAACAAAGTTGCGTAAGGTTCAAACTGAAGCTCTAAACCAGTCTGTCTATTTTGGTACCTCATTTTCTCAGTCCAACCCAACCTTCCAATAAAAAAAAAAGTTATGACGTATGGATTTTTTTTATTTAAAAGTCAGATCTTAGGGACAGCCAGGGTGCGCGTAGTCGTAATGTTGGGATTATGCTACTTTAATAGTTGTTTGTTTTAAATTTACTTCAGTTCTAAATGAAGTTTTTTTTTTGTTTAATCTTGATCGCAGCATGTGTTGGAACGAGTCTTGCTAATACAGAAAAGTTAATATTGGAAGCGAGATTAGACAATACGCAAGGCCTTTGCGATGGCGAAATCCACCGGGTTTCGTTGACGCCACCTTATACCCAAACTCGACAAAGTCTAATACCTCAATCAGCTATGAATCGAGGTTCATCACAACAATTCCAGCTTGATGACTTAAAGGATGGATCTAACTATGAAATTAGAATATCTTATCCAGCTATTGTAAGATTCCATTTATCTTTATCTCCCTCTGTTGCCTAAACTTTTATTTTAGACGCCTGCTGATTTTAAATTGGACATTATTAAAGCATGTAAAACAAAGGATAATACTTTATCGTATATTCTCGATGTCTCTGCAGTATACACTGGTGTGTCTCACATCAAAGGACGAGAGTCTTCGCCAGTTATATACGATCTTGGTATGTATTGCTTCATTGTTATTCGATTTTTTTTTAGTAACCTATTTTTTCTTCCTCCAGTGTTAGAGAATTTATATGCAGGATTCTTGTTTTATCAAGTGTACAAGATCGTCATTGCCATTCTAAGTGTGCTTGTATTGGGCCATCTTGTAATTATACCTGCTGTCAAGGATCTGATCACAAAAGACGTGCATTGCAAAATGTAAATAAAATCGTGTGGTACAGCATCTATGCCAATGATCCTTTTGTTTTTCTGAAAACAAAACATTACAATAATTGGTCATTTATTGATCGTCATTGATATTTCTCGGGTTATCTTTGTATGGTTACTTTATTTACGGATGTTTCATGCCCAATTATTCTGGTGGTCATGAGCCTCTGATCGCACGTAGGAGCTACCATAAAATTGTATGTGTGCATACTCTTTTTTCTTTATTGAATATATCACAACGGTAAAACTATTCTTCTTCATAAGCAACACTATTGTGTACAACAGCAACCCAGTCTCGTTGATCGTAAATTTTCGAATTTTATTTACCACTGATACACTCAAAACGGTGGCTAATTTATCAACTTGATTGAGACAAAGTGGTTTGGTTGGAGTGATCTAACATAGAATAAAAGAATAAATACATAAATACACATAAAAGCCTACTGAAAAGCATTGCATTCGATGTTGTAAGTTGTACGCCTATCAACCCTCATCCTGTAAGCACGGTTTCTCTTTTAATAAGGTAGTGCTTTCCAGACAGTACTATCGAACTCTCGGTATGAGCCAACTTTTGTCTTTATGTATTATATTTGTTGAACTCCTCAGGTTTGCCTCATTTTTCATAGCGAGAAAATGGCATTGATGGCAGTGAATATTAAAAATTTAATTCGTATCGAATTACACATTACAGCCATCAGATTTTTTGATTTTCCTAAGATAAATTACGCTCATTATCACATTATTATCACATTATTATAAGAAATATATTGTATACGCTTTCATTAGCTAAAAGTGTAATCTTAAAAAGATCCTGGGAAATCTAAAATAATTCTGTGTAATTTAATTTCCTGCAATTGTTTACTGATATAAATGTATAGTTGTGGGATAATACAATTACCCTTTTTATTATATATTTAAGCGAGATTGTTCCTTATCAATGAGAGATTGACGGATAGAATCAATGACCATGATATCTTGTAAACTCATGGTTTCTACTCGAAGTGAGCTCAGGTGCCTGTCAAGTGACGGCGAGACAGACCTTGATTGAAACCAAGTATGTAATGAATTAGCTCTAATCAATAAATCTTTTTCATTCATATCTTGCTTTCTCACATGATCTAAATGATATTGTGCACAAGAAAAAAAAACAAGCCGGTTTTAATATATAGTTGAGCGCATAAAGAAGAAAAAAAAAAGAGGGGTTGCCATACCAATAAGTACTACATCAGGATTATCCGATTCAATTGTCTTTCTTTTTGTCAGTTTCTTTTGACAATGGCCCGATGTTGTTGAAATGATTTGGATATTCTAAAGTAGGTGAGTAGGCGGGTAAATGAAATATTGATTTCTCCGCTTAAACTTTTTGTGTGTACAAAATACCTTTTCAGTTACGGCTTCAGGTTTCTGATAGATAATCCCAAAGTCCAGTGTCATGCAGTAAGGACAAGCCATCTGCTTGGTAGAATCAGCAGGCGCTTTTTTAAGCTGCACAAAACATTCGGTGCAGATAGGTTGATCGCAGCAGCGAGCGTAATTGATATTACCGGGATAAAACTATGCGGGAAAAACATAAGGCGATTAATTTTCCCAACTCAAAAAAATAAAGTTGGACCTGTTCAAGTTACCAGAAAACATAGTGGACATTCAACAGAATTAAAGTAAATGTTATCAAAAACCGTTTTTTCATGTTTCTTTATAAATGCAGTGTAATCTTTTGGCTTTACAAGTTTTCGGGTATCCTTTGTGATGATCTCATTGTGAAAGCATTGCTGTGTAGGACTGGATAATCCTGTTTTTCATAAAAGAGTTTATCAACCAAAAATATTAAGCTAACTTTAATAAAAGTGATTACCTTTGTAGAAAGGAGCTAATCTTTTTGCTGAAATTAATTCTCGTACGAGCTTTAAATCACATTCGTCATTCTCTTCGTACAAGCCAAGTGGTGTCCAAGTGCCGTAATCTACAAGGCAATATTTTTTGTCGTCTTTATCAGTTGAATGAGAGGCGCCCATATTTAGTTATTTAATTTAGAAAGAAAAAAGTGTTTGATGATAAAAGAAAAGAAATGACAAAAAGAAAACAGTGCATTATTTATAAGGTTAGCAAATCATGTGCTTATTATGGAATATATGCTTGGAGTTGGACCATAATTCATATCCTTGTGTGGTCAATGACTCCTTTTTTTTTTTTTTGACAGAAAATCATACAACTATGGTGCAACTCTCACATTGTTATCGTGTGCTGTTTTACATTGGAAGCGTGACTTGATAAAAATCTCCCATTGTTTTTCTGACCAAGCTTTTTAATTTTTTTTAAACCCGTCTTTGTCTCTTTCTCTTCTTCTTTTTTATCACTGATGCCGAAAGAAGACGATTCAGCGAGCGATTATTCCGACTTAGAGTCTATTCACTCAGATGTAGAAGAGGATTTAGAAGATTACAAAAAGGGAGGATATCATCCCGTGAACATTGGCGATCGCTTTGACAATGGTAGATACATTGTCTTGCGAAAGTTGGGATGGGGACACTTCTCTACAGTCTGGCTTGCATTGGATACCTTGTAAGTACATGCTCGATGCCTTGACAACTCCTGGACATGTCCTAATTCCTAAATAGAAACGATTCTCATGTTGCATTAAAGATTGTCAAAGCAGCAAATCGATACACGGACAGTGCCTTGGAAGAAATCAAGCTACTTGAATGTGTGAAAAAGACGAATGCGGAATCCAAAGGATGGCAGCATGTAGCACAGTTACTAAACCATTTTTGGCATCAAGGGCCCAACGGAAAGCATGCATGCATGACGTTTGAAGTGCTGGGTGAAAGTCTATTAACCTTGATGAAGCGGTATAATTACAAAGGGATTCCACAAAATATTGTGAAACGTATCGCAAAACAGGTGCTGGAAGGATTGGATTATTTGCATCGAGAATGTGGCATTGTTCATACGGATTTGAAACCAGAAAATGTTCTCGTTTGGATTCCAAATATCGAAGCATATTTGAAAACGGATACAGCAGATATTTTAAAGGAAATCAAGGAAAGAGAGCATCAATTACCTTCTCCTAATTCAATGACACCGACCACTCCTAATATAGAAAGAAGAAGATCTTCAACAACTTCTTGGCATGAAGGAATGGATGTTGAGAGTATGTCGAAATCCAAAAAGAAACGACTCAAGAAAAAGATGAAGAAGAAGACATTAGACGATGTAGAGGAAGTAGAGGATAAACTGGGAAACCTAAAGATTTCAACAAATTGGTCTACACCAAAAGAAGCCAAGGTGATACCTTCTTCTATTTTGGATATCACCTCTATTGGATCTGAGGAAGACCTTGATACTATTGTAATTAAGATTGCTGATTTGGGTAACGCCTGTTGGATGGATGGAGAATATACACATGTTATTCAAACAAGACAATATCGTAGTCCAGAAGTGATTGTGGGAGCTAAATGGACGAATGAGGCAGATATGTGGAGTGTTGCATGCATGGTAACAATAGACTGTACATGATTGATTATAGAAGGGAAAAAAAAGATCTTAATTTTATTGTAGATCTTTGAATTATTGACAGGAGAATTCCTATTTGATCCTAGGGCTGGATCAAAATATAATAAGGATGATGGTAATTATTAGAGATATACGGTTCATATTCAACTATATTAATACCCTTTCTCGTTATTAATAGATCACCTCGCACAAATATTAGAATTAATGCGCACAGTGCCAAAACTCTTAATTTCAGGTGGTGAATATTCGCGCGATTTCTTTGATCGCTCAGGTAAACTCAAACACATCAAAAAATTACGTTATCGTCGATTAAGGGATGTACTGCACGACACCTTCCTTGTGCCACCAGAAGACGCTGATGCCGCAAGTCACTTTCTGTTACCGATGCTTGAAATGGACATGACAAAACGAGCATCTGCTAGTCACATGTTGAAATCCACTTGGTTAAAAGACGCATAAACGGCTACACAAAAAAAAAATTATTACGCGCGTCATTGCTGTGTTCATTTTGCCAAGCTCAGTAGAAACTCCGTTATACATATTCATAAACAAATTTGTTATTATCCCTTTCTTTTTCTTGTTTCTAAAATTAAACTTACATATCTATACAAAATGGAGTTAACCCCTCACCAACTTCATTATTTCAAGCGAGAGCTTATTTCTCAACAACTTGATAAAGAAGTCGATCAAATTAAAAAATCCACTCAATTGTCCAGTCTTATCCATCCCACACCCGAGACCAGTAGTGAATACCCATTTTTGCAGTATCTTACCCAACACTTTATCTTGGAGTTTCCTCTTTTAAAGAACGGCAATGAAAACAACTTTTGGACAAAGTTACAAGCTTTTCTGGACGAGTATAGTAAATTAAAGCTGGATAATTATACACCTAAATCCACCAGAGATTCTCAAAGACGTGTTTTGCTCTACAAGATAGAAAAGCTATTGATTATTTCTCTTTCTGCCAGTATCAAGACTGTTCAAGGTAAAGAAGAATCTATTGATGTTCTGGATTTGGCCAAGCAAGACCCAGCCGAGGAAAGTTTGGTTACCAAGTTAAATTTGACTCATCTCGAGAGCGAAGAAACTTATTTGGAATGGATCGGACTCAATGGTTTGCGTCTGAATGTCGTGACTGTACGTGATGTCAGTGAAGTACGTACCATTCGTCAACATGTCCATTCTGAGTTTATTGTCGAGACAAACCTGGTTGTAGCCGAGGGAGAGGAGCCTGCTCCTACTGTGTATGTTGCAAGACGTCATGGACAATTTCGTCAACTCCGAGATGATCTCAAAGTGGCATTTCCTACCTTAGAAATCCCCGCTGTTCCCGGAAAGGCGCGTGATTCTTCCTATGCAGCCAAAGAAAGTCAACATTTACATCGTGAAAAGGACCGTATCATGTTGAGATCTTTCCTTCGTAGATTATGTGCGGAGCCTGTGGTTGCAAACAGTGACATCTTTAGAGACTTTTTGTTGAATGAACCAATGCAATTGTCATTGCTTGAACAAAAGGATGCGGACTTGCGCCAGAAAATGGATCAAAACCGTATTGACGAAGAAAAGAGATTCCGTGAACAAGTTGATCAAAAGATTGTTGAATTGGATGGTTTATTGGACATGTTAAAGACCCAAATTATGAAGCCTAATGGATTGGTTGAAATTTTCGAGGTTATCAAGACCACTGAAACAATTGATAAGTTACCCGTCGAGTTAAGAAAGGCGTTTGAATGGGGTAGAATTAAGTAAGTCTATAAATAGATAATTAGATGTAGTTTACTAAAAAAAAAATATAAACACAGTTTCGCATTTGTGCTTCATACACAGTTCGTCACTTCGGATAGATCTGTTGAAAATGTTGCTAATTTGAAACGTACTCATTCTCTTATGCCTTACCGTACCATTGCTCAGATTCTCAAATTATCCAACCCATTTTCTATGGTCAAGGGTGTTTTGGATTTATTTTTGGCCCAACCTTTTGGCGGAAAAAGTCTTTTCCAAAGGTGTGTAAAAATATTTTTTTTTCTACTTATGCTCCCTTATTAACCTCTCATCATTAGAATTATGTTGTCCAATATGAGTGAACAAAGCAAAGACATGCAAAAAGATATTGAAGAACTTCAACTCAAGATTAATGACCCGCCACTTTGTGAAAAGGTTGCCAATGCTGTTCAATCTGATATTCCTGCTGGTGTTAGCATGGGTAAGACTACACCTATTCAAGAGACCTTGGAACTGTTAAAAAATCCTACAATTCAACCTGTCTTGACCCCTCAACAAATTATGCGCGTCGCATTTGCCAACCAACCTGGTAAAGTAGAAGCACGTACGCTTGTTGAAAACCTGCACAAGTTATGGATCTTGTATGCTCGTAAACAGGAGCAAGAGTCATTAATGTCCTTGGTCTTCCAAGGCGTCACAGGTGAAATCATCAAGGATTTGTTTGCCATCTTTTATGAACCTTTAGCTCAAGTTTATAAGGCTGCTAATATTGGTGATAGTATTGGTCATGTTGCTGGTTTCATCAATGACTTGATTGCCATTATTGATAAATTAGATGTAGAGGATGCTACTAATACTGCACAACCTTTCATTGACCTTGTCCAACGCCATGAATCCGAGTTCTATCAATTTGTTCATAATGTGCATGCTCAAGATCAAAGCAAGTTGTTTGATAATTTGTTGGGTTATGTTGATAACTTGTTTGGTTTTGTCTCCCATGGTATACCTACTCGCATTGATGTTGAACAGATTACATCAGAAGCGGGTATCACCAGTGCAGAAATTCCTGCATTGAAACAAGAAATTGATGCTTTGTGTGCATATCACTATAGCCGAAAACAAAGACATTTGGAACGTAAGCGACAAAAGCTGATGTCTACAAACGATGTGGCTGATTCGGAAGAGATCTTTAACTTTTTGCCTGATAACAAGGAGGTGATGGGTGTATTTAATGATATTGCTGAAGTAGATTATGAAAGCGAGGAGGAAGAATCTACTAGTGGCGGAAGTAGTAGCAGTCTCGTTGCTCATGAGTCTACTATTGTACCTCCTACCCTTGTACTGATTCCCAAGATTGCACCTACTTTTGTTAAACATGTTCGACAAATCATGCAATAAAATAATGATGATAATAAAAAAGGACTATTTGTATTTTTATTAAATAAAACAATAAAGAGTTACCATGGTGTGTTTGGTTTGTCAGTAATTCCTTTCAATAACAGGGACTTTAGATGTCTCCACCTATCATAACAAAGACGAGCAGAGTGTCTTCCATCAAATCTCACTTCAAGTTCATTCCAACCACCACCGTGTAAGTGATGAAGGACGTGATTCAATAAAAGCATGTCATCATCATGAGTCCATAATTCATATCCACGTATCGTCTGATCAAATTTTGAAAGAGGTGCTAAACGTTTTTTACTACTACTTGATGGTGGCGATAAAGAAGAACAAGAAGATGAAGATGATTGATAATGTTGTTGAGGTGGACTACTTAAACTATGCCATGAAGGTACTGGTGTACTTGGGGACTATTTGTGTTGCTTATTTTAGCCTTACTTAAAAAGAAAAAACGAGCCTTTTTTTTAAAAAAAAAAAAACAAACCTCTCCGTTTTTTTCAGCAAGCTTTTGTGTGCTAATATTCAAATGATTATTATCCGTTATTCGCATTTGGTCCATTGCATAATTTATTATATCCTTTGTCGTGACAATACTAGTGTTATTTGATCGCTTTATTAAGTTTCTTGTGGATGCAATCGTATTCTTCTTCATAATCGTTCTTCTGTTCATTAAACATCTCTCGTTTTTCTGCTGTATTGGTGGCACTGTTTCTTCTTCGTTATCATCATCTGAATCGATTATCTCTCCATTATCGTCATATTCAACAATCAGTTTCTGCTTGACTAGACACACATTTATCAAACATTATGGAAATCTGTAGGCATAATATATAAATATATGTATATATAACTTACTCTTGTTGGGTATCTTTTTTGGCATACAAGGTGTTCCAGTACGCTGATAATTTAAAATGATGTTACGTACAGCGGTTTTCGAAAGTCCTGATATGCGAGCAACATGTTTTTCAGTTGCCCCAGCTTGATAGGCTCCGACAATAAGCCAGCGTTTCGCTTCTGGTGAATCTCGTAATTTGGCTTTTGTCATGTACAGAGATGAGAAAAAAACTAAAAAGAAGGAAGGGAAAATATATTCTTCTTGCAGCTGATTCTATCTTAAAGGAGAAAAAAAAAAAAAAAAAAGAAAGAAAATGGCGTTTTTCATTGGCTCACTAAAAATGTGATTATTATTATTTGATTATCTTTCCAAAAAAAATGAGTGCATGAAAATCTATTGTGTGTCAAGAAAGAATCAATACTTTAATCTTCTTTGTCAATTGTCTCGCCTATATAATTTAAAGATAATCATTCAACCAACTGTATTTCTCAGGGCACTTTTTTGTAATGTGGGGTGACACACACATTAAATTAATTTTGCATGGCGGAAACCTCGGCATGGTTTCCGGGTAATACTCACGCCTTCCTACTTTACTTCTATGGCTTAAGGTGCATAATTTAACATTCGTAGTAAAACAGGTCAAACTTATATAAGTACGACATGCAGTTTTTACTATAGCTCCTTTCGAGTTGTTGACCGTGCATATCATCAGTTTAAAAACTGGTTTTGTAATTTGTGGGTGTTATCACTCTCACTTACTTATCGCATGTTGGAAATTCAAACATGCACATTCCCCATATCCTCTATATTTACACTTTGAATACAAACAATCATGTACCAGCGTCCAATTTCTCCTTACTGTAATAACGGCTTATTTCGCCACATCGTTTTAAAGTCAAACAACGATGAGTATACAACAATTGTTTACTTTCAATTTGTCAGACTTTTTTATATATTTATTTTCTTTGCTCTTGGGTAGATAACATATGAGACAAGGATGTTTTTACTAACCCATCTTTGTCCGTCCTATACCTTAATGCGATTTTCTACATAGGATAGCAATTCAAACGTAACCGTGTCACTTCGAATCATACTCTGACCCTGGCATTGACAAAGCCTCTTCAAAACGATTTGAGTTTGCTCTTACAATCTGATCTACCAAACGTAACTGAATTAAATAAGGAAAAGATTTAATGGGGCCAGATTTACTTATGAATATCTGTTGTAAATATTTGTGTGTTGAATGTTAATCCAACGCCCTTTCTTTTTCTTTATAAAATGTAATACTTAATCGTCAACAAACTTAACTGGTTGACGCACTTAATCTAATAGTTGACATTGTCATAACAGTGGAGATGTGTAGTATTTTTCGAAAGGGATCTATTTTATTATATTTGTATACATTCTTTAAATTCAAATAATTTTGCTGGAATCAAGAATCATATTTCTTTTCTCATCTTAAGCCAAGAAGCCACACATATTTTGTTTCCGGCATCGTATTCGACATGTAACGGTCTGTTGCGTTTCTACTTTTCTTCGAGAATAGTCCCAGGTAAATTATAAGAATATAAAGTGATAGCCTGACATTCATATGGAGCTTTGGGAAGTTGGATATAACAGTAACTACTTATTATATATAGCATTCACCAGGAAAAAAAAAGTAGCTGAAGTATATAGTCAGGTTTGATAAAGTTTAAATTAGTTATTATCTGTCTCAGTTTTTTACTCGCGTTATTTGACAGACTGCTTCTAATTAAATTGCGTCAAGAATCCAGCAAGAACTTTATCAACGGAATGGCCTTCTTTTACTGCTTGTAGAAACAAAATGTTACCGCGTTCCCTCGAAGAGTTTTTATAGTTTTAGATTCAAATACATTAAATTGGTCCGAAAGATAAAACAGATTTCAACGAAAGGTGTTTAACCTACCCCTCTTTTAAGGTGGCTAACCGGTTTCCAAGTAGAAAGTCAATTGAGTTTCAATAACTCTATTTCTAGAAAGTGCATACATGTTCTGGTAAGTTTAACTGTGGATCATGCTAAAATAACCACGACTAGACTTTACTTGAGTTGCACGTATAGATAAAAAACCACTGCTGTCGTGGGAAACCATCGACTATGTATGATGACTCTGTTGCGTATCATTATCAATGAGGAAGATGATGTGGATAATTGTCTTGCATTCAAATGGCGTATTTAATTGATAAACAGCTTGGGCATATAACATGTTGATGGCATATAGAGACATGGTAATTGGCAATAATATAAATAGCAACAGATTTTTAATCAAAGATAAGTGGCAGTCAAATAAACAAACATGTATGTACCAAGCACCTTATTGTAGAATAATAAACGTCATAAATGAAACTTTAAAATTTAGGAAAAGCCAGATTAGGGCAAATGTTTATATTTGTGTGAATTAAAAAAAAAGTGTGAGGATTATTTACAATGAATTATTAATATATGTGACAGATGTTTACAGAGAGAAATCAAGTATAAAATGATGGCTTTTTACGATCACCTAGCAATCGAGTAGTTTCTGAATCAGCAATAACGTTATTTACAATATTTACTTCGTCCTCTACTAATTTGTTGACGGAGGAGGAACGCCAAGAAATCATCAAAACGCCACAGATAGTGATGGCTACACCAAGCATGACGAAAGAAAGTTGCCACCATCTTAATCTATCCCATTGGTCATAATAAACAAGACCGTTGAACAAACATGATACATTAAAGGTACATGACGACAACGGTATCATGATTACAGTATCACACAATTGTAACCCCTTATTCAGGTAATACAACTAAAAAAGAAGAAGAAAAAGTATGTCATGTGTTACCGTCCATGTAAGCTGCGCAGATTATAAAAAAACTAACCTGTAAAATGGCAGTCAGAATCATCATGGCCAATAATATCCAAGTCAGAGCATATTGCAATTGGTTTTTATCGAACACGACGGATAAAATGATTAATTCTAATCCACTCTTTGCAAATAAAATCGATTGACTACTGATGTTACCGGACAGTACGCCAAAACTGATTCCGATGTATTTCTTAAAGTCCTCCATGCTCACCCATCTACCAACCAATTTACCCATATTCGTAGGTTGAATTGCTGTCGATTCCATCATGTAATATAACCGTTCACAGTAATGCGTAATAAATAATCCGCTCACAATCACAAACTCCAGAATACTGAAATAGGCAATAAAAGCTGGCTTCTTGTATAACCTGATCAAGTCATCAATGTCATGGTCCGGTTCAGGAATGACACCAAATAATCCAACCAGTAAAGCACCCACAACAATTAGAAATGTGCCTATTTTTCAAGCGTTTAGTATCAGAAAAAAAAGGGGGGTACCGATTGCATAAAAGGGTTCTTTGTTACCGATTACTGTCTTCTTTAAGAATGGGTCACCCAAAACGATTTTAGCGGCAATTGCATTAAATACAAGGCCCATAGCTCCGATAGGTGCCAAGATGACTATAGGAAGATATCCAATGGAAAAAATAGACCCAATGATATTAGCCGTTAGAAACGTAGCAAAGCTAATGACCCACATGGGTCTCTTTAGTGAATGCTTTCTTGCTTCAATGGGAAAGATCTTGTCATTCAAAAGGTGCGATTTACGTTGGAAAGCCATGGCAAAAGCCTGCACCAAGTTGGTAACCACTGACACTCCAATGCCAATCCAAAATTGTGTTGTGTATGCAGCTTTTTCATCATCCTCGTATTCTATTCCCAGTCTATTCATTTTGTTGTTAATATAAAAGAGAGAGAGAGAGAGAAGGAAGAATTAACGACCCGGTGGATAAATTTAATTTCTAAAACCGCCTCGTTGTAAACAAGCAATGCGATTGGTCTACATGGAATTTTTTTTTCTTTTTATTATTATAGTACAAATATTTAGTCTTGATGTGTGTTAGGCTGATCATCTTGCTGAGTGAGGGTAGGAGAAGGAGGGAGGAGAGTTTGCTTTGCTTCTTCCAGTTCATTTTCGGGATACTCGGGTGCATTGAAAATAGTATCACTATAGTTATTAGCAGATTCATCCGTTACTGTCTCATTTTCCTTCTTTCTTCTGGGAATCCTATGTAGTAACCCATATCCCACATCACAGCCTAATGATCCATTTCCTCCCCATTCATGATTAGGAACAATGATACACTACATGTGATATAAACATCTTAGAACTCTTCTTCCTAATATCTTGCCCATTTTTTTTTAAAAAAAAAGAATTATTTTACCTCTCTGCAGCTATCCCACTCTGAATTATACAGATAAATTCTCAATGGTTTACCAAGATATTCTTCAACAAGCGTATAGAAATCATCTTCGTTTCTGAGCGTCATGTGGGGGCTACCGATAATGTAGTCAGTATAGGGGATGATACCTGCCATTTCAGCAGGTGAGTTAGGGGACACATCCAGCACGTGCCACACGTTTTCTCCGGCACGCTCAAATGAGCAGAATCGAATGGAGCATCCTATCAGGTAAAGAAAACAGGCACGTTAGTCTTAAAAATAAAGAAGGGCCTACACTTTCTTTATAAAGCTCCTACCAATTAAGCTCTTTTCATTGGGGTCATCAGGATGCCAATCTCTACTCGGTGTCAAGGTGACCTCTATTAAGCAAAGTTTAGGAGACTTGTTTTTTGAAATGTGTATTGTTTATATATTACCGCGAAAGGATTGCTCTTTACTAGAGTACACGCCTATCGGCAAAGGTTTACCCTCATACTCTTGCAAAGTGGTTACCAATGTCTGGCTATCTCCATTATTCTAAAGAGAGCTACATCAGTTTATAAACCAATGGAAAAGGTGAAAATATGTACCAAAGGAATGCCATTGATGTTGACAATGTAATCAAAAAATTGTTCGATTCCTGCATGATAAGCCGGCGAATTTTCCTTGACCTATAGTACATTACAAAAAAACGCGTAAGAAAGCTTGTGAATGAACCAAGGATTTCCACTTGCCTTTAGTACATGAAAGCCATATTGTCCTTGTTCAGAACTTTGTGCTCCTCCCATGGTTTTGCTTTAATTTATGTTAAAACAACAAAACAAAAAAAAAAAAAGATAAAAATATAATGTTTCGTTTAAAGCCAGTGCCGGTGCTACTAGACGAGTCCAATTATGACAGTAACATTTGCAGTTTTAGATTCGTGTCAATCGTAGCTGGATAATAGCCTTAAGTATCACCATAGGACTATTTATTGCCCTGAAATAAGTTCTTTGCTATGTTGGGAAGGGCTTCATAAAGCGTCTACAGATAATTCTCAACATCCCAATCCGAGCATGGCTTCTTTTGAACAATATAACACAATAAAAGTGATATAGTCGTTTTAACCTGAACTGCATTTAAAAAAGGCTTGAAATTGAATCAAGACCATTTTCAGAAAGTATACGATCTTATTGGAATTTTTCTTATGTCAACTTCCTACACCAGTGGGTAGTACCTTTATCATTACATTCGCTGCTACTGCGAAAGTTATGGCCATTTTTAACGTTCATTGCTGATACTTTAAAGTCGTATAGCTCATAAGACAATCATAGCCTTGTTTCTTGCTATTCTATCAAATCATAGCAGACCTCCTCTTATTGTGGAAATCATAAAAACAACATGCCTCAGTGCAACATAGGCTTAATAGCTACAAAGCCGTTATATCCGAGCCACATAACGTACACTAGAAAGCATTAGGTATCGCAAGTTAAGTGGTAGAAGAGTGCTTAATTTATTTTTTGCTTTAGGAATCGAATTAGGAGGATGTCTGAATGGTTGAGAATCCAAAACTCTTGAATATCAAATGAGTTTCTAACTAAGAATCGAAAAGTCTTACAGATTAAGTGGATTTCTAACTAAGAATCGAAAAGTCTTACAGATTAAGTGGAAAGGAACCAAGTAAAAAAAAAGAAGATAGAGTGTAGTTTTTATTCTGTATTTACAGCTGGAGAAGGAACTAAAGGTTCACCCAAAATGCTAAGAAAAGAGATACAATTTAATCTGACACTGGCGTATATGTAATCATTCGCAGTGAATATCTAAGCTCCATAGTCAATTCAGCCATTGTAATGTTACGACATGGTCTGACGTTGTTATTTCTTGTTACAGATCCCAATGATGGTGGCAAAATCACTCCAAATTTTGCTGCACGACTTGCCGTTGTTAAGACACTGGTAATAGTTCTTAAAGGATAAGGTGGATATAGGTTATTAACGCTGATGTTAATAATAAAGTAGTTATGAAAGTGAGCACCAGACTGGAAGTAGTCAACTTAAGAAATCTTATAATATAAAGTTTTTAGGATAAGAAGATAATCAACGATGATTTTAAGAGGGCGTAAGTAATATAAATATAAACTGATTGCCAAGATTAAAAAGAAAAGTAATTATGTTATTATAAACGATATCTTATATACGGTTTTAATAATAAAGAGATTCGAGTCGAGTGTGAAATATGAACTTTGAGTTAAATGTTATATGAAAAGTATAGACTTAAGATAAACAAGAAGTATGAAAGTTGAGGGAAACACAAAGGAGTCAATTACAAATTATTAAGAAACTAGATTTTTAGTCAAGATAAAACTGAGGAGCGTATTTATAGGAAAGATCCTATCCTGTGTAACACCAAGTCAATTTAGATTGGCTGCAACACCGCTTCGAGTCAACGCCAGATGCCTCTCCCAAGCCAACGAAATCTCCTCCTGGTTGACATCCTTCAACTTCACTAATCCTGCCGCCAGGATCTTCTTCGTACTTTTGTACTTCCCGTACAAGACACTTGCTATAAACCAAAATAACGTCGTTAGTGATATGCACCATTTCCTTTACAAAAACAACATCTTACCAATTCCCCATTTTTTTTCCATGTTACGATGGCGGATGGCCAACGTAAGAGTCAGCCTTCTGTTGGCCTGAGACATCGGACGTGTAATGGTGACGAATGGTCTGAGTGAAGACCATAAACGTTCCGATGCCTCGCCGTCAGTCCTGCCGTACGATTCAATGTTTTTAGGATTAAAGCTGGACTGACAGCTAATAACATGCGCATAAGCATGAAAAACGGGGAGTGCAAGAGTGCCGTTAGCAGTCAAGTACGGGAAGTGAGTCTATCATAAGAATACATTAGCATTTATGCATCAACAATATGGAATAAGATGTTACCGTCAACGACTTCTCCAAGACACAAATGATATCATACATCAAGTTTACTGGCGTCTTAATGCTGTCCTTGTCCTCCTGAAACAGCTCGTGGAGAACAGATAGTGGATATTTGAATCTTCAAAAAAAAAAAAAAAAAAAAAAAAAATTAGGATTAGTACATAATGTTTTTGGCATGTTTATCACATACCCTTCACCACTATCCATATCCACCATCTTTAGGGTGAGGTCATGGCGCGCGCATGAAGCCGTAAAAATTCCTTTTACGGGATACAACTTTGACTTGTATGAGGCGCCATTACCTGCAGCTCTGAATGTGTTCTCATTCATGAGAGCCTATTAATAAAAATACCATCAGTAACTCTAGTTATTAATTCGCCCTAATATACAATCCTTACGTCTTTAGGAGCTTTTTCCTTCTTATAAAGCTCAACACATTCAGGCTTCACCCATGCGTTCTCCAGGGTGTTGACCAAATTAAGTTGATCAAGAGGACTTGCTTTCGACTTACATTTCATACTAAAGCACCCATCCATAGTAATGAAAATGCGATCCATAGGGTGGATGGAGTCCCTCTAAAAATAAAAGATGGTTATGATTTCATTTTATCTATATTTTAATACGGAAACATACACTAGGACAAGCAGGACAGCACATCGCCTGATCTTTTAACAAAGATCGCTCGTTGACCATTTCTTCTGTCAACAAAATGACCTTGTTGTACATATTGAATACAGTACGGAAATTGTTCACTGACAAAGATGTCTACCCAAAAATATTGGTTAGATATATGAATATTAATTTTAAGACATTAATTACCAGTGGATTTCCGTGTAAGTTGTTATACAACTTTGTAATACCCTCAGAAGAAGACTTCAAGGTGTTTCGAACTTCATTAAAATAGCCCAACAAACCCAAATGAATGGCATTTTTGGGGTCTGTGGGCGAAGCAGGAAACATACCCATCAAAATTAATGCTTCTGCCAAGGGCTTACAGCTGCAGTAACTGACTGATACATCCTTGATGGCTATGTCAAAATTATATTCAGGGTTAGAGTATACTAGTATTTTGTCGAATATTTTGCTCTTTACCATGGAAAAAGTACATTCTGACGGTCTTTGTCAGAAGTACTTTTTTACTACCACATTGGCAATCGATTGCAACTGGAGAAACAATCTCGGTGGATGGCAAGCCACCTTGCTTGCCAAAAAAGATCAAATAGCTGGTACACAATGTTTTGAGTACATTGTGCCATTGAAATTTCAAATCGACCTTTCTCTTTCTTTCAACAGAAGCCTTTTGCTCCTTGATTTCCTCAGGGGTCGGTTCATTAGAGTCATTACAATCGTTAGAATCAAACATGTCCTTTTGTTTTTTTTGACGCTTTCTTCCGGGGCCGGCTCCCTGCTTGATTTCAAAAATTTCAGATAAATATGTTGTCATATAACGATCGTCAGGTATTAAAGGAAAATTGTATTTATGGCGAACGCGTGTGGGATGAGAAGATTGCAATAAAGCGATAGCATCTTCATCGAGTACAAGATCGGGATCTAAAAGCGCCTGTCGTTTCGCTACTTCCCTAAGTTTGTATGTAATTTTTCTTAATTTTCCCGCTGTAGTTGTTTTTAAAATATTAAGTAAATGTGAAGGGGTGGCTTCTTGTTCGGGGGGAAGTAAATATCAATGGTCGCTCTTTAAAAAAAGCGGGTGGTGGTCAGTGTACCAAGAATACAACTATAGTGTAGGTATTGGACTTATTGTAGTTGTCATATTTCCAAAATTAAACTCAAGTTATGATGGCTAATGATACATGTTAAAAAAAAAACGATTAAATGCTCAGGCCCTATTGAAATCATTTTAATCACCAGAACTGGAGAGACTTACTACATTTGGCTCCAAAATAATCAAGCAAAAGCGGTCTTAATGATTTATTTTTTGTTTGAGTGTCGGGCTGTGAGGTGTACAAAAGACGTTCAAGGTCGTAAGAAAACATATTATTTTCCATACACTTCTTTTGACTTAGTTAATTATACTACAGCTACAATAAGAAAAGGAACATTAATATAAATTCAACCTCTGCAAGAGAAAAGATTTATAAAGACATGCTACCTGGACAGTCTTAAAATAACAATCAAAATCAGAGCAAAATGTCCCAGTGAGATCCGACATATAGAAAAAAGAAAACAAATTAGAGAATAATTGTACTTCAGTCCTATTGCCTTTATACCTTGATAGCCGTAATTTCTCTAGCATGTTGTTCACTTGCAACAGTACGCGGTTGACCTCCCGACCATCACCCTAGTCCGGACTGTGGTGCTGCGCCTGAATGCCCATCGCAAGAATCCTGTCTTAGGTAAATAACCCATACGCTGTACCAGAAATTTTTTTAGCCAGTTGCCCAGATTTACTTACCCAAAAAATGGCGCTTTAAGAAATGGTGCATACACCAGATAGTAAGTTTTAAAATATAAAAGAAAAAAAGGCTTTTTGTTCATATTAATAGATATATTTCTTTGGCAGAAATATATAACTTTGCCCAAGTTATGACTTGTAACAAAGGATCCGTTGCCCTAATAGGAGCATATAAACGATACATTATGCCAGAATCCCTCACTGAAGCTCCAAAACTATTGCCACCTGTGTTTAAGCTGGTCTACAATTGTGCCTTTGTAATCAAAAGTACTACTAACCATTTGAAACCTATCTCGTACTCTGTCTCCCTTATCGAAGATTCTAAAGTGTATCTCTCACCTTGTTTCGTTGCAGATGATATTAGAAGGACCCATGCAGATGCTTTTACTGACTATATATCTATGGATTTCGTTTTTTTTTTTCAGACAGAAATAAGTCGGATCATTATTAACGTTATATGATAAATGCATAACTTGCTTTTTTTCAAGTGATGGATAAAATGATCAATATCAAAGCTGTATTGCGGGACACTTGAGGCAGGTCCATGTAGGACAAATCTACAGTGTGTGACAACAAGAGTCTGAACTAATGGCTTGTACATCCCTTCTTCAAGTTCACCTATGACTAGATGTATTGGCGGCATACATCTTGACATAGCATTTTAGTAAAAAACATAAATAATAGCATAACTTTTATGTAGTACCAGGAATAAATATTTCTATAGACTAAGATGAAGAAGCAGAGCCTTATAAATGTGAAAGTGCTTGTATGTGGAATAACACAAGATGGTAGGAGCATATCAATGAAAGATGGGAAGAGTAACTATATACTTGAATGAATACAGTTATAACTTCTTATCGATTTATTTGTAATTTAGTAGGAGTGAATACAGATAACGAAAGTACAGTTTTTGCACACTTTTCTAGATGTAATCTAAGCCTTAACGCGTGGCGAAGAACCAACCATGCAGCTGGTTTTAACAACAAACAATTTTTTTTTAAAAGAGAGTCGCGCGCTGGTTTCCAAAAAATAAAAATCCCTCCCTCTTTTTTATTTATCTGTGCAGAAAAATGTCTGAAGAAGTCAAAAAATTAATATTTGAAGAGAATGAAAAGGTGTTGTGTTATCACGGACCCTTAATCTATGAAGCTAAAGTAAGTGCAATGTTAAGCCAGTAGGTTACTTTGGTTGCTAATGCATGCTTTTTTTTTTTGGTATAGATTCTGGAAAGTAAATGGATGGACGAAGATCCTGAGCTCACAGGACCTCATTACTATGTTCATTACAAAGGCTGGAAAAGAAGGTAATAGATCAAGTCAAAATGAATGCAAGCATCTGACTTGTGTTGTTAGTTGGGATGAGTGGGTACCCGAAACAAGAGTGCTTCGTTGGTGCGAGGATAATATCAAGATGCAGTCTCGACTCAAGTCACTTTACCGCACGAAACAATCCAGCGCAAAATCTACCTGTTCTTCAGACAACGAGAGCAATTCATTGGGTAAAAGACGACGAGAAGCCAAGAACGAAAAAGAAGAGGATTATTTGAACAAGCCAGAGATTAAACTCGATATACCCGAAACATTAAAAGGTCAATTGGTGGATGACTGGGAAAGCGTCACAAAAAATCAACAACTCGTTACTCTACCAAGACAGATCACAATCAATGAGTTATTAGCGCGTTACAAGAGATTTAAAAAGGAGAAAAAGGGCAACCGTGAATTGTATGTCTCCTCCTCTTAGACTTCAATTAAAAAGACACTAACTCATATTTACTAGAAATGAGGATTTATTAGAGGAAGTATTTGATGGCCTTCGTATATATTTCAACAAGGCTTTAGGAACCATGCTTCTTTATCGCTTTGAAAGACATCAATATGCTGACATCAGAAGACAAAACCCAGACAAAGATCTCGTTGATATTTATGGTGCCGAGCATTTCCTGAGATTGTTTGGTAAAAATGTTTTTGATCCATGGTATTCATTCAATATATACTAATTGTAACATGTATAGTTCAAATGCCTAGTTTAATTGCTCATACAAATATGGATTCTGATGCTGTTCATGTATTGAATGATTACTTGTCTGATATTTTACGTTTTATGCAAAAGCAACAGAAACACTTGTTTCAAACAGAATATGAAAATGCCCCTCCTGGTTACTTGGCTTTATCGGGTGCTAATTAATCCAACACAATTTCACCCCTACAATCACTATGTAAATATAATATGAAAATAAAAGGCTTATGTTATTTTATTTTTAATGTCTGGGAGGAATAGCTGGAGGAGGAGAGTGGATATTTCGGGGTGGTAAATCAGGTATAGGATGAGGCTTAGAATCTGAAAAAGGAGGTCTTGGTGTGGTAGGTAATGGAGGTTTTTCTTCTACTGACTTGTGATCATCCAAGCCCGTATCAGGCTCTTCAGTAATTGCTGCTTCCATCACATGTGTTCTGGGTATACCTTGCACACTACTTTCAACCAAGTCTTCAGATACAGGAATGGGTGTCGAGTTACGACGAGGAGGAAGAGGTGGTAATGAATGTGGATTTGATAATGTGGAAGATACTGACTCGCTATGCGCAACAGAAGAGGATCTTTCACGACGAGGTTTCAATGAAGGAAGTGTGTTTTGTTCGGATTCCGTCATGTCTTCATCCAAAAGATGCTTATTGGAGGTTGGAGGATACTTATTAACAATAGGTGGTGGTAAAGGAGGGCCGATATTTGAGATGGATGCAATCTTTTCTCCTGCTCGTTTACGCATATTCGCGATTCTTTCAGCATACATACCCTTCTTCTCTTCACTGATAGTATCATCATGTCCATTCGCCTTTTTTGTCAAAAAGTTTTCTGCCATGTGAATAAGCGAGTTTCTCTTATTGGAGTTGGTAGACGACGCTGATTTTACAGATGCACTATCGGAAGCTGGGACACTGTCTGCTGGTAGAAAATTGGAGATCTTGTTAAGAAAGCCAGATTGGTTCGTTTTGTTGGTCGATTTTACACTTTCTGAATCACTATGGTCTTCATCAACACCTTTATGCATACGTTTTCTTATATAACTACCCGTTGTCTGCCACTTATTGCTACCTGTGCTATGTGTTGATTCCGCTGTTGATTTCTGATCAAGAGATATGGCGGATTGGTTATGTTGCTCAGCGAGAAAGGGTGTGGGTTGCACAACCTGCATAGTAGGTGTCGAATAAGATGTTTCTAATACAGGGGAATGATCAGGCAGTAATTCATTCTTTTGATCGACACCGACAGCCAGCTCTGTGGCAGATTCAGCTCGACGGGAGGGTAACTTTAGTACGTCAGCGGCAGCAGGCTTTTCGACGACTTCAGGTACAGTTGGCGTGTCTCTTACATTCGAATGCTCACTAGAGCCTGAATCCTGTCTTGAATGACGATGACTGTTTTCCTCATGGACAAAGGGTTTGGTATTTGCTTTTTTCTTTTGTTTAACCTTGATATACTCACCAAATATACCGCCTTTTCCACCCGACGGACAAAACGGGGTATCATCCATATTTGGTAACACGAAGGTCTCGGCCATAACTTCACGAATACGAGATTCAATAGCGTTAGTGACAATGGATAATTTGATTTGTTTGTCAGCTACAATGGGCGTGATTTCCCATTCCATTTCGGGCATTTCAAAAAAGGCAAGCCAGTAACGGTTGGTTGGTGGTGCTTTTAATTTAAACATCATGCGACCTGCTAATTTCTTGAGCTTGACAGATAAAACAAGATGCATACGAATAGGTTTCATTAAGGATGAATATGACCAGTTAAAATCGGTTTCTATTTCGATGGTAAGACCACCATGATAATCTACTTTAGCTTCCACAATTACTTCACCTTGAGGCGAGAGCGAGAGCAATTTAGGGTCAGTAATAAATGGTACTGTCCCACCAATATCCACTTTTCGAACCGTAATCTCGTCTAAAAACGTAGGGCGTTTTGTCTTGTCAATTTTTTTACGAATCTTGTTCTCCACAAAGTTCTTCAAACGATCAGTTTTATACATTCCTAAAAATAATCTACCAAAGACAGCATTTATCCAAGCTGTTTCACGATGACTGGGTGAGGATTGCACTTGACGTATCAGCTCTTCCATCGTATCAGGATCAAAATGCGTACTATCCATCATCACATAGTTTTCTTTTTCTTCGGGATCAGTCAAGACGTGTTGTGCCTCCACCAAACCGAGATACCAATCTTCCTTATCAATGTTGCGGGCACATGTAAGATATAAGATGCGATTGGGGTTGACTGTAATATCTTCTTCGGGCAATGTACATACGGAGATTGAGTCTGTATCGTGCGGCGAAATGGACTTTGGGACCAAGCGTACCACCACTGTACGACTATAGATGAGTCCTTCGGGCGTATCCTCTTTAAGAGGAGGATACAATGACACTGAAAAATCTTGTATAGGAATAACCATAATAACCTCTTGTTGCTTTTCAGACTCATAACAAAACAAGCTTCCATGCTTTAAAATCGCATACACCAACCCCTTTCTTTGTTGTTCTTTACCAACGTACGATTGAAGGCCAGAGATTATGCCATTATTGTTGCCGTGATTGTTGGGTGGAAGGTCGGGCATTTTCGGTTGGTATTGATTAGTGATGCGAACCCATCCTTTTTTCACGATTACCGTGTCCGGATCTTTATACACATGAGCTACAGGTTTGGACGTGGGACGAGGGAGTAATGTTTGAATGCCTCCTTTGTTGTAAATAAAAGCAAATAGTAGCATCAGTGGTAGGAAAGTTAGTCCTCCAGATATGTAAATCAGCAGGAATCCTGTAAAGGAAACCATGTTTTTTTGTTATGTAAGAAAAGAGAGAGAGAGAGAGAGAGAGAGAGAGAGAGGTAAGTTACTTCTTCAGCACATGACGTATTTCGAGTAAAGTTAAATCGATCACAGCGCTGGTTTAAAAATAAATTCAAGCCTGCTTCTTGCGACCTAATAAAAACCACGGAGCAGTTAGGTATATCTTTGATCATCTATTACTGTATGAAATATATGTTTCAATAACCACATTTCCGAACAAGCTGTACATTTGTTATTGTAATGTAGGATCACGTAGTAAAAACATATAGTTATAGATATCGATAATGGTAGTTTACAGTCAGACTTGCGAAAATGGAAAAACTTTACTTATTATGATCCCTTTTAGGCCGCTTGTTTCAAAACCTTTAACCACCTTCAAAATTAGTGATGGATGATCACAGTCATTTTAACACTTACTTGTCATGTCTGCCATAAGTGACAAAAATTAGCAACTATATTAATATCTTTATATTCAGTGTTAGAAAATGATACTTGCCATATCTCTTTATCAAAAGTGAGTTGGAACTCTCAAATTCACCAATTTTGTCCCGCAGTGTAATCATCAATAGTAAGCTCTTCTTCTACACCAGCAATCTGAGAGGAGAATGAGTTTTACTATTTGTTTTAGAACAAAAAACTGACGCATGAATTTCTTACCAACGTATAATCATCTTGATAATCAGTATCATCGAATGACCTCTTCTTTCATAATTGAGATTTTTTCAAACACAATAGCAGACGCAGTGCCTTAACCCTGAATAATGTATCTTGACCTAAATAACTACCTTTGATTTTCTTTTCTTTTCATTTTATCAATACTTGATGTAATGTATAGATATAAGCTCGTTGCATTATCTAAAAGCCTAATTTTAACATCATTCTTCATAAGAATACTGAACACATCATTTTACAATAAATCGGCAATTTAACTGATTGTTTCCAGGTTTAAATAAGAACGATGATGTTATTTATTTACATCTATTTAATTTGATAGACTGTGAGTATGATGTGCGATATAAAAATTCGATTTTACTGCAGTCGCTCGGCTTATTAAAAGTAGCTCAATATGACATTCTTTGTCAAACTTATCTGGTTTTAAACAAGTTAGGGAGACATGCAAAACTACTCTTAATGTACCTGGGTGCTATTGTAAAGATCTCTGAACATTTGTAGATGATCTTTCTGTCCATCTCTGTTTACTTAAAAGACTTCTTCAATAATGTAAACCAAATACAGCTTCAAAAGTATACTTCTGAAAGCATGTACGCGTTTTTATAATTGAATAACTCGAATGTTACACAACATACAAAAGATCGAAACAAAAAAGAATCAAGTTTAAAGGTCTTTGGCATAGTGCCTCAAACAAAATACACAAACAATTAAAGCGTAGAGCAAGTTTTTGAGAGTGGTTGCTTCTATTGATAAATACAAAACTTACAAGGTTAACGCACCGATTCCCATATGTACACTATATGTTACAAGCACCATCATTATATATCTGCAGCTCTTGCTTAAAATAGAACCCTAAATATCTGAAACGCGATAAAAATGACAACGCTAAATGCACCCATCAATTATTGACGTGTAACATTTTCGACGCCTTTTGGCATGACTTCCGGAAACAAGCTTCTCATTGCTTATTCTGTTTCGAACGATCAAGGTTGACTCGATATCTTCAAAAAAAAAGACTTGCCACCTCAAAATCTGTTGTCTCATGTCATTCCGATGGAGCACTGGCTTAAAGGTTTTACTGGTGAAAATACTTACCAACCTTCGATTGTCTGACAACTGATTTTCTTTTACTTCCAAAAAAGGCAGAACAAACATTGTCTGAATTTGAAGTGTCAAAGAAATGTTCCACACAAGTTACAATTACTTTAAGGTTTTTTTGTGCTTTATTGAATACTTCGGATATGAGAAAATTCACTCCGTCTATTTATACATTTGGTATAGTTTTTGTTCTTAGATCTTTGACTTGTTATCTTCGGGTAAGGTGACAACAATCTTACCCATACTTTTACCGGAATGAAGGTACTCAACAGCATCAGCAATTTGTTCAAGACCAACATAACCCTTGTCTTCAACGTGCACCTTGAGTGTACCTTCAGCCATCAACTTGTACATGTTCATCATGTGAGCAGGTACATGGGGAAAGTAAGCAGGCAAATAGAAACCACAGACGGTCTTGGAACCAGCCAAGAGTTGCAAGGTGTTGACATTATCACCGGCTAAACCTCCCTCTCCAGTATAAGAAGAAACAGAACCGAGTACAACCAAACGACCACAAACGGCAAGATTGTTGAGACAGGTTTGGAAGAATTCACCTCCTACACATTCAATCACAATATCCATACCACGAGGATACTCTTTCTTTAAAACTTGGGCGAAATCTTCCTTCTTGTAATTAATCACACGGTCACATCCCATACCCTTCAACATTGCAACCTTTTCGTCACTGGAACAAGTACCAATAACATGGTTACCAGCAAGTTTGGCCAATTGAACAGCAATTTGTCCTGCACCTCCAGCAGCTAATCAAAAAAAATAAATAATAATTAGTGTCACCTATATTATAAACCCCGCGTGTCAATTCTATTTTACCAGCTGTAACAAGGACGGTTTCGTTAGTGGTCATACGGCCAGAGAAGGTCAAGGCCAAAGAAGAAGTAATACCGGCAGTTTGAAGAGCGACAAACTCGGGGTTAGGAGCCTATAGGTTTATTTTTTAAAATTGGTATACGGCATGCAAAACAAAAAAACAATGCAATTTACTTACAGGAACAGGAATAGCAGTCTCAGCAGGGACTTGAACGTATTCAGAGAAAGAACCAAAGAGAGTATAAACAACAAAGTTGCCCACCTTTTGGTTGGTAACCTCTGAACCAACAGCAACAACAGAGCCAATACCTTCAAATCCAACATCGAAAGGACTATATAAAAAAATGGGCGTTAATTAATTCAGAGTACTTGTGTAAACATCCAGACAGAACTTACGGAACAATACCGGGAGTGTACTTCGCATTGGTGTAGTTGACATCAGAAGCATTGATACCGAGATGAATGTTCTTGACAAGAATGTTCTTGGGTCCAAGGCTCTTGATCAACTCATCAAAGCTGTGCTCGGTCACTTTGGTAACATTTCTGAAATCACTACCGATAGCAATGGCTTGAAGTTTGCGATAGGTTTGAGGACTAAATAAGCGCGAAAAAAAAAGTCAGCTTTTCTATAAGCAATATAACGAGACTTGTTACTTTACGTAGACATAATATATGTTTAAGGATAAAAGAGAAGAAAGAAAAAAAAAAGAGACAGCGTTTGTGTTTAAATATGTCAATCGGTTATTGAACCTTAACTAAATTGTTTGTCATCAGACATCGTGTGCAAAGGGAGCACAGAGATTCAAAACCGTAAGTCTAAACCGTGTTCGATGGAAGTACACACTTACTTTTTTGCTCTCTTCCCAGCCTACCTCCCTATCTATTATCATGTTAATGACAGAAATATTACAAAACAAACAGACGAGTGGCATGAATCTTCATATTCCGTAGTCTGATGGCCCATTTCAACCAGGCTATAAATTATTTGTACACCTGCTTCGCAAAAAAGACAAAAAATAAAACAGCAATTATGCTTATTCAGCATGCAGATTCTGATCGGCAGATCCGCATAGCCGATTAAAAGGACAGTTGTGCTAAGACTCGCTTATATTTTCAATAAAATTTCAAAAAGACTGGGAGCAAACTCAAGCCATCACTTTCGTTACAATTCAGTCTGTTTGTTTGGATTGTTAACCTGACGCCACCATTGAAGAGGCGGAAGGCAAAAAACCTTCAGACAAAAAAAAACACTTTCGGATAGTAAAGTCCCTTTGTAGACATGTATCCTAAATAAGTTTTAAGGTGTCAAGACAATGTTTTACAGCGATGACTTTTCAGGTGTCGACAAATTTATAAAAAAACGTGGATTTATGCCGTTTTTTTTTTTTTTTTTTTTTTTTTTTTCTAATCTTTGGCCAGGAATCTTCAATTGGGCCGATAAGACGAATAGGTATGAAGACATGATGAAGAATCAATAACCTCGGCAATTCATTAACTACCCGTAGAACATAAAAAGATGGCGAGGTTTGGTCCAAATGATGAACACCACATTACTTGATGAACTACGTTTTGGTACATAGTTACACGTTGTTAAACCTAGATACGTTGCTAATCGTTTGTTTCGGCAATGGAACCGGGGTTACATGTATCTAAGTTAAACCAACGGTCTAAATACAAGCAAATGAAAATACGAATGATGGCACCCGGGAAAGATGGTTACGTCCCATTACAATTTTAATAAAATCCCCATTGACCCGTCAAGAAAATTATGATCCGACCCTTTTTTTATGATGCTAGCTTTTTAAGGGCGCATCCACACAACAACGGGAAGATAGATCCAAAAAGGACTTCTTATGGATCGTCTTGCAGTAAGATCCCACATGACAAATAACTCCCAAACGTCATTAAACGGTATATAGAACCCCATTGATCTATTTCCAAAAAAAAAAAAAAATGATTAAGTTAATATTGTGCCCCTTTGTCTTTTACAGTGAAAGACCGATAAATAAGCATGAAATTTATCAGAGAACAAATTTAAAAAAGTTGGTACTGGGTCGTTTCGTGAGATCAAGAAAATGAGTCTGTATAGTTCGAGAATATTGCCTTGTTAGATTTAACGTGCACAATGGGAAGTGTTGTAAAGCAAAAAGATATGCTTACTCTTTTCTCGGGGTTGTCGTCTCGAATTAATGATCTATTGTTTTGTATGCGGATCGTACAGTTGATATAACACCTGTCAATTTTTTTTTTTCTAGAAATCAACACAAGCTGACTTGAGTTGGGAAAAAAAAATCATTCGCTTTACAAATTAGGAACAGTCATTGACAAGTATAGATCGATCATTGCCCATTTATAAAAACAGATCTATAAGGATTCGTAATACGTTAGCTTTTGCTTGAACGGGAGGCGATCTGTATATTATAAAGAAAGTGAAATCATGGTTACGATCGAACTATTGTGTTGTACTAAGAGCAATGACATGATGAAGAGGTGTTATCCTTTCCACGATTAGCTAGTGTTACTCACACAAGGAGCTACATGACGTCGAATAACAAAAGTTTCGTAGATGCTGTTGGGTACATACTATGCTGATACAACGCATATTTCATTGTCGATAAGGGGGACTAGCTGCTCTCTAAAAAACTGAAAAATATTTTCGGTTATTGTGTGGATGACGACAACCTGAAGGCCGTCTCTTTTTTTTTTTTTTTGTGTATATTAAACATTTTTATACATATTAAAACAATCGTTGGAATACACTTACACAAGCCATGGCCGAAAATATTCCACCCAATAACAGTAAATTGACACAGTACAAAGTAGCTGCCATGCAACCACCACCTTTCAATATTGCGGCAGATTTGCGTACAGAAGCAAACCACCACCATCCCATACCTTTGGCAGAGGCAACAATGGCACCGGAAATTGGGGTGAATCGTGAGATTCTCCCTCAACATCAGCAACAAAGAAAGGAAGCAGAGTTCGAAGAAAACATCAAGGAAGAAATTAAGAGAGAGGAAGATTACGATGAATTGGCAGATCCTAATGATCTAGCAGGTTATCAAAAAATTAGTAAAATTGGCGAAGGCACATACGGTGTTGTATTCAAGGCACGACAAAAAGAGACAAACAAACTGGTAGCATTAAAGAAGATTCGACTGAATTTGCAGGAAGGTGTGCCTACTACAACAATAAGAGAAGTAGCCATTCTGAAGGAAGTAGATCATGATAACATTGTCAAGTAAGAGGTGATCTTTCGTATTACGTTTGTTACTAAATGTACGTATTATATTAGGTTAATTGATATGATTCAAAAAGATGCTACAATTTACTTGGTGTTTAATTTTTCTGAAATGGATTTACGTCGATATATGGATCATGTGAGAAGACCGGGATTGACGGCTGGACATATAAAAGTAAATCATAAATCATACGTTCTTCTCCAATGCGAAACAATTTCATCTTATTTCAAAGAAAAAAAAATAGAGTTTCATGCACCAATTATTAAGGGGCTTACACTATTGTCATTCACATCGAATTCTACACAGAGATTTGAAGCCACAAAATTTGTTAATTGATCGCCACGGAGTGTTAACCATTGCGGATCTAGGACTTTCCAGAGCCTTTGGGGTGCCTATGCGACCTTACACTCATCAAGTCATCACACTATGGTACAGAGCTCCGGAAATTTTGTTAGGTAGTGAGCATTATTCCACTGCTGTAGACATGTGGAGTGTCGGTTGTATCATGGCCGAAATGATGACACTCTCTCCCATATTTCCAGGTACAGATAATTCCCGTTTTTTTTTTTCTTTATATAACCAATGGTTAATTCTTACTCTCTCTCTCTCTTTTGTAGGCGATTCACAAATCGACCAACTCTTTAGAATTTTTCAACATTTGGGCACACCTACAAAAGAAATGTGGCCTGGTGTTGAACACCTACCTGACTACAATATGCAGTTTCCACGTAGATATATTTAATTCTTTTGACATTGACTTTATATACTGATTTGCATTTCTTTGTTAGCGTGGAAAGGAAGAAACCTAAAGAAAGTGTTCGAAAAAAAGTATCCAAAAACCTATCTAGAATTACCAGATACCGCTTATGATTTACTAAGTGTAAAGTATACATTCCTTGCCATCCTGTTTTTTCTAACTTCTATTGTAGGAACTTTTGACGTATGATCCTGTCACTCGGATCACAGCACTAAAAGCCGAAGATCATTTCTACTTTTATGACGATATTACTATGCTAGACTGTTAATTTGATTTTTTCTTTCTTTTTTTTTTTTTTAGTTTTTTTTTATTGGGACATAATAAAACCAAAACCATAGAACACTTTTTTTTTATAAATATAGGGGAACTCCAGTAATGGGATCATCTTTTTTAATTATTATCGTTGCTTAGCAAATTTTATCTATAGATTTCTAGATCCTCCCAGTAACCCTTTTTTTTATGGAAAATGCATTTTGTGTGTGGAATAGATTGTTCTTGGCAACTTTATTCATGAAAATGGTTAACCCACAGGCACAATGCTCCTTTAATTTGACATCTGTTGCAGCTTGGTATAAAATCAACATCCAACATACATGGTTTTCCCAAAAAAAAAAAAAAAAAAAAAAATACTTTCGCACAAAGAAAACAAAATGGGAGTTAGCTATCTAAAATAAAAATCATGTGCCAACTAATCGAAAGGGGATACATTCAACAAAGCGCTATTTATTTTATACAACGTGTCAAAACAAACAATGAAACTATAGTTTTGGTGCGACTGCTGTCATTAAATTTCCGCCAATCAAAATGCGCCAATAAATTATTTAGCATGATTTGCAGAGGGGTGTGAGTTTAACAAACAATGAAAAAATATATATAGTTTCTTTTTTCTTTATGCATATTGTATGTTAAATATATTGGCTGATAACGACATATTTCTTTATTCTTAAATTTGAGCGCAATGTAAGAAAATGTGCTTGTACATGTGCACGGTGAAATATGTACAATGAATGATAAAGACGACATCATATTTAACCTGTATAATGAAATAGACGAATTATTTATTTGACAATTTATGGTGAAATGAAAATAGCAAAAGATATCAAATTTCGCTTTAGTCAAGACATGATTCCCAAAGATTTACTACCACCGCTCCGTCCGCGCCTTGAAGCACGTCACCCTCCAATCTCGTGGCTCGGAGCATAAATGGTATTTGAAATTAACAAAAAAATAAAACACCCTCCCATCTTTATAATCGCCCCAACACGAAAAAAACATGTCTGACATTCTTGGGTATCTTTACGGTCTTGTAGTCTTTACTGGAGGCGCTATTGGTTATCTTAAAGGTAATAAATATACAGTAATGACAAGCAGCTCGACACTAAAAAAAGAAATGGAAAAACGAGTAGCTGGCAGCACAGCGTCAATTTTAGCCGGTGCTATTTTTGGATTTTTAGCAGCATATGGAGCATACCTCGATAATAAGATTTTGGCGTTTTTGACTAGTTGGATTCTTTTAGCCGTGATGGGACCTCGATTTTACCGAGGACGCAAGTTTATGCCTGCAGGTCTTGTTACTTTACTCAGGTAACGGGGAAAAAAGAGATCGAGAGAAAAAGGAATAGGGATACTAATACAAGCTTTTCTATATATATATATACAACAGTGTCTTTATGATGATCCGTTATGCAACCACACTCATATAATAAATATAAAAAAATTTATTTTTCAAAAGTAACTGTTCCTTCCTCTGTATGAATAATGATTTTTTTACCGGTTGGCGAGGTAATGTAAATTGAATTGAGTTTGTTTTCTGGTGATAAATCCAGGATATGTCCAGGTGGTAAAAACATCAAAAAGTTGCGAATCAACCAAGGTTTTCCTTTGAACAGTTGCGTAACGCGTTCCAACACTTGAGGGGTATTAATCCTAATGATAAACAATTTCGTGTTAGATAAACACAAAGACATGCATCATCACTTACTTTTCGGATCGGAAATCGGTCATGATTTCGAGAAATTTATTATACGTCTGTGGTGGTTCGTCTGTCTTGATTTGTTCTAAATAGCCCACAGCGTCCTTCATCTCTACTACTTTAGGTTCAATCACCTTCTTTTGTTGCTCTTGTTGTTGTTGTTGCTGTTGTTGTTGTTGCTGTTGCTGTTGTTGTTGTTGTTGTTGCTGTTGTTGAGCTCCTAGGATAGATGACAAGACGTGTTGTTTATCCTTACCAAACAAACCTTCAATCACGCGCAAAACCTACAGATATGACAAGTAAGATTAAGAATAAGAAGAAGAAGAAAATAAAAGAAAAAAAAAGGTATTACCTCATCCACGTTTTTGCTGTTTTGAACTGTGTTTTCATCCTTGACAACGCTTTTTGGTATCACATCATTGTTTTCTTTGGGATCACCTCTGAGAACGGTTCTTACCCACATTAACAAGTGTTGAACCCTACCGTGTTTATCGACCAAATTAGCCCAACCGGTTAAAATTAAGGCTCTTTGTAAGTCGTCGTTCTGTGCGAATTTTGCCAAAAGGGCCCGTCTCCAGGCCTCTACTTTTCTGTTGTCATACCAATCCTTTTCTTGTTCCTTTGACAGACAATGGGCTTTTGATCTGTCCAAGAGTTTAATGTCTGCAGCGGGTAATTCGGCTTGTGGGTTACCCGAGTCTAAATATAAGGCATTGTAAATGTCTGGCTGGGACATGTATTTACAAGCTGTCAGATAATGGACGATGGAAGCCCATGCATGGTCGTCGATATGCAGCATGACTAGTTGAGCCGAAGTCTTTTTTGGTGACTTTTTTGTTGTATTATTGGAAGGTGTGGTATCTAGTGTTGTATTACGCATATAGTCATCGGATAAAAGACGACGCCAATGAGGGTATTGTGTCGCTAGGTAATCATAACTGTTGTTGACCAGGTCGGATAAGGGACATTCTTCACCTGTAAACGTACCCGGTTGTTCACTCGACGCCTCAATGTCCAAAACAAACTTGGTGTCTTGTCGAAAATCTTGTGCAATGCCCCCAAACCCTTCACTCGTATACACTGGTTCGGGTGAATATACTTCATCTTGATCGTCGATAATGAAATCATGCGTAAACTGACTACTATTACTCGAAGACGTCTTGTTGGTCATTATCTTTCTTTGTTTTTCAAGGTAAATTATGCTTTCTTTCTCCCCTTCTAATTATTATTAGTTTTATGTAACTTTATTGTCAGAAACCAAAATATTTTTTTTTTTTTCTCGAAAAACCAATAAAAAAAAAAAAAATAACACTTTGAAAGCGCACGGCGGAACTTGAATTGTAAAGGCGTAGTGTTTTTAAACACCGACAAAACGGCCTCGGGGTGACGTCAATGCTCAAGCGTGTTTTGCCCAGCCTAGGGGTTTCTTACTCGGCCTCTAAGAAAGAGAAGAATGATACCCCGCCTAATAGTTTTTTTTTTTGATTGCAATAAATATTTTTTTTTTTGTTTAATCGTACCTACATTATCATCAAACATGACTGCAACCAAAGATTGTATTGCTGAAGCCGGTAAAACTGCCGGTATTGCTGGTGGTATGGGTCTTTTTGTCTCTGCCATGCAAAACACCGCACAAAAGCACACTATCGGTGCAAAGGGTGTTATTACTAGAACAGGTGGCACCATTGCTTTCTTTGGTAAGTAGTAACAAGGCCCCTTTTTTTTTGACATTTTCTCTTAATTGAAGCTTTTTTCCCTTAACGTTTTTTTTTTTTAGCTGCCATGGGTGGTATTTTCACTTTGGGTGAATGTGCAGCAAAGGATATGCGTGGAGAGGATGATGCTATTAACGCTGGTATTGGTGGTTGTGCCGCTGGTATGTTGGCTGGTATTAAGAGTAAGTATTTTTTGGAATAGAGGGGGTTAGTTTGGGACAGATTGTAAACGTATATGTCCATTTGTAGGTCATTCTTTTGCAAAGATGTCCATTGGTTGTGCAGCAGTTGGTGCTACTATGTACGCATATGAAGCCACAGGTCAATTGAAGGGAGGATTTGCTGACAAGACAAGAGAAGAGAAGAAGCAACACGAAAAGGAATTTTTCAGACAAAAGACCGAATAAATTACAATTTTTTTCTTATATTATATTTATTTATTCAATGTGAACTAAATAGCCCGCTTTAATAAGAGGTTCTGCATCTGTTCTTCGTACATAGAGTTGGTTGCCTTTGGATAGATTAAGTACGCCGTATTCTGTGCTGATTTCTCCCGCATCACGGACTACGCGTACCTCAATAAAGAGATCCGTGGGCGGGTCTAAGCCTGCACCACCATTTCCACCTAAATCTATCTCGATAAAGCTCTGCTTATATGTATTGACTATATCAGCATACTCTTCTAGAAACTTTTGTTCGGTCGGGCCCAAACTAGCTTTGATCTCTCGTTGGTATTCCGATTGAAGACCCACATTCCAGTATATCTCCTTAAGTTGATTCACTCGTTGTCGATGGTATGCAAATAATACTCGTTTGTTTCGTTTGACTGCTAAATGGTATAACATGGCTTGTGACATGCTGCTGGGATCTCCACCGCCACGGGATCGCATTGTGTTTACGGTCTCTTTGGCCTTGTTGTGTAAAAGTCGGATTTCTCGACAAATTCCTTGCACAAGATCATCATTGTATGGTGAAACGAGTAAATCGGATGTACGTTTGGCTTCTTTAGCTAATTTATAAGCTGATTCTCCTAAAGTTGCCATTTCATGAAGAAAAAATAAAGTTTTTAAAAAAAAAAGAATTTATAAAAAAACGAGAGGGGCGTGTCAGATTCGTGATTGTGTGTGTGTGTGTGTGTGTGCGTGATTATGTGTGGGAGCGCGTGTGGGACAGGCAGGCGTGAATTTAGTGTGCGTGTGCGTGTGCGTGTGTGTGTGTGGTCCGGGCCTTGAACACAGCTAGGGGCGGGGGGTGCGGGACAGGTGAACAGGCGGGAATGAGGTCACGACTGGTATAATGTGCTTTAATGTGTATAAAGCATAGTGATGAAACCCTAGCGTCATCTGTATAAGGGCATGTTGTCTCCCTTTTTAGGAAACACTTGGTACTATATAAAAAGAGCTCTAAAAAAATTAAATTTTTTTTTCTTTCTTTTTTATTCTTTTATCTCTCTCTTTCTCTCTTTTTATCTAAAAATGAACCCAATTACTATCTTGATGCTTGCTACTTTTGGATTCTTTTCTACTCAGGCCATGCCATTATTTGACGCCGATTTAGCAGCCAGTCCTCTTGTGCATGAAGTGCGTATTAATTACCGTGGAGGAAGAAAGCTTGACACTGTTAAATATTAAGTCTCCTTTCACCAACAACAACTCTCTCTTTCTGTACATACATAAAAAAAAAAAAAGAGAATGCACGGTTCTTTTTTTTTTGTTCATATTTATCTAAATACATTATTACATATATAAATAAATACTTCCTTAAACACACTTATTTCGAATTTACCCATAAAAACCTCCTCATCGGTGAATGTCATCCGAACTATTTTGTGGGACACCAAGCGCATTCCCTTATTTGGCAGCCACGTACAAAAAGTGCTTCTTAACAATCAATGACATAGCCAATCACAATCAAATTTCATTGCCCAATCATACGGAGTTGCCCTTCACCTGTTGCTTTAACGCCAAAGGGGTTTCTTTTTAGGTTGTTAGATCATAAAAACTCAAAAATGGACGTCAGTCTTGTGTCATTTTCCAAACAAACCATGACTTTTTTTTTTTTTTTTTTTGGCGTTCTTCACATAGTCTTTTTTGTGATAGATTAGCGATAAAAATAAATACTCAGCGCAAATATTTATGGCATGGAGGGTAACTGAACTGATCACGGTATTTCCGCCATGAGAAAACATCGGGTAACAGTTGTTCCATAGCTAGCCGTTTGGTGAAATAGAACATCGATAGTTGATGTTCCTCAGTATATGTTTATTCATGTTCATTGATCTACCAGGAAACTCTATAAGCATCGTCAACCCTATTTCATCAATTACTATCCCATTTGTATCAATTATATATCAATAAACCAGATTTTCATGAGTCTATACCATGTGGACTAATAGCCCTGGCTTTGTCCCAAATTCTTGGTAAAACCCTTGTCTTCTTCCTGTAGTGAGACATAAATTGGAATACATCTTCTTTAAAAAAAACACAACTATTTCCTTTTATGAGAATAGTGTTGTACATAAAAAACACAAACAAGAGCTGATTTATGTCAGTATAAGAGGCTTACATAATACTGAACTTGATGTATCAGTGAAAGAAAAAGAAGCCTTCCCTTCAGGTCACTCATCCCCTTTTTTTCCTAAAGACGCACATTAAACAAGACGGTAAGGTTTCTAGCATAGAGCGGGTAACTAGGCGGTAACTAGGCGGTAACTAGGCGGTAACCATGATATCACTCATGTCCCACGAAAGTCAGAACGCAAACTTTGAAAGGAAAACTGTAATGCGCAAACAACTCCGATATTTTTATTTATTTGTTTTTGTTTCTTTAAAAAGTTGAGCCTTCAGCAGGTTGAGGTAACTTTCTACCTGTGGTGGCCATCTCTCTATTATCAGTGTATCAGTAACATGTCATATTCCTCCCTTTTTACTCTTTATCAAACATACCTTCTTAATTCGGTCAAGACAGTTTCCAGTGTGTAATTGCTTCTCCAGTGAGAGAGACAGGGTAAACGATTGGGATCAACCTAAGTAAGGTTGGTCAACAACATATACACGCATGGTAACTAAGTAAATTATATATATATACCTTTCCGTTCTGAGGGTTGACACTGGGCAAGTTAATCCTTGAAACAAACTGAAGGACAGGAGGTTGAGTAGGATATTGGTCACTGCAAAAGATGGTGAGACTATAGATACGGTTTTCATGAACAGACTATATTTTATAAAGGGTTTAGGGTTAGCCTAGGAAAAAAAAATAACCTTGAACAACAAAAAGCATACGTGAGGAGCACCGAGAATAGTGGCATGCCACTTATGCATTAAACGATCGTCATCAGCTAAACCATAACTACAAGAACCATCACCTAAACCCTTTTCTCCTTTTTCCAACTCTTCTAATAAACGAAAGTTACGAGGAACTATAAAACGTCATACGCGTGCATTTAGTTTAACACTGACTGCCATCTCTCCTTTTATCTTTCTTTGTTTTTACCTTGTGCCATTGTTGTATTAATTAAACAAAGAATAAAAAAAAAAGACTAGAACCAAGAAATTTTATTTCGTTGTAAATTTTTTGAATCCCCCCCACGTCATCTTTAATCTCTCCTTCTTTTTGACAATTTTGAGTGTGCGCGTAAAGAAAAAAAAAAAAAAAAAAATAGAGTTTCTGTACCTTAATTTCAAATCACTGTCTCTCTTTACATACCTGTTATTTGCTTATTATCTTACTCATCTGTGTGTATCTGTGTGTGTACCCAATCTTTTTTTTTTTTTTGTGCGGGAAAATAAAAAATAACTTATCTCAGCTGATCACCACAATCAAGATGAAAGCGTAAACAAACAAAAATTCTTTTTTTTTTTTTTACTCCAACAGAAAAAAAAAAACAAAGATGTCAAGTATTACAAGGATAACTACACCTTATGACTTATCACCACTCTCTTTTGACACACCCTATGAGTTTCCTAGGCATTTTTTACCTACTGTCATGAAAGGTATACTTGTTTATTATTTACTTTACTGGAGACTCTGTCTCATCTTTATATATTAGACGATAGCAAGATTCCTCTCGTATTGGTAGCATGTGGCTCATTTTCTCCAGTCACCTATCTTCATTTAAGGATGTTTGGTATGGAAACATTATTTATGGTTAAAGGATAACCACTCACTCTTTCATTCTCTTTTTAGAAATGGCCCAAGATCACTTTAAAGAACGCAACGAATTCGAACTACTTACAGGCTACTATTCTCCCGTCTCGGACCATTACATGAAGGAAGGGTTAGCAAAAGCAGAGGACCGTGTCAAAATGTGTCAGTTAGCCGTAGAGACAACTTCAGACTGGCTAATGGTCGATTCTTGGGAACCACGTCAAACAACCTATCAACGTACTGCCATCGTCCTCGACCACTTTGACCACGAACTCAACAATGTTGGTGGTGGCATCTTGACAAAAGACGGTCAAAAGCGTAAAATTAGAATTATGCTGTTGGCAGGTGGTGACTTGATTGCATCTTTTGGTCATCCCGGTGTATGGGCTCCCAACGATGTAAGTGAAACTTCATCCAAAATTATGTATATATATATTGCGCGTGCACTAAACAGATAAAAGTTACATCATATCGTAGGTCATTATGGATGTGTTATCATAGAAAGAACAGGGACAGATGTGTATGGATTCTTGTTATCACACGATATTCTGTACCAGCACAGAGTAAGTTACCAGTGTATATGTTCAGATCCAAAGATATTAATGAACTTTTTTCGTATAGATGAACGTTACTGTCATTAAACAATTGATTCACAATGATATTAGTTCAACAAAAATCAGGTATAAGAGAACAATTATAAAAGAGAAAGAGAGTACAAACTGATGATAATTTAGACTTTTTGTGAAAAGAGGCATGTCGATCAAATACCTGCTTCCAAATCCAGTGATCGATTACATCCATGCTTATGGACTCTATTTACCTCGTCCACCCAAAGATCAACAATCCTAATAATATTTTATTTTAATTATAGACACAATTGTGAAGAGAAAACGAATGTGCATACCCTTTCTCCTCTCCCTTCTCATCCCATCCTCACTCAGACTTCTTGTCTTTCATCTAATGACAAATATAAAACCGATCTTTATCTTTTTCTCACAACCAAAACCTTCTAACTGTATTAAATGGGGTCTTATCATCATTTAGTAAATATTAAGGAGCCGTTTACATGAAATTTCGTAGCAGCCGTACAATCTTACAGAGCAATAAATAGACACATAATTTTTTTTTTTTTTTTTATTGCACAGTTTCTTTTCTACTATGACATCAAATGTTGGACCACCCATCGCATCCGAATCTTTTTAATATTATTGTCCATCATATTCACAGTTTTTCATTATAATTAATTATTATTTTCATAATTTTTCATTAAAGTACTCTATATTCCATTCATCCCTACTATGAATACCTTTCACATTTATGCACCCCAAAATTTAACTTTCGCAGTTATTGTGATATAAATTTGTCTTATCAAGGCCTCATTCTCCATTTTTGTAAATATAAAACAGTGAGGGATACTTTCACTTGAAAATAGCACAATCATATGAGGGCAAACAGAAATTTTGATTACTGATAACCCCTCTTTCATTATGTGCCTTTTTATAATGACTGTCTATAAATAAATACTATTGCATAACAATTGTATATCAAATATTCTACCCAATCAGACAAAAAGTTTCTTTTATTCTTGTATTCATGTGTTTTCACGAATTATTTTCATTTTCGTAGCAAAGTGTCATGTATATTAACAGAGGAGTCAAAAAAATCCGATCAGTTAGTGTCATAATTGCAAGAAAAAAAATGACAGTGTTAACAACAAAGCCAAGGGGATAAGTCCCCTTCCCCTTTTTTTAATAAAGGCGTATCTTAGCCACATAGCTTGAACAAAAATTCAAATCAATTCTATTCTAGAACGACTCTGTATGCTTATACCCCCTTGGCTTGTGCGTAATTACAGCTACCCTTTTTGTATTTGATGTTTTTCAAGTTTGATCCTTGTTAGTATAATTAAAACAAGTTGTTATAGTGTGATGTGGCTTTACTTTTATTATAAAAAAAAACTGGTTTATGTCAGGATGCGGCAATCAATCGATTAACAAGTCTTAACTATTTTGGAAACTAGACTTCCACCATGGATGGCCATAAAATGATCTCTTTAAGCAGCAGAGACTAATAGCAAACATTGTAGTAAATTAAAGAAGAAGTGTATTTTGACAATAGTGAAAAAAACATGTCTTTTCAGAAATGCATCTATAATTACTAGTACACCCAAGTGTTGCTAGTTACGCATAATACTAAGATTTTTGGTTATTGATCCATGATCAGCATGATGTGGCGCTTCGTTATTTCCTGTACATTCCGCGGAGTTTCTTTGGGGGCCATAGGGGCCAGGAATAAGCTTTACCTTTCAAAAGAGCTTCTTCTTTACATCGATAAAATCAGCAATCAATTGTTACAAGCAGTAGGAGAATTATGGAACACGCAGCGTTTCCTCGCGTAAAGCCATTTAGACTCAAGGGCGTAATTAGCTCCTTAAACATCCACAGACTGACACAATTTGTGGTTGGGAAAGGAATTCATAAGTCGGATCATATTACACATGTCCTGACATATGCAAGCAACTTACAGCATATTACTTTGGAGGAAAGGAAAAATTTCAGAGCCAAACTTGTTCAAAAATTCTTGTCTATGAAAAGGAATTGCGTGTTCTTTGTTCTAGCAAAAGCATACATTGGCTTCACAATTGTTGTTGAAGACGCAAGAAACCAGTGCTTTGCAGTAGGTTTTAGATCTAGCAACCAACAAAGAGTGAAAACCACCGAAGGAACGGAAAGAAAAGTTCAAGCCTTCAAAAACACTGAATATGCAAAATACGTTGCTAACACCAACAATGATGTTATAATGAAGAACGAACTATTCGATCTTATCACATGCCATGTTACCCCTTTGCTCTCCATAAAAAACTATGTAGAGTTAGCATCTGCCAATAGAGCCAAGTTCAACATTCAAGAATCTAATTATCTCATCAACCAAACATCGGGTCTTAAAGGATGGTTTTCACCTAATGGATATGATTAAACTCAACAAATCGCGTGGCATGCATAAAGAATTTATGAGACGCTTTCGGGACATACTATATGTCTGTAATCAAGATGATAAAGCGTTAGTAGAAACATATTTGTCCAGCATTGGAACGGATTGGAATATAAGGATGATGATTAATTCAGCGTGGATTTTTGAACGCGTTAGGAGATTTGTGCCCCCGCCTAATATATTACACTCGGCCCTCAAATTTCTTTTTGATAGTTACGGTCCTCTGAGGTGTGAAAATTCCGGCCATAAACTTTTTAATGAAGCAGCTGTCGAAATGTCTTTGCATGTTCTTAGCACCGTACAACAAGGACATGTATCAGATGTTGTAGATGGTCCCCCGCTGTATACAGAAAAGGGACCTGACAAGAACAACTTGATGAGATATAAGTGTTCGCGGGGAACTAGCTCGGTGGAAGGGGCTTGTCACATGAATATTGTTCGCAGGTTTGCTTCCTACAATGCCTCTGTAAGATTAACAGATTCCATTTTGGCAGACTATAGATTGTATCACAACATAAATGTAAGTTGCATGTTGATATATCATTTAAAACAAAAAAGTATCTTGTGGTCTAATTAGATATCCAAACAATTTTTTAGGTGGGATCCTTGAACAGGTATGGCAAAAAACATCAAGGACATTACAGTCCTTGGCCTGTTCTAGCTATTAATGTTTTAAGAAATGATGTTGGTCATGCAACGGTCCAAGATTACATGTGCGAACGATATGGATGCTACCTAAACTTCGACCAAACAAGGAAAACATATGGTGTTGTTGAAATTCCACGTAATCTGGCCAACGAAATTGGGATCACACCAGCTACAACCCAGCAACCCAGACTTCGAACTACATTAAATCGTATCATGGAACTTTCTTCTTTACCCGTAGCTAAACTGTTTGAGGCTGGATACTCAACAAAGCAATTCCGTTACAAGTTCCTTTCTATCTGTCAAGGCACCTTGTATGCTATTACAGCGGTTCATACAAAAGAAGAAACTTCTCTGTTTGCAAATCTCCTGTCAACTCACGGCCAAGAAGATACGTTGATATTTCAGCTCTTCGACTCCGAAAAACCGAACTTCAATCTTTTTGCGTATAAAATAAAAACCAAACTTGTAAAAATTAACTAAGGCTTTATTAAACAAGAAAAAGGGGTCTTTATATACACATAACTTCAGACAGAAATAACAGACATGCTTATGACGATCGTGGGTAGTATCATCCAGATAATACTTGGATGTAATGATCCCGTACAGAGAGGCCATGATGAGATGTCAATAACAGTAACATTCATTTTTAAACTGTGTATGCCTTGTAGCGCAAATATTTAAAGTCAATTATATTTCTCAATAAAGATAGCTGTGTCACCTCAATATGCTTTACATCAGCCAACACGTCCAATAGAGTAACATTTTTTGGGTTAGTACAAACAGCCCACCATTTCCTCAATTTACCTTCAACTGACCAGTACATCGTTACCGACAAAAACCTACTTCTCTTTCATTGCCTCTTCCACGTCAAAGCCGCTCAATAATTATTACTGGAAAAAAAGAAAAAGAATACGGTGTGTGTGAGTGAGGTCGATAACTGTTCTGGTAATTCAAAAGGGTTGCTGCCTTGGAAGACCTGTCAAACAACCAAAAACAGGCAAAAGACAATTCAATCGACCTTTACCTTGCCTTAACATCCAAATGTATATAGGAATAAATGTAACCTTGTCGTTATTCCTCTTTACTTGTAGTTTTTCTTTTTCTTTAAAGCACCTTTAATAATCGTATGGAGTACAAAAAAAAAATTAAATAAAAAAATCAATCGGTATAAAATACACTATGTCTAGACCCGTTACACGAATTCATCTGATTTCATTGTATATCCAGTTAATATTTGGACTCCTTGTTCAACACCTGGACTGCTTGATATCCGTATTCATTGTTGAATAAAAATAGCTATTAAACTTGTCCACAATGATATAAATACCCACACATCCCCATCATTTTTATTTTTCCTCTTTACAAAATCTTTTTTTTCTATTAACAATCAATCATCATGTCTTCTTCTAACGGTAAGATAATGTTATACATTCATGCATAAAAAAAAATAAAAAAAAAAAGACTAACATCAAATACTTGGAAAAGTTTTCCTTAAAACTGAATTTCCTGAAATTATCATTCCCAGAGATGTAGTCAAAAACATTACAAGTAAGTTTAGGATTAAAAAAGACGTTTTTTTTTTTAAAAAAAAAAAACCTAAACAATTATCATTGAATAGATAATCTCCGGGATTGTCGCCAATCCACAGATGAACAGGTGGTTCGGGCCAACCTTGCGTTGATTAAACGAAACCATAGCGATGTAGATGGCCTGTGCTACGACGAAATTTACGCTGATGTGGTTGCTGGTCTGCGATATGAAACTGAATACTACCAAAACATGACAAACGAGCTTCTGGAACGTGTTGACATGTTCCTCAATGCCGAAGCTCTGGACGAGAATTTGGCAACACGAGTGGTGGAGTATTATGTCAGTGACATTTGGGCAGTACTCAAAACGTCCAAAAACTATATGGAGGTTGATCGTGTAGTTTTGCATGATTTTGAAAACACGTCCAGCATCTTCAACAAGGCTACCATAAACAGTGCAAATCAACCAAGAGTGACCCTCCGCCGTTCGACCGTGGACACATGTCGTAATTACTTTCGTTTCGTGTTCCCGGTTCCCACATTACGTATTGTTGACGGTGCCGATACGTATGTGGATGGGGTTGCTTTTGGAACCATACGTAATGTCCTCATTCGACATGCCTACATTTATTTTATGGCAAACATGTTTATGGTAGGGAGAGAGGCAGAGGCTAAAGCATTCCATGATGTTCTAGAAAGAAGGTTCTTTGCAACCTTGCGAATTATGCCGTCTGTTTGCAAAATATCAAGATCAAAGCACACAAAAAAAAAAAGAGATATCTTCCTTTTTATCCAGTGAGACAATAACTCTCATTCTTTTTATGAAATAAATTGATGATCTTTTTAATTATACAGTTAAACTACAAATCTTTTTTTTTTTCATCATTTACTTTTTTTCTTCTTTGGGTAGCAGGTTCATAACATGATGATAATAGTGAGGTCTTTTATTTTTTTATTTTCATCGTCACAAAGAGAGAGAGAGAGAGAGTTATATAAAGTTCCCATCATATCATAGAAACTTACCGGCTTTATAGTTAAACTGTTGTGACTCCGTGAATTATTAATTTGACCATTGCCACACAATTATTTCTATATTTTTTCTCGGTGGATGGGCTCGGCTTACAATTTGTCTCTTTTTTATCTGTTATCATCGAGGCACAAAAAGTCAAATGTATTGGCCGTTTTAAAAAGGCCAGAATACTTTGTGTTTCCATGATAACTCCAACGGTCATACCAGAATGTAAGGGTAGATCTGATCTCCTTCTAACAAGAATCAACCAGTGACTTAAAGTACAAGACGAATAACATTGTAGTGAGCTTTTAAAGAAAATATCCTAGTATTTATGATTAAATGACCAATAAGAAGAGTCTTTCTGATCCGTTTTTCGCTTCATTATTTTGGCACAGGATTCATTTGGCAGGCGCACCAATCGTTTTTTTTTTTGTCGCACAAAAAATATCATGAAACTGTGTACAACGTTCAGCGTTGAAGTACAAAAAAAAAAAAAAGATCAACATCAACATCAAGGTCCTTTACTGATTTTCAGCAACTGGTATGTAGATTCAGCTTGTGTTCGCAGGTATATTGCCTATTGATCCAAGATGAATAAAAAGTCCACAAAGCCAACTAGGTTGATATTGGATAAGGCATGATAAAATACGTTTGGGTGATTAAATGTGAACATAAAAACGCTAAACTAATGTCACTGCTCTAGATCCCTTAACTTAAAAGCTTAACTTTTCTCGTCGCTTCATGATGAATTAAAGATCAAGTTTTAAACAGTCTCAAAGAGTCACACGTATTTCGCGGAGATTTGATAATGAAATCTACTTTTTTTTAAAAAACTTCCCCGCCCCAACTAACTATAAAGCGACTAAAGAATACCGTTCATGCTCTTTTTTCTTTTTCACTTTTTTCAACTACAAATAAAAAATGAAGGCCTATCAACGTGAATTTATCGAATTTGCACTCAAGAATGAAGTATTAAAGTTTGGATCTTTCCACCTCAAATCTGGTCGTACTTCACCTTATTTCATCAATGCTGGTTTGTTCAACAGTGGTAAGACTTTGGGTGCTATCGGTACTTTTTATGCTGCTGCTCTTCAAGATGCTGGCTTTGAGTACGATGTTCTCTTTGGTCCCGCCTATAAGGGTGTCCCTCTTGTCTGTGCCACGGCTTTGTCTCTCGCCAACGATTACGACAAGGATGCACCTTTTGCCTTTAACCGTAAGGAAAAGAAGGATCACGGTGAAGGTGGTAGTATTGTCGGTACTCCCTTGAATGGAAAAATTGTGATTATCGATGATGTGATTACAGCTGGTACTGCCATCAATGAATCTATCGAGATTATCAAGGACAATCATGCTCAACTTTCAGGTGTCCTCGTTGCCGTTGATCGTGCAGAGATTGCTCCCGATGGTTCTGGCAAGAGTGCCATTCAAGCTATTGAAGAAAAGCACAAGATTGAGATTCGTGCCATCATTTCAATGGATCATATCATGGAATTTATGGAGGAAAAGGGTACTTATGAAAATGAACTCAAGTTGATGAAGGAGTATAAGGCTCAATATGGTATCAAGAAGGCTTAAAAAAAAATATCCACACATGCGTTATTTTCTTTTACCCCATTTTGATCTTGTAAATTTAATAAACACAAAATTATGTACAAACAACAAAACACAGCCCTTGTCGTTTATTAAGATCTTTGATTTTCATTTATTTATTAAGCCCAAAAAGAACTTTTGATTTAAATAAACATGCTTAAAGAGCTGCCCTGCGAACACTAGATATACGCGAGTGTCAAGGGTTGTTCTAAAAACGTACATTGATGCTCCATTTTATGATCAAAGTTATCACCCGTCATTTTAGCTGAGAAACGGATAGAAAAATCATGATTGATATTCTTGATTTGAATGATGATGTGACGGCTAGCAACATATTTTTCCGGTAAGAGACTCAGCGTAAACATTTTGTCGTAAAAACATGGTCCAATGCAAAAACTTCCTTCCGATGGAGCGTTCTTTGTATCTGCTATTTTTAAAAAATCTAAAAAGAGCGTTATTATCAGGTATATTTTTTATCTCTTATACAAAATTAAATACCCAAGTCTATAGTGTTCGATCTGTTTGCCACCGAGTCTTCAACCAGCGAATGAATTGGTTTATAGCCAGAACACAAAGTAAGGTTTATTACAAAACCATCTTTCGGTATGGGTTGTCCCTTTTGGATAATAACAAACATATCATCTTTGAAGGCCTTGATGGTCTTATCACTGTCATCAGAACGCTCCCACTCTAAAAAGGGGAGAGCGACCCCCGCCACCTGCAGTTGCTTAATCTGTATTCCATACGTATATTTCGACACTTGCTTTACATTGCCTTCATAGAAACTGTCACTCATGAACGGGTTTTCCCAGCTTTTTGTCTGCGATGTTCGAAAAAATGATTCTTCCAAGACAATTCCTGTTGTGTCCCTGCCTTTTGATTCAATACCTTGATTAATCGCATCATGTAGAAGCAGAGCGTAAGTTTTGTATATGGCTGAATCATGTCGCAAGTTAAATACATTTCCCATTACAAACAAAAAATTAACTGTGAAATTTCCAAACAATTTCGTATTAGATAACGAGGCTGTTACGACTGTTGCAATGCCTTCGATAACTGGTTTTAAGCCGAACTCAATTATGTCTCTAAGGCAAATATCGATACTACAACAGCATTTGTAACCGATATTCAGCGTTTCATAAGTGTCAAAATCTATACTTGCTTCGTTTGCCTTTAACTGTCAATAAAAGTAATTAAGTTACATATATTAAAATGAAAACGATATTGTGCTCTTACCATACGCAGCACTAGTTGCCTTATATTCGGACGGTTATAAGTATAATTTTGAAGCGAACAATAATCATGAAAATCCCGAGTTTCTTCATCCACATGCACACAGCAGTAGTTAATTGGACATATAGGTAAGGTATGGAGCCAGATTTTCTTATCTAGAACGTCATTTACATCATCCATATTTATCAATTTATCTTTAAGAATAATAGTAGCTGCATGTTCTCCAATTGATGATGTTCCAACAACCTGATGTAGAGATACCTGAATGTGGCTTTCGTGAACCTGAGCAGTGACAAAGTAAGACTTGATGTTGAAATTCAAATCCTGTAGATAATTTTCAATGCCAGGCTGACACCCTTCACCTCGGACAAATATACGCACTTTTCTACATTCATTCTCCTGGGAAAGGAAACCACTTGTAAATAAAAGGCCTTTCAGATTCTTTTTTGATCCGTATAAGGTGCCCAGTAACTTCTTTTGAACGGTCAGAACATATCCCATATTTTTGTTTCTACACTTGCCACCGAATCTTCTGTTCACTTCCAAAGTTATCAGTTTGTTGAGATATATAAGGTACAGTATCAAAAAGGAGTGGATGTAGAATGGATCTGCAGTAGATTCAAGATGGTCTTGAGTAGCTTTTGGGGGCTTGGAAGTGTTAGGTCTTGAAAAGCATTCGTCTAATATAGTTTCGGACGAAAATAGTTGATACAGATTATCTCCTTGATTGTTTATAATCTTTTTGATAAGTTGCTGCCGTGATTTGATAAATGCTAATATCCTATTCAATTAAAAGAGGAAAACATTGTGAATTCATTCAATGATAATGTCTTATCAATATATATTATTACTTTGAATGCACTAAGAGCAACGGTCGTCGATAAATCTCTGAATTTACAAAGAAACTCTCGATAGGTTTCAGGTCGCTATGTCACGTATTAAGACATTTTGTAATCGAACTATTGTGTTATCAGTATACTTGCCATTTAAAGTTTTCGGCTTTACTCCTTAAACGGCAATCACTTCCAACATATTCAATTGAGAACTCCACAGTCTTAAGAGTAAAGTCTGCGTTTAATAATAAAAAAAAAAAAAAAAAATAAAAAAAAAACGTCAGTTCATGTCAGTTTAAACAATTGTGATTATCACTTATGAATGTGCTTATATTTTACCTATGTTTATCATACAGCCAGCATCTTCAATATTTTTAAAGCGTTCCAACTTTTGATTTCCAGGTATTATTGTTGGAGGGTTATGTTTATTTGATGTTTGTATTTGCTCTTTAATTTGGAGTACACCTCCAAAGACAGTTAACGGAGTTTCCAAATATAAATCAGATTCTATCACCTTGTCATAGGGCATAATATCGTAAAGTCCTAATTCATTTGCCTTTGTTCTTAAATATTCCGAAAATAGACAATGAACTAAGCGACATTCAATAGTATCATCTCCAGAAACATGTGCAATTATCATTGTTGGTTTTGGAATCTTATTTGCTTTGTCAATCATTTGTTCCATATGCGGCTTAAAAGCGTCTTCAAAAAATTTGAGTTTGTACTTGAGGACATCTTCTATGGTGATTGATTGTATAATTCTTATTTCCTCTTCATTCAAATTGTATTTACGTAAATCTTTCTCAGTAGTTTTGAACGGATTATACGGAAATAATTCTTTTTTGCAAAATGAATAGCCAGGATTCAGCATTTTCTAAAAAGAATATAGTCAAAAAGTCTGTTTGATATAAAATAATCATTCTATACCTTTAACATGCCTCTATACATCCCTGTCAATTTAATTATACATATATCACTTACAACTAAACCTCGGTCTCGCAGACAAGTGTCTATGTCTAAATCTGGAGATTGAGTACTGAGAGGGATACTTAAGGACCTTGACATTAACAATCCCAAGCTGAAGTTATTGTTGACAGTTGCAGGAAAAGGTTTATGTGCTGAAAATAGGTCCAAATCAATATGCTGCTTATGATTTAAAAAATCCAGCGTGCACATAATGTATTGTTTACCATCCGATATCAAAGGTAGAGAATGAGATTTATTACCACTAATCAAAAACTGGAGATATCGAAAATTAGAATCAAGCATTGTGAAAAACAGTAGCCTATTATGGTCATCACTTGTAGTAATCATGTTGGCTTCTACAAAAAGGGGTCGAAACATATCCTCTTTTACACAGTAGTTTGAATTCAAGGGAAAATCCCAGCTTGTCGGGAGAATCATTGCATAGTGATAATCGAATTTTCGGATTTCGAGATTTTTTTTGGATTGAAATTGGCATTCTCGCGCTATTTCTTCTAGATAGCTTTTCGCCGCCATTTTCACCATTTTGACATGTAAATCATAGCTTTGAGGGTTCTCATTGTATTTTAGAGAAGTATCGTGAAGTTCCATAAAAACGTTGTGAACATAACAATGTCCATCGTGATTTCTATTTGACTCCCAAAATGTCTCAGCTTGATCCCCTTTGCATGTTATGTATTCTTGCTTGATATTGTAAACTATTGAGGCTCTACGCATTCCGCTATTTGGTTGAGGACGTCTTTTTTATCAACAACTTTAAAGCGAATCTAGAATCAAATTTGCACATACCAACTCGATTGAGAATCGTCTGTTCTTTTCACGTCGTTAACAAACGATTTGTAGAATAACCGCGTCCTATCGAAACCTACTTTATCTAAGTATGTAGATTGACTAGTGTCGGATGCTAATATTTACCAAAAACAAGGCAGTATTTATGCTGAGAGTAATCATAATAATTCATATCCGAAGCTATATTAAAGAGTCCGGAAGAAAAAAGAAAAAAAGAAAAAGTATTTTGTTTTGTAAGCGAGCGATGCGAAAATAGCTTTTTCTGGCTTAGCATTTTCGGGAGATACCCGAATATTAAAACAAACAAAACATAATGAGGCGCTTGTCAAAGTGTCCACTGACATTTACTTAAATGACATAATGAACGTATATCCCAAAATCTTTGCTATATTCTTGTCCCATATAATCCATGGAATGAGAATAATTCTAAAATTTCTGTAATTTTAAAAAATCAGGTACTTACAAAACTTACAAAAAGTGGTGTAACAGCGTTACGGACCATCTTTTCCAAATTCAGCAACACGATTTCAACGGCTGCATAACCGTTAACCAAGATCAAACCTTAATCTTCGATTCGTTCCCCTAATTTTTGGCACCTTCGGACTATCCTGATTCTTTGACTGGTCAATTATATCGTGCTTTACGAAAGCCAATGCCGCTCTACTCTGTGTCCATGAGCTTTTGTTGATTAGCAACTGGATTTGTTTTTTCTGCTATTCGTAACACCACCCCTCAACATATATATAGTGTCTCTTCTTGATTGTTTAAATGTGTTCATCCCCTTTCAAAGTTTTTTTTAAAAAGAAATGTCAATGCTCAAACATGTTTTGTTGTATCTAAATTATTGTTATCTCTTATACAGACAGATGAACTTTTATCCGTATTTAAAAATTACGCTGTTGGCAATATACATGGTCAATTTATAAGCGAGCGATCTTACAAATCACAGCTTACAACTATGTTGTGTGCTAATGAATTGAGTTAATTCAATATCTTTTTATTTTTACATCGTCAAAAGCAACACTCTATAATAAGCTATACATACTAAAAAAGGAGGGTGGAATACGAATCGGTGTTGTTGAGAAGATCAAGAGTCATTGACATATCGTATTTAGGGCATATTCTGTAAAACAAAAGACACATGTATGTGAATTATTTTATATGTAACAAATATGGGCCGTTCATCATTTATAATTCGTATTGTTCATTTTCCACACATTTTGTTTCTTTCATATTTTATCAGATGTTACTATTTTCCGTGCTCACGCATACTTTTCCAAAGTAGCGATGATCATTCATTTTTATGTCAGGGGGATAAGAATATAGTAATATTTTCTGTCGTGCTTTTCTTCCGGAAATACAACGCTTTTCTGATTAATTAAATAAAAACTAGCTATTTGCAGCATCTGGTATCAATTAACAAAACCTTACAATTTCTTTCACCTGTTTTACGATTCATTTAGCATCTTACAAGAAAAAAATATGATGTCGATTGTATGGGATTTTCTTTGGATCTCAACATGCCAGCTATAAGAGGATTTTGTATTGGTTAGTCTTGCAAGTAAAATCAATACAGTCGGAAAGCTCTTCGGACTCCTCAATCCCGTGTTGATATGTAAAAAATTGCATGGCAAAAAAATTCGATTGATTATCTCAAAAAAAAAAAATGTTCTTTAACCAATTGCAACGATTTAAACTTGTAGTTTCAATTATAAAATTATCATGTATACAATAGGTAAAAAGGTGCGTTTGTATGCTTGAATTTGATACCAATCAATCAAAAAGAGTAAATTCATTCGAAAAAGTTATATAGATGAAGAAAGCTAAAATTTAAGACTATGGTTGTGAAGGATAACCTGTGTTTTGATGGGAGATGTTGTAAAATAATTTAAGACTACAAGGGGAAATTACCTGATATGCTACCCCCCAATGTGTCACAGTTATTTACATTTGCTTTAACCTCGTCGATATTTTTGTTAGTTTTTATAGCATAGTCGTCATACTGTGTATGACATAGGATAATACATCTTGTAAACGCGAGGGGGGGATTCCAAATCATTGGTATGTCACGTATTTCATCCTATCTTCCGCATCCTCGTCATTTTCTTAATTTCATCAACATTTGTAGTCCGTAATAAGGATGAGATGGTAGCATGGCTACTATTTTTTTCTGTTACTTGTTCTTCCACAGAGGTACTGGAATCTTATATCATTCCATGGAGATGCAGATGTATTTGCTCCTACAGTTAAGGATCCGTCAAGATGTTACCCCATTACCCTTCCATATATTTACTTCCAGTACACACTTAATACGGACGTACGTATATACTAAATCTCGCCATCTGTTGTAATTCTATATTGCTATTGTTGGTACTACACTGTTCACCTAAATCATCATTCCCGGTGTAAAATCGACCTCAGTGTAGAAATTGTTATTCAGAGTGAAATATTGGAGGGAAGTAGTAACATGTGCGTCCCACAACACCCTCCCAATTTTATTCTGGAATATCACAGTCGGCTATGCTATCCTCTTGATTATCATTTAGATCGGCATATATCCTGTTCTTCAACTTTACTTTCTCTAAATTGGTTTTGAGCAAACCCTACACTTTCGTTTAATTGTGCCCTCAAATACACGTCGTCGGTTCCAGTTGTTGCCGCTACATTTTTTAAATTTCCATATTTGTTAGCTACTCGCGTGTATCTGGATCTCCCCCTCCCCCTTTTTTTTTTGTCAAAGCTTTAGTCCCCTCGTATGCAGATTTGCTTATATTTTGTCCGTACGATACAAGTCTTTATAAGAAAATTCGCGGGCATTTTGATGCTTGTGTGTAAATAGATATTCGTGTCCTGGAACTTTCTAACCAAAGAATGAGGGACTGGTAAACATATGTTTATGAATGATTAGTTTCTTGGTGATCTTGGAAAATAAAAAACATTTCTCTGCATCGTCAACTCGATGTTTCAAGACACCGTTATTTGTACTTCGTGGATGGAGTAGACATGGCTCTGTTTCCCAGTCATTCGCTTGTAATTATCCCAGTCGACTCGCTTCCAAAAAAAAATAAAGGCCGTGGTCTCTTGTTATACGATGATGATTGTAAAATGTCTAAAATGCCTTGCGGGGACCGTAAGAATTGATTGTGTCATTTTTTTTTTTTTTTTTTTTTTCTGTAAATAAATTTGGCTAATTATACGCGCACCATACTTTTTGCTTGAAAAAAAAATCTCGCGCACCATTTTTTTCTGTCCGGTCAAATAATAAAAGTCCGGGTCGGACCAAAAATGATTTTTGCACATTGGACTTTTTCTTGCGCACCATGCTTTTTTCGCTGGCGCACCATACATTTTTTCGCTGGCGCACCATAGTTTTTTTCGCTGGCGCACCATAGTTTTTCGCTGGCGCACCATAATTTTTCGCTGGCGCACCATACTTTTTTTTTCGCTGGCGGAATATATTTTTTTTCGCTGGCGCACCATACTTTGTGATGAAGAGAATCAATGTGGTTTTGAGTGTGAGCTCATGCTTTTAGTCTAAATTTTATTTTGTTTTTGGGTTTTGATTATTATGAGATAAAATATAAAGTTTGGAAGAATGTTAAGGATTGGGGAAGCAAATTATAAAATTATCCTGTCTAGTTGTTTTGAAAGTAGTGAGACACGTCGTTGACACAAATGTCTCGGTGCGCGTCGAATACTTTTTGGTGTGAAAAGTTTAATGTTGGCCATTTTTTGACTTTGCAAGCTTTCTTCGTTTTGTTATCGATTTGAGGTAAAATCATGTAAAAGTGACTGTTGGCAAACAAAAGTTGAATAGGATCATTCATTGTTTCCAAATCCAGACCAAGAAGTGGTACAAAAGTGATAGAATCTTTGGTGTAAATGATGTTTCCATCATTATCTCTCCACGTGATTTCATACTTATCGACTTTTGGTGTTGTAGCATGTAAAATTACTGGTCTTTTGAAAGTGTCAGCAACAATTTGTGGGCATCCGTAACAGTCAAACCAAAGACTTAAGTCATCAAGACAGGGAGCTCTTGTTGATTGCAATTTTTTTGAGGTATACGCTTCGTTTAGCCCATATGTGTTGTAAAGAGTGTTAGCATACTTTGTAAAGGTAGCTAACATCATTTTTTTCACTTGGATCCAAGCGATTTCATTGTCAAAAACAGCGAGGCTTACAGCACGGTATCCACAATTACCATCAGGATGGGGGTTGACGAACCCAAGTACATCATTGACATATGCATTATCTAGCAATCCAAACAGACCACTGTAATCTGCTTCACGAGTTATGACAGTGGAAGGCTCGTATCTAGAAAAACAAATAGGAGTTATTGTTGTAAAATAATTAAAAATATAACATAGACCAATACTTTGACTTGATCTGCTTGATCACGGCTGTTGATGGCTTGCGAAGACTTAAGGTCGTTTTGGTTTTTTTTTGCTTTTCTACTTTTATTGTTTCCTGCTTCATTTTTTTGGCATTTTTTTGCTCTATCGAGATTTTTTCATCTTCATGTTCCACACCAAGCTTGTTTCTTTTTGTCCCTTTAGGTCGGCCCTTTTGTATTTCAACAATTGAAGGGGCAAGAACAGTTTCCAGACGGTCTACCGAATATTTTTGGATCAAAGCATCCATATCTTTGATAAGATCGGCTGATTCTTGCTGACTACCTAAGACATTGCTTAATGATAGAAGCTTTTCCAACCTAAGTTGGATAGCACTGGTATCAATAGGCAATGTTTCATTAGACTTTTTGCTCATCTCAGCGGAAATTTCAGTAATTGTGGCGACTATGAAAAGTATTAATTTTGATTTCAGTCTAATTCAGTTTGTATATTAATTTCTTACCAGTTCCCTTCACATATGTGATCCTCCATCGTTCGTGAACAATGTCCAGAGGAACTTTATTCTCAACAAACGAGACGGCAAGAACATGTCTGCAAGGAAGTCGAAAGTTTTTTCTGAGCTTGCAGAGACAGCTTTCTCCAGGGCGCACATGGCTTACATGGTCAGGCTTTTCTTCAGCAGCCTTCATTTCCATCAATTCATTCTTGATATTTTCAAAAGCAAAGCTTGAAACATTTAATTTGATCAGAGCAAGTTTATCCATTACATCATCTTCCAAAAAAATTGTTCTTTGTGTCATGGATTCCTTGATTGATTGTACATTTCGATAATCCTCCTAATTTTTTTTAGAGTTAACAAAATAAAAATATGTTTAAACATTACGTACTCTCTTTTTAATCCAAAGATCTATTTTTTCAGTGACAACTGCCATGCTACCAGATGAGGTGCTGTTGCTTCTTTTGATATTTGCATGGGTAGACTCAACTCTGTTCGAAGTTCTGTTTCCCATATGCATTAAATTGTTAACATAATAACCTACCCAGTATTGCTTCTTTTTCATCATACTATATTTGTATCTAGTTAATAAAAAGAGGCATTTTTAAGAGAAAAAAACAAAACAAAAAAACCTACTGATGCAGATACTTAATCATCGTTTGGGCACCACCTTGTACACATTTGCCCTTGGCAGACACGAACGTTTCGTATTCATTTTTGGCAAGCAAAAATTCATCCTTTGTTGTGCATTTTAAAGCCATTTGCTTGATGATAGCCATAAACGATTTGACCTCCATCTCCATTTTGTTCTCTATAAGGTGTTTATTTGGTAAGTTTATGAGGACTAATGAACGTAACTTGTTTTAACATACTATCCAGTCTCTTTTCCTTGGCAAGATTCTTCTTGAATCTCAGAATAAAATTTCTTTGGATATGAATCCAGCAAAGAATTTGTTTACTCTCGGGAAACTCGGACTTGATTGCTCCCAACAAGGCTTCATCGTTGTCAGTAACAAAGCACTTGGGCAATTTATCCGTGCTTGTTCCAGTAGGCCAAACAATATCACGGAAACAGTTTAAAGCCCAGCAGTAGCGCTCGCTTGTCTCCCGATCCATCCAACATCCTGCAATTGGAACTGTTGTCAACTGCTTTGGCTTTTCTTTTGATCTTAAAGTACCAGCAACGACGAAATTCAACAAGACCATCTTATGTGAGTTGGTCTTGTAGGTGGCATCCACAATTATACATTCTGAAAGCTTTCTAGCTTCGTCGATTCCATGTTGGTGAATGAAAAAGACGCTGCAAATTCTCTCATCAGCATCTGTCAAAAATCGAACTTGGTGGCCACTTGATTCAAGATTCTTGACAAAATTCCACATGTCAATGTGGCTGTCCCGACAGAATTGTTGTTGGATGTTTGTTAAATCGGTTACAATCAGGTTGCTTACGCCTCTTGTTTCAAGCATCTAATTACCAGGAAATTGATGTTATTTTAAGATATAAATTGGGGACATATTTAAACTTATAAAGAATAATATTGGCAAAATAACTTTTATTATGATTACAGCTTTCCTAACTATTGATTTCTCAAAGGATCTCTTTATCTCATTTTTAAACATTACCTTTAACGTTTCACTGGGAGTTGTACCTCCACGCATAAGCGAAATGGCGAACTCTTGATCATCCGCATTGAGCTTTCGGTTGCTGTGATAAGCCCTCTTATCCTCGCTCAAAGGATGGTTGTGTTCGAAACAGCTGGATCGAACAGTCCAAGGCTCTCCAGCTAATTTTACATCCTTACGAATGTAGATGAAGGCTGAACAGCCTGTTCTCCCGGTGGTCCTGTTGGGTCTTTGAATGCTGTTTTCCAAGTCATCATCATCAACGGCATCCTTTTCATCTGGTTTCAAAAACAACGTTAAATAATTATATCAATAAATATCGCAATTGTGTCAATCTTACCTTCTCCCTTTTTGGCAGCACGATATTTACCAAAATGCTTACAGATCATTTTGATGTAAGACTTATCGCTTTTAAAAGTCTCAAAAGGAATATTGTTAGCCTTACTGAAAGACTGTATTTCGAGTCTTGCAGTTTCCTTGCCAGCAAAGGCTTTTCCAACAGGAAACTCGGCTTCAAAAATAGCCTTTACATTGGCAACACGTTCATTGACCGACACAGTCTCAGCAAAAGATGGAACGTGTCGTGTTGCCTTGACGCTAATGTCCTCCATCTCAGGTTCACTGAGACATTCCCAGTCGTATTCCTCTACTGTCACTTTTTCATCAGTGTTTGACTGTTCATAAACTTGTCTATCAAAGGCATCCTCGAAACTGTCCTTGATTTCGTCTACAGGATTGATAACAGATAAAAGACTATTGATGAGCAATTGGCTTTCATTCAAAGATTGTTGTGAATCGTTTGAATTCATTTCAAAAATAAAAGTTAAAAGAAAAAGAATGAAGAGCCGTAAACAAGAATGGTGCGCGAGAAAAAGTATGGTGCGCGAAAAAGTATGGTGCGCCAGCGAAAAAGTATAGTCCGCCAGGGAAAAAAAGTATGGTGCGCCAGCGAAAAAAACTATGGTGCGCCAGCGAAAAAATGTATGGTGCGCCAGCGAAAAAAGCATGGTGCGCAAGAAAAAAGTTCAATGTGCAAAAATCATTTTTGGTCCGACTCGGAATTTTATTATTTGACCGTCTAATATCCGATGTCTAAGAGACAATAATTTCAATCAAATATAAGATAATCCTTTATTAAATGCTTAATTTGCTCTTGTATATATATTATATGTTCATGTTTGTTAAGTCGGTGATTCGTATTTGTTGTATCGGTGATTCTTATATCACAGTGGCGGACTGGGTGGTAAAAACCCGCAACATTTGGTGGTAAAAACGTCCATTTTATACCACTGATATAGCGCTAGTACGGATTTAGATTTAAAAAGGGACAATTATTATTATATAACAATTGTGATAGTGAGCACCAGACTTTTAGTTGTCAACTTAGTTTTATTATTTATTAAGAGTATTTCTGTAGTGATCTTAGACGATAAAATATATGGATAAGACAATAAAATGCAAATCGATAATAATACAGTGAGAGATGAGAAGAGAATATAGTTCTTAGATGTCAAAGATAAAAGAGTTTACGACGGGTTTATGTAAGAAGATGATGTGATTGTATAATTTACAATAGACAACAAACAGCAACAAAAAGCGGAGGAAATACTACTAGTATCAATTACAAGATAAATCCCAAATTTAGGTGAAGACAAAACTAAAGAATATTTATTGAGAAATGAAAAAAAGGGAGCGTATTTATAGGAAAGATCCTATCCTGTGTAACAACAAGCCACATTATTATTGGCTGCAACACCACCGAATGTTGCGGAATTGTGGTTCATTTTCCACCGGATGTGGTAAAACTCCAAAATTATACCACCTAATGTTGCGGGTTTTTGCTACATGTTGCGTGTTTTTACCACCTAGTGTTGCGGGTTTCTTCCGCATGTTGCGTATTTATACCACTTCTAGTAGCTACTAAATTCCACTTGATGCGTCTTTTACCATAATATAGCGTCCTTTCACTCAAAACGTAGTACGTACGTTATTACATCACTTTAACTATATTATTATTGATGCTGATGAACCTTTATACTGTTGTGCAATCAAGAAATACATTATATAATAAAAAAGCAGGGTTTAAATGAAAACGTTTTATTTTATTCAATTTTTATTTTGTATTTTACTTTATTTATTATAATTTTTGTACATATCATCTCCAAATTGATAAGGTGCACTTACCTCCATAATACTTCCTGCACTTACTATTAACGGGCCCAATTAACACCATACTAGCCAAACAGCCGCCTATAGATACAGGTAACATTAGAGAGTCCCGTGAGATGTAGCAGTATATAGACCAAATCATTTTATCAGCCTAAAAAAAAATGCAGCCTAAAAGAAAAAATTGCAGCCTAAAAGAAAAATTTACAGCCTAAAGAAAAAAATATAGCCTAATTGAAAAATTTTCACAGCCTAAACCTGCTTTTCAAGTCCAAAGACGGCTCGAAATCTATACAACTCTTTAAAAAAACCGTATTGGAAATTCAAATGATAATTACCTTCAGCATATGACAATGTATACACACAAATTCTTGGTACTTTAAAGTGTAATGACATAATAATAATTTGTATTTCATATGTCATATTTACCTAGTTTGTATAATCTACGGTATCTATTATTTAAATAACAGCACTTACAACACGAAGCAGAATTCCGGGCTGCCTTAAAAAAAGTTATAAGAGAAAGAAAGGGAGAAAACTAAATGAACAAATTTATTAATCTATAGCAAATTATTTAAAGTGCGAATCACGCTAAAACATCTTCTACAGTAGCTGATTGTAACACTTTTTTGTAGAAGCACATCATCCATTTTTCTACGGATTTGCTCCTTATTGGTCAAAGAAGAGTTATATTCTTCTTATAAAGCTTGTTTGCCTTAAATTAACTATACTCATAAGGTTAATCATTGTCCTGCTGGTTCTTTAGCTGATTTGTAAGTTGGTCTTATCTTTCTCTGTAATGCGTAGACAAGTTTTATTATAATTATATTCTTTTCAACAATTGATCTAATGACAGTGCTTGTAAAAGAAAAAAATTTAAAAAGAGGAAAGGAAGGAAAAATAAAAATAAATATTAATAAAAAATTATATGCCGATGGTTGCGTGTTTTATCCACCATGTTGCGTCTTTCCGCAACATGTCGTGGAATTACACAACATGTTGCGGGTTTCCGCTACCGAGTCCGCGGCTGTGTATGTTCCGTATTTACATTAGAGTAGTTGTTATTATGGTGAGATAGTCTTGTGATACACCAGACCGGACAGAAAAAAATGGTGCGCGAGATTTTTTTTTTCAAGCAAAAAGTATGGTGCGCGTATAATTAGCCATGATTTAATACAAATTTTTAAGTCACACATCGCGGAGTGGTGGAACTTGTTGAAACGAATGATCGTGGATGGCATATAAGCTATAGAGTTAGTCTATGTTGGAAGGAGGATTGATAATCTTGTTGATTTGGAGAATAATTCTGGACACTGATTTGGGTAGGTTGGCAGCAGCAAAAAATCGCGGATTGTCGGTGCCATGAAGCCAGTAAAGGTTCCATATTTGCCAGAGGGTGGTAGAAAGTATGGAAAGATACCATTCTTCGTGTTGAACAGACAATGGATGTTTTAGATTTCAGATTGAGTCATATAACATCGAAGCTGTAAATTCAAGATATGGGTAGTAGTGGGACAGTACCCTATGCCAAAGCTGTCGCTTTATGGGGCACTCCACCAAGAAATGTAGAATTGAGTCTTCGTCAGTACCACAGAAAGAGCATTGAGGGGAAGTGACGTTAGCAAAATGTTTATACATCAGTTGTTTTGTAGGGATGCATTTAGAAAAAGCCCGATAGTAAACGGTACGTGCTTGTGGGTACATACGGCAGCTCCAAAATTGTTTTATATTCCGTATTGGGAAATTGTGAACGGTTTTATAATGTTGCTGATAGTACCTGCGTAAGACAGTAGGGTTAAATTGTCCCCAGAGTGGTTGAGGTCGCATTTGAGACACTAATTCGTGAGAGGACCATTCTTCGGGTAATGTGGGAGCAGGTGCTGTAAGAATATGTGGCCATACAAACGCTTCAAGTTTAATAGTACGAGTACATATAATATCATTGGCTAGAGTTTGACACAGCCTTGGAAAGCGAGAGAATTCACTTGGGACTCGTATGCGCAGTCGTTGTTGGTGCTCATCAAATACCAAGAAAGTGCCCGCTGCAAAATTTCGATGTCTGAGTGACCAATGAGAACTATCTGGGACCTGAATGACCTTACGAAGTGGAAGAGCCAAAATAATAGAAACAGGGACATTTATCATTTGGAATTTGGTTGAAGATTGAAAATAATCAAACGTATCAAAAATGACATGCCATATGGAAAACTTGTTCAAGACAGGGCTCTTTCGGAATTTAAAGTCATATAATGGGAGCAGTGGATACATCGATGCATTTTGGAAGTGGCTGAGGTGATCAAGCATGATAGGAGACACAAAAGATGGGTACACGTTAGGCGCTAACAAATAGTTCAACCATCGTTTTTGTAGGACTTTGTGTTGGATGACTGGATATAGCACTTTGAGACCACCAACCTCATGTGGTAAAAACAGCATTTCCAAATGGAGACTGGGTTTTTTCTTTTGCCATATAAATTGGTAGATTGTGGATCGAATATCTTTAAAGAATTGTTTAGTCGGATTGAAAAGACATAGACAGTACCATAATTTAGATAGTAGTAGGATATTTGCGATAGTAACTCGACCCTGTATAGACAGCTGTCGTTGAGAAAAAACGTAGCTTTGGTGTCGAATACTAGTCAGTAGTTTACTCTCCAGCGATTTTCGTTGTTGAGCTGAGTATGGCAGATAAAAACCAAGATATCTCAGTATCGAAAGTGAAGATTCGTGATAGTAGGTGTCATGAACCACGTACTTTGCACTTTACCCCTGACCACGAATCCCCGACTATTAGAATGTTCTGGAATCTCATGTTGAGATTCAACTACCCCAGTGTCCAGAACCTTCCAGGACCTTCCAAGACTATCCACGCAATGAACCCCCGCTTCCATGAGATTAGTAATCATGACTCGTTTGCAAGTATCTCCGACGCCAAGCAATTAGTAATCATGACTCATGGGTTTCGGCCACGTAAGCTGAAACCAACACTAAGACTAATTAAGTAAGCCAAGACATTCTTAAATGCAAACCCATGTTATCTGAAAAGATATAAATACTCCCCCTTTACATCGCCTTCCCCGTTCCATGTCGATTATCTTGTATCCTTCCCCTTCCCTGTATAATCATTTACTATTATTAAATACTTTGTAAACCACTCTTCCTTTGTCTTTGTATAACTAGTAGGTATCTTCTGATATTATTGCTATAATATATTCCTAGCCACGTTCCTGACAGTAGGTCAAATGGCTCTAGAAGTTAGGAACGTTTCCCAATTGCTATCATGTTTACCATTGAGTGAGAAGGCTTCGGATTTGTCTTCGTTGAATTTGGTATTAGACACCCTAGCGTACTTATCCATACGGTACTCAAGGCCATCTAGTTCGAGAGCGTCTTTTACAATCACACAAACGTCATCTGCATATGCTAAACATTTGATAGTAGTACTGACAGTATTAATAGTTGAAGGCAGTTGAAAGCCTGTAATACTATCATCTTGTAATATAGACAGGACAAACGGTTCAAGAGCTAAATTAAATAGTAAAGGTGATAACGGGTCGCCTTGACGTAAACCACGCTTTTGTGAAACTGCGTCAGTGAAATATCCATTGATGTTGACATATACAGTATTTTAAAAAAAAAGTCGGCGAATGCATGTAATGAATGACCTGGGGAATCCAAAGCGTTTAAGAACTCGACACAGGTATAGAGGGTGAACCCGATCATAGGCTTTTTCCTGATCAAGTAAGATCCCAACACCAGGGCAGTCGAATCCACATGCTTGATCTAGGATTATGGACAGTGCTAAACCATTATCACCAATAAATTGTCCGGGTATAAAACCCGTTTGATAGGTATTGATAAACTTGTTCATCATACAACCTAACCTTTGAGCGAGTAGTCGTGTTAAAATTTTGGCGTCACAATTGATTAATGAGATTGGTCGCCAGTTCTTTAGTAGACACAGATCCCCTTTTTTTGGTTACAGTCGCACTCGAATATCTTGCCAAGATGTTGGGAATACACCCTCCAAAGCTTGATTATATAAATCTGTGATTAGTCTTTCTAATATGGGAATTTGGAATAGTACCGCAAGATAAGGATAGCTAAGTCCATCTGCACCAGGACTACTTTGCTTTGTCAAACGTGAAGCTTGTTCTATTAAATCATCAATAGTAAACGGTTTCATACGTTTTACAGCATCATTGGGGTCAAGCGTCGTTGAAAACTGAATATCGTCCAAATAATCTTGTATGGCGTCGTCACTGACTGGTTCCGCATCGTAGAGATGTTGATAGAACTGTCGGGCTGACGTTTTCATGTGGTCCGTATTGTTTGACACTGTTGGGGGGCTATCTGAACTAGACGAAAGAACTTCTATCCCAGACATATATTGTTGGGCGGTTTGAGTTTTATGTGTAGCTTTCAAATATTTGGCACATTCTTCACCTTTCTCCCGCCAAACCACACCAGCTTTTAATGCAGAGATGTCGACTAACTCTTGTTGTAGAGTTTCAATCATCTGATCAATTTTTGGTAGTAGTAACAGGAGCGTGGCTAGCGGTGGTTTAGATCTCAGTAGCCTATTTCGTTTACGCTCGAGAAGTTTCAATGATGATGCTCGCCAGGAGAAATGTTTAATACCAAAAGATTTAATACATTGTTTCGTGACATCTTTGATTTTTTCCCACAAAAGTTGTGCATTATTCGTATTAGTGTCAGTTAATGTTTGCTCGATTTTGGTTGAAAGTAGTGTGCTAA